AAAATATGTACGGATGTAAAGTGATTATAGAAGAACAAGATTGAAAATTAAATTCTGTATCCTAAACATCACATTCCAAACAATCAGTATAAATGTTCATGTGTGACAAATGTGCATTCATAAAAGATTATGTTAATGGCACATTTAGGGCTAGTTTTATGGTAAAGGACCCCTTAAAACCCCCTTAAAACTCCATGATGACATTATTTTCCCATAATGCATAATTTCACCATTATATTTAAATTGGGCCGAATGGCTCTTATTTGTAAGCTCGTTTGAGCAGGGTCCTCTTCAACCTATTGTTCCTGTTAGTTTTTGTAATTGTCTCATTTATTGTTAAATCTCCCCCTCTTATAATATTGTAAAACGTTACGGAATTTGTTGGCACTATATAAATGCCAATAACAATAATAATAATCTGCCGTCACATTCTATGTTTCTATAGTGTTTCTCTTAACCTGTAGTACCACATATGGCCACTGGTGCCGCTCCAGTTCTAATCATTTAGCATTAAGAAAAAAATTTCAATAGGGAATCACATATGGCCACTAGGGGCATCATTTCTACACTTCTACCTTTTAACAACATAGGAGGTTATTCTCTAACGTGGGAATTGTCTGCAAGTAAAGTAAATTTAAAGCAAATTGTAAAAATATCCACTGTGTTTCTAATGGAGGCATTTTGGCCTAAAACCAACCATATTAAAGGTGTAAAAAAAGATTTTAGAGAGTCATAATACTAAGCCACTGTGTTAACTTGCCTTCCTGGGATTAAACACGAAAAAGGCAAACTCACTTAATTTGTACTTAAACTAAACTTAAAGCTAAACTGGGTGTTGGCTACCAAACCAATCTGGTTATTTATTATGTGTGACATTACTAACTGCCTTTCTTTGGCAATGGTAGAACTTGATAAACCTGTGTATTAGTTTCAACCTTAATATGGCTCTAGTAATTTTTAATGGAAATCTCCACTTTTCATTTCTAGATTGCTCCCTGTAAATCAATTCAGTTTCCAAACTCTTGCCACTGGGAGGAGACTGCTAAATGTAATGTCTTCAAGTGTTTATTTCAACATGCAGTGCATTGTGGGGGTATTGGTGCATCTTAGCTTAAAACTATATCATACATCACTCTTTGAAGCAGAATAAATTAATGGTTTGGATATTCCCTGATTTCACATAGGATGCCATAAGGATTCCCGTTATGGTCTATTATGGAATATTAAGCTTATTCACAAAAGTGATAATTCTAGGGGAATTTAAATAGAATTTCAAATTGAAGGCAAAATAGTCAATTTGTAAGCATAGCTGACCAGGAGAATTTGTCCAGTTTTGCTATTTTGTCCTTACATTTGAAATTCACCTTGCACTCTCACTTTTGTAAATAACCATGTATAATGGAATTTATGTATGGTCTTTGAAAGGTACCACATTCACTCTAGCGATATCTTTTGGTTCTTTATGGGCAATTAATCATTTTTTTTTGTAAATACTTTGAACATCCTTACAGATGAAGTAGTAAAGAAATGTAATCAAAGAATATTTTCATGTCCAAAAAAATGCACATAATCAATTGTTGCAAACAATATGTATTTACTAAAAGGTTCACAAATATAAGCACTCCCTTCCATTAGGTGCAGAATTGGTCCCTACAGCTAACGAAGATCCACCACCTTTTTACCCAGCACTTAATTTCTTGCTATTGCTGGGCATTGTCCAATTAAACACTCCTCGAAAAGAAGCTTTGGGGACAAATCTGCTGTTCAACAAAAATAAAAGTTGGGCACAAACTGGGCAAGAGCCAAAGGCAAATATTGAATCATGATAACCAACATTTCAGTTCCTTAAATTGAATCTCTGAGCACCATAACAACATCATTGGAATGACACTGAGAAATGGAAGGACAGGGGCAGAACTAAACAGCATTGGAGAGAAGAATTGTGGTTAAACCATTTGTGAATGTTTTATTCCCTAAAGATAAGCCGGTGCCAGGGATCTTCTGTAACAATTTCATTCCATGCTGCATGCTACTCTGCCTGGTCTGTTAGTTGAGTGGAAGTAGTAATTTACTGCACACTCTATTATTATTATTATGATTATTATGATATTATTTATATAGCACAAACAAATTCCGCAGCGATTTACAATGGGTGGACGAACAAACGTAGTTGTAACCAGACAAGGTGGACACACAGGAACAGAGGGGTTGAGGGCCCTGCTCAATGAGTTTACATGCTAGAGAGAGTGGGGTAAAGTGACACATACGGTAAGGATAGTATTAGACTAATGACAGTTGCAAGAGAGGAATCAGTCGGTAGCTATTAACAGTTTAATTGATATGATTTTATGAAGAAGTGGATTTTTAATTTTTTTTTGAAGGAGTGGAGACTGGGTCAGCATCTAACGGAGAAGGGAAGTGAGTTCCACAGGAATGGTGCAGCTCCCACGAAGTCTTGAAGGCGAGCATCAGAGGTGGGAATACGGACAGAAGATAGACGTATGCCTTCAGCAGAGCATAAGGGCCTAGACGGGTCATATTAGTGTATTAGGGAGGATAGATAGGTGGGAGCAGCATTGTGTAGAGATTTGAAAGCAAGAACCATAATTTTAAATTGTGCCCTATATCGTACAGGAAACCGATGTAGGGACTGACCGAAGGTTGAGGTGGGGGCGGACAGGAAGATGAGCCTCGCCGCATTCATTATGGACTGTAACGGTACAAGTTGGGAGCACGTAAAAACCAATGAGAAGCGGATTACAGTAGTTAAGGCGAGAAAGGACAGTGGAATGGACCAGCACCTTAGTCGCATCTGGCGTTAAGTAGGGTAGGATGTGCGCAATGTTTTTGAAATGGAAGTGGCAGGATTTGGCGATAGACTGAACATGAGGCATGAAGGAGAGGTTGGAGTCAAAGAGAACACCTAGGCAGCGAGCCTGCGTGGTGGAGCTGGTATTAACCCCTTAAGGACACAACTTCTGGAATAAAAAGGAATCATGACGGAATATTTTCTTCATGTGTCCTTAAGGGGTTAATACAGTTCACTTGGAGGGAGGAAAGACCAGAATTTCAGTTTTGGTCAAGTTGAGTTTAAGGAAGTAGGCAGCCATCCAGTTAGAAATAGCAGAGAGGCAGTCAGAGACACTAGTCAAAAGGGACAGGGAGAGATCAGGAGAGGACAGAGATATTGTGTGTCATCCGCATAGAAATGGTATTGGAAGCCAAAGGAGCTAATGAGTTTACCAAGGGAGGAAGTATAAATGGAGAATAGTAGGGGACCAATGACTGAACCTTGGGGGACACCAACAGAGAGGAGTTGGGGAGTAGTTGCAGGGCCAGAGAAAGAAACATTGAAAAAGTGCTGCGAGAGGTAGGAGGAGCACCAGGAGAGAGCAATATCTTGTAGACCGATATTGTGGAGGATGAAAAGAAGCTGTTGATGATCAATAGTGTCAAAAGCCGCAGAAAGGTCAAGGACAATTAGGAATGAGTAGTGACCATGAGATTTTGTAGCAAGTAGATCATTGGATACTTTGGTCAGTGCCGTTTCAATAGAGTGCTTGGCGTGGAAACCAGACTGAAGCGGGTCTAGGAGAGAGTTGGACTCAAAGAAGTCTGTCAATCTCGCATACACAACTCTTTCAAGGATCTTGGATGCAAAAGGCAGTAGCGAGATAGGACGGTAGTTGGACAGGGAGTTAAGGTCAAGGTTGGGCTTCTTTAGAATTGGGGTTATAGTTGCATGTTTAAAGGGCAATGCAAATGTGCCAGAGGAGAGAGAGAGATTGAGAATTTTAGTGAGAGGTAGAGAGTCTGGAGCAGAGTCGAAACCTCTTCTGCTGTAGCGGGTGCAAATGAACATAGAACAGCAGAGGGAGTGAGGTTAGGGGAAGTATTGTAAGGGGAAGATGAGAGATCTCTTCCCTGATTGTAGAAATCGTGTCAGTGAAGGGAACTGCAAAGTCTGAGGCGGTCAAGTTAGTAGGTGGAGGAGGAACAATGGGGTGAAGAAGAGAGTTAAATGTGTGAAATAGTCGTTTGGGTTCGCGGGAGAGTGTGGTTATGAGGGTATTGAAGTAATTTACTTTTGCAGAGGAAAGAGCCAAGCAAGGAACTCCAATGACAGATCCTCTGCCATGGTAACACAAGGCCACATCAGCCCCTAAGAAGTTGAATGTGAGCTGGAGAAACACATAAGGGGTAGGGCGGGGGCTGAAAAGACAAATAGGAATGGGCTGGAGAGACAGATAAAGGGTAGGGACGGGGTCTGGAAGGGGTAGCAAGGGAGATATGGGTGACAAATAGGTGGTTGAAGAGTGTCATGAAAAGTAGGACAACAGTTGGAGAGTCACACGTGGAGATGAAGGGCATACCTCCCAAGTGTCCCTATTTAGAAAGGACAGTCCCTATTTTGAGCCAAAATCCCTTTGTCCCTCATTTCTATACTAATGTTCCTATTTTCTAGGAGCTCCATGTCGGTGTATCTGAGTGAATAACAGAGCTCAACAGCAAAAATACTCACAGTAATGTGTTTTTACACTACAATAAATGTTTTTAGAAATCAGTCTGTAAATAAGATACATTGTACTTTTTCTAAATTATATTTTAGTTCCATAAATTATTAGTAAGTCACCTGAAATTTCTCAGAACAGCCCTGTGCCTGGCCACACCCCCACTCATACCCCTAAAATGAAAGTGTTTGTCCATTTAACATTTTGGGAGGTATGGATAAGTGGGACAGGTAAAAAATGAGAGGGACATAAACAATTTGAATTCCACAGCCAGTAACTAGAAAGTTGCTGTGATCTCTAGAGCAGGGCTGCCCAATAGGTAGATCCCCAGGTGTTATAGAACTACAACTCCCATGATGCTTTGTTTATTCTAAAAGCATTTTGAATGCATGCAAAGCCTCTGGGGGTTGTAGTTCTACAACATCTTGGGATCAAACTATTGGGGAGCCCTGCTCTAGAGCAGCATATTGACTTTACATTATTGCACATTGCAAAATAAGATGAGAGAGAGAGAGTGAGTGTGTGTGTATATATATATATATATATATATATATATATATATATACACACACACATACACACACTCTCTCTCTCTCATCAACAATATATATGGGGAGTATTTTGATTGCAATACACCATGCAGAAAGAGTTAATAATATACTGTCTCTGTATTTTGTATAGGTTTCCATAACTATATAAATATTTACAAGGAAAATAAAATCGTCCATTGTAATGCCTTTAAATAGATATTGTTTTATTACTGTTATTGTAATTATTGTTTCATTCCAAACAGCAAGACAGAGGATATGTCCAACCCTTGTATTATTAGATAATTCTAACAATGCCAAAATCCCATGTTCATTAAATGTCACACTGACACGTGTTTTCATTAGCAGGAGGTAAGATGGAATACATTTATATAATAATTGGCTACCATGAATCACACAGCGTGAGAATCCCTATTATTACATGGGGACTGGCTGACTTCCTCTATTGTACGTTATGCATTACCTGTTAGCAAGAAAGAGCACGGCTCCGCCCTTTAATGAGGTCACACAGCAAGAGGGAAGGAAAGGGGGGAAGGGAGGAGTGAGAGACATCCAATGCACCTGAGACAGCTGGAGCAAGCGAGAGAGCCATAGAGGGGATGTAGCATTCTCCCCATTAGGAGCCCCCCATTCTACTGCATGCAGTGCTGAAGGACAGCTCCTGGCCTGCACCCCATTACACATCAAGCAGCAGGCTCCCTGTGTGGTGGGAGATAGAGGGGATTATCCATTCAATCTGTATGCCCTTGTGTTCCCAGCACTGCCTCCTGTTTGTATAAAGCTGCTGGACCTGCCTCTCCTCTCACCCCCCAGCCTTGCTTGAATTAAACCCCCTTCCCTCCTGATGGATCTTCTGTAAGTGGCCAAGATACTAGAAATTTAAGGGAAAATAATGAAAAAGAGCTTTTTGGTCCCGGAAATCAAACCATTGGATATTTATGATGTGCAGCAGGCCAGGATCTCTGCCACACTCAGCTGGCTGATCTATAAATGCTATGGAACAGGTAAGGGAAATAACATTCTAATTGCTATCCAGACTTGTCGTGTTCACTGTGGGTTGTTTGAATATCTTGTTAATAAAAAAAATAAAAAAAAATTCTGGGGATTAATAATAAGTAATTTATAAGTATATGTACAGTGTGTAATATCCTATAATAGCTTTTAAAGCTGGTTTCCAAGGAAAGTCTGATTAATTGAATAACCCACAGTATAAATTTAAATCCTATTACCAATCAGAAAAACAGGACTTATTGTATAGCCCTCAATGTCTAATGTATTGGTTGTGTCCGAATTTAATATTTGAACGTCTTCTAGACCAAATCTGAACAATACCATTCTATATTGGTAATACACCTGTAATTCTAAATTCTATAGGGTGAGGTCAGAATGTCCTATAGGTGCTTTGCCCATAGGTATTTGACCCCTTTAAGTAACCCGTTCAAACATTTAATCCCATTTATGGCATCACGGTTTACCCAACCATCACACGTGTTTTAATCACAGAAACAAAGCTTGATTTAATTATAGTCTTAAATCTACCTTTTTTTTTTTTTTTAAACTATTTCTTTATTAAGAGAGGCATGTTTGCTATTTCACATCATTTTAAAAATAAAAGGGGGGATATATATATATATATATATATATATATATATATATATAAATTTTTTTTAATTTTCACATTTCTATTTAGACTCTGTATTTCCCTGTGTTAATCTTTAGCACTCACTGCTCCTCATTTATATATAGGCTGCTATCAGTGAAACCATCCTGTTAGTTTTTCTACCTCTAGAGGCCGATGGGACTTCAATGATATACTTGATGTTTGTTTGTTTTTCAATGTGTCAATGAAATGATTTTGTTAAATATGTAGGTAGGTCACTTTATATGTTACAAACATTCTATGTAAACATTTAACAATTCAATTTTAGGAAACACCAGTGTGAATACTTTAATTTATTTCTTTAAATGGGGTTTTCCTGTTAAAATCCCATTGTTACATTAAGGGAATCTGTTAAATCATGTTAAATATAATTTTTTTTTTATGTTTGTGTGGTAATATTTTATTACCACAACAGTGCTCCACCTGCTCTCATCTCACACCCTATTCCTGTGTCTTCCTTTAAGTGGGGGTGGAGACCATGGTGTATGTTATAAGGGATTTATTGGGGCCTCTCCCACCTTACAAACACCTCCAGGGTTGTTTGCAGATGCCATAGTTAAAATGTATCTTTTTAATTTTTTTTCATCCACCCATTTTTCTATACCTTGTTCTTTGTACAGCTTGTAGTGGGGCTTTCTATTGTTCTCCTGTTTATAGGGTGTGTCAGAGAAAGGGGGCTCCTAACTGTGGTACCCTGGCAATAAGAATGGCAGTCTCTCTCATTATGTGTAGTAGTCACATTCTATTTAACCCAAGGCCGGGCAATGGTGCTCCTGTCTCCTGGCTGGCCTTAATGAGATTTGTAGTCAACAAAATGGCGGGGAGAATGCTGTGGGCCAGCCCTGTGTTTTAAATTATCTGTGTGTCAATTACATCATATAGCTTTGTGAGCAGCTCATGCGTAGAGGTGTGTGTATACATCATCTCTCTCTGGAGAGGCATACTAGTATGTGTATATATGTTAGACACAAACACACCTAGAACTAACCTGACTCATTGTTCCCTCTGTCAGAATGAGTGACCTGAGTCACGGTGCAACTGCCCAGAGGGATTAGAATATCATTGTGACTGTGGAGATCAATATTCAGCAGGGTTTTAGCATTCCTGGTCACTGCCGCATATTCCACCTGCTGAAATTCTTGCTAGTCAGGCCAGCAATATGGCTTGTGTAGGCACTCACTATAATTCTACATTAGCGTGCATCTGTGTCATGGTTAGGTGGCCGTCTGTTGGTGTACAAACATTCACATCACAGTGGCTGAGAATTGTGAGAGATTTGTTCCAGTAGATAAAGGTCCCAGACTAGCTGTATTATTGTATTCCTGAAAAGGGTATGCTGTGCATTATCTGTATAGGGATATCTTGAGCTGGCATGCTGGTGTAGTCTGTTACTGACATTGTTACTCTGGTATTGCTGTATAGAGACATTCTGCACATTGGTGGTGCATGCAGGGTTTTTTTTTTTGTGTGTCCGTAAAAAGGGACTTGATCTGACTCTCAGTTGATATTTGATGCTGGCAGAGTCTCCCTATCCTTGGCTGGGATTGTAGAGTGATCCTGTGCCTCTCCTTGTCTTTGTTCTCTATCCATGAATTAAACATTGTAGAGATGCTACACACTGAGTGAGGTGAACCCTCTGTGGGCCGGGAAGCAGGGATGCCCATTTTGTCGTTCTGCATGCATTACTTGTCTCTGTCCCTCCATCCCTCCATCATTGATTTATAGGTTCATGGCAGTGGACTGCTGTGTCTGCAGGGAGCAGTTTGTGTTTTCGTGTCTGGTTTGTCAGATATGAGGTGGATTTTACTGATGACTGTATGTTATGAAGAAGTAAGCATGCCTTCAACTGATGTCTTGGTGATTTGCATTAGTTAAATTTTATATTTGGGAATTTGTCGAACTAGGAACGATATTGAGCCTAATGATTACCCGTGTCTTTATTTGGGTTTAGTTGAAACCATAGTCTTTAGTTGACTGACAGGGCCTCTGTGTTTTTGTACTTGGCCTAAATGACTGACAGGGGATTCAGTGTCTTTAACTCTATTTTGTTAAAGAATAGCTGGGTGATTAGATGGTGTCTCTATATCTTGATAAACAGTTCAGGTAACTAACAGGAAGCACTCTCCACATCTTCATTAGGGATACAAGTGACTGGTATGGAGCTCCGTGCCTGGGTACTTGGACCGGGTGACTGGCTTAATGCCCCATGCCTGGGTACTTGGACCGGGTGACTGGCTTAGTTCCACATGCCTGGGTACTTGGAGTGGGTGACTGGCTTAATGCCCCATCCCTGGGTACTTGGACCGGGTGACTGTCAGGTTTCCCTGTGAAAGGGTTTTAGCTAAAATGGAAAATAGTCTTCAACTGCTGCTTTGTTCTCAATTTGCGGCTCATATAGTGCTTAAAAGAGGAACTTCTATGGTCATATACTGTACCTTTCTGGCTATTTTGCATTCTAGTAATGGAAAGTTTTCCTGTTCTGTGAATATTGAAAAATGTCACTATTCAGTAGAAATGTTTACCTCCTCTCTTATGTAAATTTCAAAGTGAGCTTGAAGTTCAGATGAATTGGGTGAATTGCTGAAAGCAGGGGTTTCCAAACTTGTTTTTCTGTAGCTACAAATGTTCTTAATCATTGGTTTTGCTACATGTATAATAAAAACAAAAACAAAACAAAACACATGGATGTAAGTGGTTTTCTTTATTGAATGTACAAAGGTTGTGTGGGTAGGATCATACTGCCAATAGTGCTGTAGGAATCTGTGTCTATTTGTGTGACTTGGAAGTCTAAAATCAAACAACATCTTTATGATCTTGAGGCTAGTATAATATACAGAACTAATCTATTTTGCAAATCTTTCTATGGATTACATGACATTCTTTAATTGATTGGTGGATACCATGGGACATTGGAGATACAGATATAAAGCACTCATGGTTTGAATATGAAGGTGGAATACAGGGGTTCTGTGACTGGTGATGTTGTAATACAGTGTCACAGCCTGTAACTTACTAGGCACATTCAGTACACAGAAAGTACTTTGCACAAATCTTATTGTTTGAAAAGGTACTTCAATGAATGGCACTCATCAAGGTATACAATTCTGAGATTTTTTTTGATGTTTGTGCCAGTTTGTATTCTCTCTTGATTGAACTCCACAGTCCATTTAAAGTAGGGGGTGCTCAAAAGGTAGATTAGGCTGGCAAAAGCATTGTTCTAGTTCCATAACACATGTTGGGCGACCTCTCCTATGCTGGAGAGCTTCATATTTTATGACGGCCCTAATTTAGAGAATCTGTGGCTCATTCACGTTTGACATCTGTGTATTGCTGCATGGTATATGCCGCTACTTGTCCTGCGGAATGGTTTAAAGAAAAAGGCAGTATGTGGATAGCAGAATGTGTGGATCAAGGGGAAATAAATGAAGGGTTCAATATTGGCCTTTTTTTGCGATTGCCTTGTGCAAATTGACTGTCTTTGTAAACCATTTTTTTTAAGGATGTGTAATATAGTTTTGCAAACAATTGTGTTAAAATGCATCTAATAGTTTTTTAGTCTCTAAATTATGGTGTAAGAGCTGGAGTTTATTAAGTCCTATGGCAGATGTTTAGGGAATGAAAGGAGGTTTTTTTTGGGCTGGTGACTGTATTGTGGTTGACTTTAATGCCTGGCTATTTAGACCTATATTTTTTTAGTAAATATGTAAAAACTGTCAGGATTACTAGTTGATCCAGCACGTAGCATTTTGTCGCACAGATGACCAATAGGTAATGTATTACCGGGCCTTAAAATGGCCAGACTTCATGTACCAAAGAATAGTCAGGATACTTGCCGAGGTCAGGGGACACAGAAAGAGACACAACGATAAGAGAAAGCCAGAAGTCAGGGATATAGAATACAGGGAAGTCAAAATCCAGAAGAAACCTGAATCAGGAACACGCTCTCGGACAACCACAAGGGAAACCACGACAGGGCACTGAGCAGGATGAGAACTGGGCCTAAATACCACTCTTCTAGATCTGATAGGCTGTAATCGGCCTTTGACCCCAAAGGCAGTTACCAGGTTTCTATTTGCATAATTGCTGCTCAGTATTAACCCTTATGTGGATTTGGTTGCTGCTCGGCACAACTTTTCCTGTGTGCCATTAACCACATTTTTATAAGCGGATGAATACGTGACAAAAACACCATGAAACAGGTTTAGTATTCTCATCAGAATGCAGTTGTTACTGTGTGAGGAGGTCCCTGCTTATCTTTTAGGGGTAAACTGTTCACAAATAGTTTAACCCCAAATTATTTTATCCAGCACTGTTTAGCTCTGGCCCTGTACTTATCTAAGAATATTCAAACTAGACGCCTTGAACTGCCACGGATACGGTCGCCGCTGATTGGCCAAGAGTGTTAGCTACCCATTCACAAAACTGCTTGAGAAACGGAAGTATTTTTCTGAAATCAGCAGAGAGCTTATCTGTGGCAGTCCTAAGCTTCCTATTGAAGCATGTCAGAGAAGTGGTAGGGCAGGGATAAACGGCGATGACTGATTTAACTTCTAAAGGTGTGCCAGGGACCTCCTCACACCATAAGAACTTAATGTTGGCTCGTCTGGGCAGGGTCTTCATCTACGTATTGTTCCTGTATCATTTTGTAATTGTCTCATTTATTGTTAAATTTCCCCCTTATTGTAAAGCGCTGGGGAATAAGTTGGCGCTATATAAATACCAATAATAATAATTCAGGAGTATTACCGTTTAGATGACCAGGCAAGCCTTGCCAGGGTTAATGAATGGTAGATTAATTACCATGTTTCCCTCATCGCACGGGTCTTGTTGGTAACGCTCTGCCTATTTGATTAATTTAATCAAGATCTGTGATCTTGGCCTGAGTGCCATTTAAGTGTATTTGATAGGGTTTGGCTCTATATCCATACTGTAGTTTACTCTACATTGAAATAACCTTAGTTTAGATACAGTGAGATGTAGTTTTCTATAGTGTAAGTAACCTTCCCCCTTAGCCACATCTCTTCTATTGCTCCGTCCCACAGTAAATCTTTGTTCGTCTCAACACGGATTTGAAATGATAAACATTTAATAAAGGCACAGTGTTTTAACTGTGGGGCGGAGCCAAGCCACCAGCTAATTTCTCATTCTGATCTCTCTCATTAGCTGAACTACACTATGTACTTGCGGGTCAGGAAGACATTTTTGTAATATGTGGAGGCATAGCTTAAGAGGTGGGCTTATGCTGCAGAAAGAAACATGTTTCTCTCACCTTAATGAAGTGGATTTGGTGCAGTGCTCCTCTTCCTAAACACTGACAAGTGGAAGCATTGCTGTTTGTGAGATACAACAATGTTTACATTTATCACTAAAAACACCTATAATGGCTGTCAATTAGACAGTTGCTAGAGGTGTTTCCTTGTGAAGGCTTTCAATAATTGAAAGACTTCACATTGGTGTCACACTGCTTCAGAATGTGACAGATGCTAAATAAGGAACATCTATAACAGACTTCCTCAAACTCTGGCCCTCCAGGTGTTGCTGAACTACAACTCCCATGATTCTATGAATGAAAGAGGCTGAGAATCATGGGAGTTGTAGTTCAGCAACACCTGGAGGGCCGGAGTTTGGGGAAGACTGGTCTATAACATTAAATAAACTTTAAAATACAGGTTATCATATATTTTTTTTTTATTCTAACGATAGGGCAGAAGTCATCCTGTGTCAGTGGCTGACCCACCTATCCTTGTATAAGAATGCTCTTCTATAACCTTCATAGTACAGTACCTATGTTGGTTTACCAGCATGTTGGGAGTTGTAGACAAACAGCTGGAAAGCTATGGCTTGCATTTGACATTGCGTGGCTGCACACAGTGCGCTGCCTCCCTTAGCATACGGAAGCAAACCAAACATCCAGGAATTTGCATGGACTTTGACTAAAGCTCAAAGTGTTTGCTGAGCTGCTTATACTATCCCAGTCATGCAGTGTGAGCAAGTAATAGACAGGAAATTACAGCAAAATGGAAACCATATCTGATATGGAGCCAGTTCTGTTAAGATACACTATGCCCATTCTCTGAAGTGGGTAGATCTTTTGGGCAATGTATGGAATAAACCTGAAAAATATATTTCTGTTAAAATACCATGTTCACAATGAAATTGTACTGTGACTGATGACAGAAAACTAATAAAAGACTTTGAAATGGGGTATAACTTTGCTTTCATTGATGTTGGTCTGCAATGTCAGTGTAATGTTCAGTGTGTAACTGAAGCTTCAGGAGATTAGATTACAATGCTGTGAGCATGTGTATAAAATTTGGGTATGTGCCCGTGAAATTTAGTGTGGTATATGCTTTACAACGGACCTCTTTAGGTCTTTCTATTTATTTGTTTTTTTTAAATTTCTTTAGTTCGAGATCTTGATTTATCTCTAATTCATTGCATTAAAGGACCACTATAGTGCCAGGAAAACATACTCGTTTTCCTGGCACTATAGTGCCCTGAGGGTGCCCCCACCCTCAGGGTCCCACTCCCGCCGGGCTGGATGGAGAGGAAAGGGGTTAAACTTACCTTTTTTCCAGCGCCAGGCGGGGAACTCTCCTTCTCCTCCTCCGCCTTCGATCCTCCTCTTCGGCTGAATGCGCATGTGCGGCTGGAGCTGTGCGCGCCTTCAGCCGGTCTCATAGGTAAGCATTCATAATGCTTTCCTATGGACGCTTGCGTGTTCTCACTGTGATTTTCACAGTGAGAAGCACGCAAACGCCTCTAGCGGCTGTCAATGAGACAGGCACTAGAGGATTTAGAGGCTAGATTAACCCATTTATAATAGCAGTTTCTTTGACACTGCTATGTTTATATTAAAAAAAAAAAAAAAAGGGGGGGGGGGGTTAATCCTAGAGGGACCTGGCACCCAGACCACTTCATTAAGCTGAAGTGGTCTGGGTGCCTAGAGTGGTCCTTTTAATTTAGGGGTAAACACATTTTTACCCTGAACCTGAGAACTTTAGCTAGAGTGAACGCCAACATATTTTCAAGGTTATTCACGGTGTGTATTTTAGATTTGGGACCAAAATGGTGCACTGAAAACATTGCTGAACTATATATCTTTTCCAGCTTGGATATTGGTTTGTCCTTAAAGTCTGAAGTTGGAGTCCTAGCATATTTGGCATGCACACAGCAATGACTTGGGGAGAAGAGAACATGAGAGATACTCAGGGCATAACATTTCAAGTCCTATGCTACTAGCCAGACCTTAAAAGTTACTTGCCGCTGCAAGCCTAAAGGGTCCATGGCACATTCACCAGGGGTGAATTTTATTTTATTTGCCATGACTACGTTTTCACTCATAATTTCTAATGTTGAGTGGAAATTTTAAACCCTATCATGAAGCTTTCCCTCATGGGTGCTATCAGCTTTTGGCCCTTCATCCTCCAGCAGTCCTAGTCACACCCTTACAGGAGGTCCTGCAGCACCACCAGTAGAGACTGCTGATGGAAAATTATAGTAGTTAAAAGCAGAAGTTTGTCAACCTTTATGCCCATAATTTAAAAATTTCAATGAAAGGCAAGTGCAGTAACTGAGTACATACATTATAAAGTTAATTTTACGAAATACTCCAAAGGGACAGAGCTGCTTTACTAACACTGTTTTGTGTTTGAGCATATACTGGTGAATATAGCCTATTTTCATAAAATTCTCAATGATCCATGCTTTTGAGAGGATTTGTAAGCCTCCTGACTTGCACTCGCTCCATGGGGTTTTCCATTTTAATTCCACTTTGGTCCGAAGCAAAGCTTGTCTGGTCAAAAAAATGCATTTTTATGAATCCTGACACCCTGCTAAAGCAGTATGGGCACTTGGTCGGTTTGAAATTCAGATTTTTTTTTTTATAGTATTAGTGGAAATAAGGAGCTTCTGACTGAAGAGGGTTCACTACCTCCGGAGGTTGCGCGAGGCTTCCTCAGATCCATCAGTGTGGGACTGGTTTTGCTAGGTTCCAGCAACATCTGGCTTGAGCCCAAAGGAACATTTGATGACCCCAACTATAACAGAGAGATGATGTGTCGTGACATGTCCCTCCCTCCTGTCTACCTATGATTGTCATGCGTTCTCTAAGAAAGCGTAGGTGAAAACAAGCACTTTCTACACAGCCATCTATTTCAGTGCAATCTTCCCACACTACTGAACTAAGAGGAGTGTGCAGCAAAGTTCTTTTCCCCAGCCCCATCTACTGACTGTCGTCTTGTGAGTATTGCCCTCTCCCCTTATGCAGTATATTGTACTACTTATCTAATCTTATTTGTAAGCCTGCTATGGGAAGCAACTGTCTAATTTAAAACTTAAAAAAATAAACCAAAAAACAAAACCACTCCTATCTGCCTGCCTTCTCCACTAGCTGTAGAAATCCATGGCTAAAGAGCCCCATATCTGGTTTCCAGACCCTAAAGCCACCCCTTATAAATGGCTTTGATTGCATGCATAGTTCAGATCTCACTGTGCCACATTTATACCAAAGAATGTGATCAAACTATATTTTTCCTATCAACTTATCGCTGCACGTCCCTAATTCCCTGCAGTCGCATTCTCATCTTTGCTTTACTGTGGCTCCAAAATCCTGTTAAGAAAGGTCATCCTAATCAGAGAGACCAGTGGTTTATGTCAACATTTGCCAGCAAAATTATCTGGTTAATGTCCAAACTGGAATATACATGATTGTTTCATTCATCTTTGGTGTTTACATATACCTTTTCCTCATAACATTGAATTGGATATGTGATTTGTGTGTGTGTGTGTGTGTGTATATATATATATATATATATCTATATATATATATATATATATATATATCTATATATATATATATATATCTCTCCCATGACTCCTACAAGTGCTTCCTCACCACTCAACTTGCTCCTTGCAATGCAATGTGATCTAACAGCTGCCATTACCACGCACTGGATTGTAATGTTTATAATTTGAAGGGATCCTTGCTACCTTTGGTCTCGCTATAATTTCTTTTAGATTATAAACTCAGAGGACTAGACTCAGTTTTTAGGCTTAGAGAGAGAGTTTTCTTGTTTTCTTTTTGTAACTTTATTTAATTGTGTTTTGTTCTTTGTGATTCCTACTTGTCGTTCATTTGTCCATTGTAAACAGCTGTAGATAATATGTGAACCTAAATATTTATATAATCATCCGAACGATTGTGTACACATACAATGCTGATCAGGCGGGTATGTGCTCACAGGACAGACCTGTTGGCTAAATGCTAGCTTTCTATTCTTTACCTTGGCTCCCTCCCTCTCTGTAATTAAAACAATGGCCTCCTTTGCAATAAAATGTAACCTTCCAGAACATCTTGCTTTTCAAGCCAGAATATCCTGCTCTCCTGGGTATAGGGGCTGATTAACTTAAAATGCAGTTCCTGAAACTGGTGGTCTGAAGAATCCAGTTACTGATATTCCTTGGTTTGCAGATATCTGTAAGAAGAGGTTTATTGCATCTCCCATGTGCTTACAGTTTGGAAGGACAGCTCAACTCATGACGCTAGCTTCACACTAGGGCACTACAGAGAATAGTCAAACAAGCTGTAAAGTGGAGTGCCTAATGGGCATTAACCCTTATGAATAAGATAAACTGAACAGTAGTGAAAACATACTGCACATTGCCGTGGCTTAACGTTTAAATTAAAAAACGTAGGACTCCATAGCTTTGAATTTGCAAGTAATTTGGCTACTGCAATGTATAGATCAGATTATCCCAACGTATGAAAACTGTGTGGTTTTACATGATATACTCTCCCTTTTAGGAGTTTAGGAGTTAGAAATGAAAACAAAAGGAAATTGTTTGGACTAAGCATACAGTTGGATTCACTTCTTGAGGGAAATTTAAGTGATGTGTTTTTCATCTTTGAGTTGCACATTGAAATAGTAATGCCGAATGAGTGATGTAAATGGGTATAAATCTGTGTGGACACCGAACATACATTTATCACAGCTGATCACCTTGGAAGTTTGTGCTGATTCCATAAGCACGTATCCCCAGTCAATCAAGAATCGTTGTTGGTTAGGGATATCTGTTATTGAAGCTGCTGTGAAATAGCCTACAATTTGCAATACATTGACCCAGTCCCTTTATCAAGTCCATATTAAAAATAAAAAAATACAAATTTAATTTTTTTTAAATTCCCAATGCTGTTAAAAAAAAATTAAATGTTTTTACCTTGTGTTTTTGTTGTGGAACCCGTAGTTATATAAGTGTCACATAAGGTGAAATGTAAATTGTTTTAGTTTAATACAATGCAGGTATCAGTGATTCATTGTTATTGGCTATGCAATGCAAGTTTCAGTGACACATGGTGTCAGTATTGGGGGTTTTCTTGAGCCAATATGTCTTAACATACAAGTTTAGCTCCATGCTGACGGTTTGAATGACAAGGGAGAGCAGAAAAGACCTCCCTCAGGCGGTCCTTCAGCTCTCAAGCATAGCAACCACAGAGCATGCGCTATGGAAATTCAGTAGCCGGTGCTGGTAGGGTGTATAGGAACAGAGTAACTAATGTCATTCTGAGATACCGGCATGCTGGAAATGAGGCCAGCATGTCGGTATCACTGAGGAGATTTACAGAACAAACAAAAGATGATTAGAGTAGTAGCCGAGGACAGACCTGATGTGGGTGTTACGTGACGAGTAACACCCAAGAAATATCTGAGGAGATGGAAGACCTAGAACAAGTTATGGTGAGTAAATTACTGTGCATAGAATACATCTTGCATCTCCATGATATATGATGTATTCAATGTATTTGGGGACGATTTAGCAAATGTTCAAAATAAAGTAAACCTTTTCTTAAAGTTTTTAATTCCCTTTGAATTCTTACTTTAGTGAAAAATCCTTACAGTGTGTCTGTTTTACACTATTATTTATTGCGATTTATATAGCGCCAACAAATTCCGTAGCACTTTACAATATTTATTAGAGGGGGGATTTGACTATAAATAGGACAATTACAAGAAAACTTACAGAAACAAAGGGTTGAAGAGGGCCCTGCTCAAACGAGCTTACAGTCTATTTCAATAGACTACAATTCTGAATTTTTGTGAATAACCCCCTCTTTGTCTTGCTCATGGAGAATCTCCCAGAAAAGTATCTAATTAACTTCCTGTGGTGAGAAATGGAAAAGCCTTTAACGCACAGTGCATGACACAGCAGGTCCTAAAGTGCAGCCTTGCTATTTTGCAGAAAATCAACGAAGTGATGCTCTGCAGAGCTCAAACTCGGGAGGGGTTAGTCTGTACTCTGCAGAGCAATTAACCAACTTACTGACCTGGATTTAATGTTTTAGGAATGCCGGATTAATTAGATGGGGGCTGAGAGGGTTGCCAAGTTTGTGTGTTAATTAAGTACCCAATTGTTTTGGAACTTTTGCAGCATCATAGTGTGATAACCCAACATTGAATCACCCTATTATTACAACAAGAGTTATGCCTACCCTATTTATAAAGGTCCAACATGTGCCATAGCGATGATGTCTGTTGGCATTGAGCATGTGATGCATGTTTATACCTCCTCCACCCCGTACGGCTGTCTGGATGTATAATATAAGCCTGGCCATCCTTGAGCTGTAACAATGCCTTGTGTGTTTTTGTGTACTCCCTATAGGCTCCAGAACCAAGGATTTTTTTTAAAAAGGTTGAAAACAAAGCAAAACCAGACCAGTTCTGGAACATTTTACATTGTGAAGGGGGAGTTGAAACATTTGAAATGAATATTTAATATAAATACAAATTGTTTCTTCTGAAAAGTATTTATTTAAAATATGCTTGCAAATTGTTTCTCTTCCCATTTGTGCATATGTGATTTTTTTTTAATTTTTTTTTTTTTTTTTTTTTTTTTTTAAACAGAGAAATCAATATGGCATTGCATGAAGTGTTTCTGATGATCTCTGTGAATGTGGTCAGTGTGAAATGTATAATCTGCATGGCTGTTTTCCTAGGCATGTAATAATATATAAAAATTAAGAGGGATTTGACTTATTCAGAACTTTTAAATGGAAGCGTGAGTGATAAAGGAAACATGCTTGCCATGACACTTTAGCAGACACACTATCTAACCTTGCCAACGAGCCCTACATAATTGATTGTGGCACTCAATGACAAGCAAAATCACAATTGAGACTGTTGTGGTTCTGCCCAAAATCTTTTGGAAATGAAAATATAAAACTAAAACTCCATTGTTATTCTCTTTGTTTATTCATGCAGGCTTGAAAGAAGGTTTATTTACTAAGCTATTCAGTCTTTAGTAAATTGAATTCCAAATGGCAAAGTGTAGGGTACAATAGCTGATATGAAAAATGGCTTCACTCCGTTGTAGTGACGGCCTTAATTTTAGTTTGCTACATCTTTGGTTTCCGTGAATAAAACCATTGTATTGAAATGTTACCTTTACTTTTGGCTTTATCAATAGAAAAGACCTATTTATTTTGTTGTTTACTGGGTTTGTAAAAAAATAGTACTGCAGTTCTCCTGTAATGTTATTTTTGTCTATTATCCCCTTTTGCATTCCCCCTTCTTAATCTCCTGTGTTGACTCACCATGGTTCCATCATATTTGGAGAGATGCAAATGGTCTAAACCAGCATAATTCTAGTGGGTGCAATAAAATCTTTCCAATTTCCTGAACTTTGAGTAATATGTTAGTGTATTTGACTCTGCTATGGTAAAACAACCCATCCCGCATGATCTAGCTTTTGTCTGCACGTATGCATTTTTATATTTAAAAAAAAATAAAAAAAATAACATGTATAAGCTGTTTTTTTTTCTTGTATGTTAGTAGTTTTTACTTGTGTAATGGAAAAAGATGTTTGTGTGCTATAATTCATCCACTAGATTGTCAGCTCTGCAGGCTAGGGAGTTTTCCTATTTGTGTGCATTTCTGTTTTCTTTGTTTCCTGGCACATCTTCTAGGGAGGCTTCCATTGTGTCTCTCATCACATTTATATCCTGACTTTTTATTGGAGAATGATGACATCAGCCTGGGTGTAGTGGTTTAGGTGTCAGTTGAAGAGTTGGGGTAAATATTAATTAATATTGCTGGAGGGACAGTAGTTTATTCATAACAAAGAAGGGTCTTGTTAAATCTTGTATTAGATATGGGTACCAAGTTAAACACAGTGGGCCTGTTTACATTAGAATGAACATAGAAAGGTGTGGATATGTGAATTATACTCGCTAAACATAATTGCAGTGAGATATAACTAAGTGGCTTATATATAGTGCATTATCTTTCCATCCTTTTGTACTAAATTTCTATCAACCCATCCTGTCTAGTCTTGATGGCCAAGGTGGGTGACGCAAACGCAGAATGCTGAAGTTAAAGGGTATTTTAAAGAGCACAAAATTCCATCTGTACAGCATGTTAGATGTTCTAGCAAATGTATAGATGGGGGAGGAAAAACCTTTTTAAAAATAGGGCTTCCCTCCCCACTTGTTTGTCAATTCTTTAGCATGGACCCTAATATAATTTACAATAGACTCCAGGAAGAGTATGTGTATAAAAAGTGACAGGTTCACTTTAAAGCATGTGTTCTTTGCTCCAGATAGCAGAGTTTGCTTGAGGGGACATGGCCCCCACAAGATGCTGTACCTTGTCACAGGTGCACGTTTTGTCAGTCTGACCCTGCATAAACTGTTACAAAAAGGCACGTGTTTCAGTCTGTTAGTATGTGTTCAAATTTAAACTTTGGTTAATTAAAATAATTTAATAAACAAAACATAGAACTAGTATTGAAGAAACTGGTTATAGCTCAACCCTTATGACAGCAGTGTTTGGCATGTGTCAACAGTAAATTGACATTGCGCGTTGAGTGGTTCAAGTTTTGTAATGACTAACTTGCACGTTGTGTATTGTGCCCTTTGCCCTGTTGCTCTGAGGGTTATTCACTGTAGTGTGAATTATCACACAAGATGCGTTGCAAGATTCCATATTGAAAAATGTTTGACATTGAGAATTGGTCAAGTTTGATTATTTGGAACACCCCATTGGGGGGAGGGGGAAACTATTTATTTTTGCATTGTTTCTCATTTGGGGGATATCTAAAACAGCTTGCAAAAGCTGCAGATCTCTTGTCTGCAGCCTTTGCAAGCTTTCCTCTTTTTTTTTTTTTCACATAAATCTGTGCCAGTAAGATGACCAATTAGAGGTTTTACATTGAGTAGCCAATGATGTTGAACCGCACTTTTGTGTGGGTGGTTTTGAGTGCATGCTCAGCTTTCCAGGGAGCCTAGGAGGATGCAGTGACCAGCCAGGGATGCAAGAGTAAAATGATTCCTGTGGATGCTCATGCATGGGCATGTTTGCTATAACAAACAAATTCTGACTTTGGTTAGAAGTAGCACGCATGCCTGTAAGCTTTTTGGAGCTAACTGAATTAGAAAGATAACTTTTCAAGTTGTTTCTGCAGTGATTTTTATTTTATTTTTATTTTTTTTAATATAAGTCAGCATTTATAAACTGGAATTAAAAAGAGGAAGTCCTGACACACACAGCACTTGTGCTTCATGTGTGTGTAGTTGTCCTTTAAATTTGAAATCCACTTTGACTTTCTGACAAGTCACACTTTAGTGAATAACGTTGCCTATAATTGACAAGGTATTGATCATCATCATTACCAAAACAGCATCCGCAGCACTGGCAGGTAATGTAGTCCTAATCGACCACTCTTCCTAAGCTGAGCTAACTCTGGCTCGAGTCCTGCTTGTTTGGAGTTTAGCCACACACTGAGTGAGTGCATTGGTAGCTACAGGATTAAGCTTTTGAGAGAGTTATATGGGTAAGGAATTAGAGAGAAGTGAGCATAGAGCATATTGAGGAAAATTGTTGTTGCTTTTTTACTCATTTATTTATTATTCATCCTAGCCTAAAAATGTGAAAAAACACACATCATCATGCACGAAGGAAAAATTGAGCCTGTGTGAAATGATGCATAGTTGGATTGCTTAAGGAGTTATCTGTACTAAATTTGATTGCAGCCAAGGAGCTCTGTTTATTTTGAACTAATGCATCTTCAAGACCGACAAGGGCGGGAGCAAAACAGTAAATATTTGGACAGGTTCTTGTGGTTTGCCTGCATCATTTTGAAGGGGGGTATAATTATTACAAATGGAGTTTGTTATAAAAGGTTTGTTACTGGAAAGCAGGCAAGCCATTGGCAAGTAAAAAATTTAGTCCTGACAATAGAAATCCACCCCTGTTGAGCATTTTATGACTTGCAGTGGCGAGTAACTTTAAAGGCTTGACTACTCTTATATGGCTTCAAGATCAAACTGAAAGCTGAATTCTGCATTTTTTTGTAAGCATGTGTATCTCTTGGTGGGGTTTGAGTATTGAGGGCTAGATTAGCTCCTGCCAAGATCATGACCTGTGCAAATAAAAAAATAAAAAAAAAATAAAAAAATTTAAACGTGTGTATGTATGTGTGTATATATGTGTGTGTATATATATATATATATATATATATATATATATATATATGTGTGTATGTATGTATGTATGTGTATATATATATGTGTGTATATATATATATATATATATATATATATATATATATTATAATTACAGATGCCCTCATCTATTGGAAAAACATTCTCTTGAAAACGCTTTGTGTTGCATCGTCCTGAACAGAACTGTATAAAGGAGAAAAGGGCTATGCGCGGTTACTCTAGCAAATGAAGTGACACCTACTGCAGAGGAAGAATAACAGATATATGGCATTAAATGTTTAATCAAGCTCAGCTAATTAGGGCAAGAACTTTTAATAACTTACTGTTCAAGAGAGAAATCTGATGACTGCTTTGGATTTAGGAAAAATATATATTTTTATTTTATTGTTTTGTGTCCCAATCGTAAACTACTTCTTGAAGAGTCTTTGTCTTTGGGATCAACCGCAAATATTCGTATGTGTTGAACGAATGCTTTTACTTTGTTTTTTGAAAACCTTACAAAAAGAGCAAAGTTAGAGGATCATACGTAGTAGCTGCAGGTGCAGGGTTTACAGGCAATCATGTTTTGTTCCACGGAGTGACCTTTGCAAATGTCAGGTGGTGGTGTGTGTTGTGTGTGTGTGTGTTTTTGTTTTGTTTTGTTTTGTTTCACTTGAATTAAAGGGACTCTCCAGTGCCAGGAAAACAAACCGTTTTCCTGGCACTGCAGGTCCCCTCTCCCTCCCACCCCCCATCCCATGTTGCTGAAGGGTTAAAACCCTTTCAGTGACTTGCCTGTATCCAGCGGCGATGTCTCTCGGTGCTAGGTCAGGCTCCGCCTACCCTCCTCTCCCGCCGTCAGCTGGCGGGGGAGACCTATTGAGCATGTTCGTCCGGCAGCAGGGGAGACCTAATGGGCATGTGCGCCAATGCCGCACACTCGCATTAGACCTCCCGATAGGAAAGCATTGAATAATGCTTTCAATACTTTCCTATGGGGATTTCGGCGACGCTGGAGGTCCTTACATAGCGTTCTATGAACACGGAAGTGTGCTCTAGTGTCTGTCTAGTAGACAGCCACTAGAGGAGGACCTAACCCTTCAATGTAAATATTGCAGTTTATGCAAACTGCAATAATTACACTTGCAGGGTTAAGGGTAGTGGGAGTTGGCACCCAGACCACTCCAATGGGCAGAAGTGGTCTGGGTGCCTGGAGTGTCCCTTTAAGGTTCCTTAATTAAAGTGAAAATAAATAAATAAAAATTTGAAAACTATACTATGTACATTACCTGAATGGTAATCTATACTCTTAGTACCAAAACTTTATAAATAAATCTCTTCTCAGGACAGGAAAACATGGGAGCGACTTACATGAATTTTAAAAACTAATTTTAAATTTTTTTTTTTTTTTTTAAACTCCAACCACTATGACCACTTCTGCTCTTAGAAATGTTCATGGTGGTAGGAGTCTGTCTGTGCAACGTTTCAGCTTGAAATGCTGCATATCTAGTAATATCTGCACTTTTGATCCGGGAATTCGGTGCACTCTTAAAGGACCACTATAGTGCCAGGAAAACATACTCGTTTTCCTGGCACTATAGTGCCCTGAGGGTGCCCCCACCCTCAGGGTCCCACTCCCGCCCGGCTCTGGAAAGGGGAAAGGGGTTACAACTTACCTTTTTCCAGCGCTGGGCGGGGAGCTCTCCTCCTCCGATCCTCCTCTTCTCCTCCCCGTCGGCTGAATGCGCACGCGCGGCAAGAGCTGCGCGCGCATTCAGCCGGTCACATAGGAAAGCATGCACAATGCTTTCCTATGGACGCTGGCGTGCTCTCACTGTGAAAATCACAGTGAGAAGCACGCAAGCGCCTCTAGCGGCTGTCAATGAGACAGCCGCTAGAGGAAATAGGGGAAGGCTTAACCCATTAATAAACATAGCAGTTTCTCTGAAACTGCTATGTTTATGAAAAAATGGGTTAACCCTTAAAGGACCTGGCACCCAGACCACTTCATTAAGCTGAAGTGGTCTGGGTGCCTAGAGTGGTCCTTTAACATATGACTTGGGCACCCTGAAACTCTGTTAAGGGTCGCCAAATATTAATTCTCTGAAAACAAACCTACATCTGTTGTCAGCATGCATTGCACACTGGCAACAGTTGTTCTTGGGTTCTCCCCTTGCAGGTTGCATTGGGAGTGCGCCTGCAACTGGAAGAGTCTGTCTCTTCTTTCCCCGCCTTCCTCGCTTGTTTCAACCACACCTCTCTATGCTCTTAAATTGCTGCATTTTCTTTCCAGTCCCTCCCCCCAGCCCAGAGTGCATGCATGTACTTTGAACCAGTGAAACAGTCTAATCAAATACTTCTCTGGGAGCATTTGATTGGACCTCGCAAGGCAGGCAGTGAGGTCATACGGGGTGTGGTGAGCTTCGTATGGTGCTGGATTACAGGTAAATTATTCATTATTTTACAGGGTCTTAAGGGTTGGTGGATAAGTGAATAGTGCCCAATTTGGAACACTCTTATATTATGTTCGTCCAATACAAGGGTATAATTACATACTGCGATACTCTGGTTATTTTGGTATCTTTTCTGCTGGACTAATATGACTAATACAATCAATATATTTTTATATAATTGGAGTAGCCCTTTTTACTTCCTGCTAAACTACAAATAAAGATTGTCAAAACAGGCAACCCGAAAGAGGAATTTTAAGAAAGTTGCACATTGGGCAGATACAAGTTTCAGACTGTATCTCAAACTGTAATCTTTTATTGTGGCACCATACTATGTATAACATGTTTTAATCAATGTATCCTCAATAGAAATTCTGCAGCTTTTAACAGGAATTATCTGTAGGTAGCTACCTGTACAACTGGGCATAAATCCCAAATTTGCTTTTACACTACTATTGGGCCTGTTTTCTATATATTGAGTGCAGTATGTGGTGTTTATTTTGTCGTAAACTGTTGGGTATCAAAGGATCTAATATCAGGGTACCAGGTGTGATGGGTATAAACTGTACTTATTTCTTATATTTAGTATGGCAATGTATATGATCACAAATTCCAACTTTGAATTTAAAAATGTGCTTCTTCAACTTTTATTTTCCCCTCAAACGAGGTCAGTATTTTAACTATATAATTTCATTGTTGTTGCATAACTTGTCATAAATTGTATTCACCTTAATGAAGTGCAATATGTCAGAGGTGTTGGCAGAGTGACCTAGAAACAATGGGCCAAAAGTGTGTGAATCATACTGATAGTTGTAACTGTACTTCATCACTTTTGAAATTGACATGTGTTGCAATTCATGTAAATGTAAAGGAGTAGAAAGTGTTTCATTAAAAAGGATGTCCGCCCTTTCTGTTCTATAGGAGGGGCACAAAAACTACTGGTTGATGGGCATATAAGCACCATTTACACAAACATACAAACTGTGTAGTTAATATATGGGAAACCTAATGCTACTGAAGTGTTCTGGAGACAACTGGTCAAGTGATTTGTGAAGGTTTACAGAAACTCACAATGGCATTAATTGTTCCCAACATAGCTTACAATGTAGAAAGTACAGATGGTCACTTCTACTCATGAGTTTTTAACACTGCTAATTAACAAGGTATAGTAGAGCTCTGCATTCTTCAACTTACTGTTCTAGATATGTTGGTCTTAACTGACTACAACATTCTGATTTGCCAGGTAAACCACCCAATGAGTGCTACAAGCTATCTAACTGCTATTCAGTTTGGGGTGGGAAGGATTTAGGAGTATGTAATGGTAGGGGAGACTCACTCCACTGACACTGATAAGAAAATATGGCAGCTGCAATGAATTTAAATTGAACATGTTGATAAAATGGGTGTATAACTATGTAGGAAAGGATTAGATTTGTAGATTATGCTAGTGAAATAGCTAACAAATGTTTGTTGGGGTAGATCTGTTTTGATAGCTGTGTCCCCGTGTCTTTTTTTTTTTTTTTGTTAATTTTATTATTTATTTTTTTTATCCTGCTTTTGGTACTATATGGTTGAAAGAACGATGTGCATTTTATTGCTACTCATTTCTTTCAAATACATGCCCATTTATGTAGAAGAGAAAATATCACATGGATGTGCTTTTGAGTGTTTAGAACCTGACAGTGATGGAATCTTTAGCTTGAATTACTTGCACACCAGTTGTTGTGTTGGTAGAACTCTCCAATCTGTAGCATTGCAAGATCCATAGAATAAGATACTGCTCAAGTTCTATTGTGTCGCAATGCTTAGAGTATCCTTAAGATTTAGAGCTGAGCCCTGATGCAACTTTCACATCTTTATTGTGATGCCTGAAGCAAATATAAGCTCTGAATACTTATGGGAGTCAGAGAGGACCCACCTTGCAATAAAAAGAGATTGTTTAACCCAAATCCATTGTGCCCAGCCCTTATAATGCTCTACATTGCAGATCCTTCTCTGTGAACGGAGGGAAGGTCTGTTTAACTCTGCAATCTGCTTTTGCAGTACTGTAATTAAAATGATTAGGAACTTTTATGAAAGGTGCTTAAATGTGTATTGCTCTAAATGTCTAAACTTTGTTTGGCCCGGGAACCAGCGATGCTATGCGATGCTTGAGTATATTGGTTTTCCATGGGATATAATCAGAAACAAAAGCCCAGTCTTCATATGCATAATGCATGTCCTAGTCTGATATCTTGACCAGTGCTATGTTTAGACATTATATTAAACCCTTTTAAGTCACGCTGTCCTTACTTGATCTCCTCTATGTAAATGCCAACTTAATGAGCGTACATTTGCTTTGAAGATATGTTGAACTCAAGAACTCCATTTGGATCTACCCCACACTCAAACCATTAACCATGTACCATCACCTTATTAGCAGTTGCAAATAGAATACGAAAAAATTATTTGTGTGTGTGTGTGTGTGTGTGTGTGTGTGTGTATATATATGTATATATATATATATATATATATATATATATATATATATATATATATATATATATATATATATATATATATATATATATATGTGTGTATGTATGTATGTGTATATATATATGTATATGTGTGTATATATATATATTTTTTTTTTTTTTTAAATCAGAAAGGGGAGGGAGTAACAAATTCGTAGTTGTTTTACATGTCCTGATAAGAAACTTTATCAACGACTCCATTTTTATTTTTCCTGGATTGATTTTAATGAGGGATCACCAACTTGAGATCTTGAGTAGTTCTTGTTTTTAAATTACATTTTAGTTGTGTATATTAGTAATTCACCTAAAATGTCTCAGAACAACCCCACTCACACCACTAAAATGAGTGTCCCTCTTTGTCCTTTTAAAATGTTGTTCCATATCCAGTGGTCTAGATATTCTGAAATAAGCTATTGTACAGTGTTTTGGAGAAGGTATGGACAGGCCTTTTGTACAGTCGTAATGTACAGTATCTCACAAAAGTGATTACACGCCTCACATTTTTGTAAATATTTTATATCTTTTCATGTGACAACACTGAAGAAATGACACTCTGCTACAATGTAAAGTAGTAAGTGTACAGTCTGTATAACAGTGTAAATTTGCTGTCCCCTCAAAATAACTCAACACAGAGCCATTAATGTCTAAACGGTTGGCAACAAGTGAGTACACCCCTAAGTGGAAATATCCAAATTGGTCTCAGCGTGTCAATATTTTGTGTGGCGAAATGGCTGCAATCTTACAGAGCTCCTGACAATCTACAAGAAATCACTACTAATCTGTAGCCCCAAAGTGCCATCGATGAGTACACTCACTCACATGGGCACGCATTTAGGTAGAGCCGCACACTGATGCCTTTCCTGTTCTCACACACGGGCAAGAAAACCCGGAGGAGAACCGGGGCCTACCTCGAGGTGCAGACCGCAAAGGCTGCGCAAGAAATGATCGCACGGGCGGCAGGAATCCCATACGACACCCGCTTGCTGTACGGTCCCACTGCACCAGACACCCACAACATGGGGAGAATGTCCCAGAAACCTACCTCGGGCACCGGCAGAGACACCCAAGACATTAAGGCCTTGTTACAGCACCCGACGATGCCCAAGATGGCGACCTCGCCGGACCGCGAGCGGAACCCCCCAGACACAGAGGGGGCCCCCCCTGCAGAAATACCGTAGCCCTCTAGGGCGCAGTCGACCTCGGAAACACCAGCGGGCAGAGACAAACAAAGCCCGGCCACCAAAGAGGATATTGCCGACCTGCTGCAAGAAATGAGGCAACTACATGGCGCGGATCTTAACCTGCTCCAGACTGAAATACAGGCGGTGACGGCGTGCACACAGGCCTCTGAGGAAAATCTACAAGACCTGCGGCAAGAGGTACAGGGGCTCACAGAACAAATCCACCAACTCCAAGCCTCCCAGACCGCCCTCAATACAAGAGTGGATGTGTCAGAATACCACAATAGATAAGTTAACATCAAACCGAGGGGGATCCCTGACAGCATAGATTCCACCGAGCTACCCCACTACCTTTGGGGCCTCATAGCCACGATCCTACCACACTCCCAAGCGAAAAACTGGTACTGGATGGCTATTTTCGTAACCGAAAGCCTAGATGAGCACCCCCTAACGCCTCACAAGATGTCATCATACGATGCCACTCTGCAACAAACAAAATCAGGCTTCTCACTGCAGTCCGGGAGGGGGGGGGGTAAAACCCCACTCACCTTTGAATCCTCCAACCTCACCTTTTACCAAGATGTGACACGGAACACCTTATTATGGCGCAGGTCCTTAGGCCACATCACTAGCCAACTGGGCGCAGCTAACATCGCTTATAGATGGACATTGCCAAGGTCTCTCACGTTAACTAAAGACTGCACCACAACCAGCCTCACCTCACTACAGAATGCCAAACTATTCCTGCAGGACCTAGGGATTGCCACACGACTCAGGCAACAGACAACCCCTGCCGCAACACATTCTTGGAACCCGGAGAGAACGGCACCTTTCGTTCCCAGGGGTGCAGAGATGCCGCGAGCCCCGACATATGAACGGTCTACCGATCCAAGCATCTAACACTTTCTCCTGTTTTAATTGCTCTACCGTTATGATTATTATAATTTTATTATAACTTTATTTTTATACCTTAATTGCTGTTAAAAGCACACCAAGGGCTCTAAAACAACTCACACTAGACATAGCACAGCTAGACACAGGAACCCCGCACAGGGGCACCTCTGGGCCCTAGCGCAGGCTCACACCACACTAGGAGCTACAACAGGCACGCATATGACCACACTCTACTTCCCCTCCCCCCCCGGGCTAGGGGGCACCAACCTATGGGACCGAACCTTAGGCAGTACACACGCACTAAAATTTGAACGACTACTTGCAAGCACCTTACTGCAGGGCCACCATCAGAAATTGTGGGGCCCCTAACACAGCTCAAGGTCTGGGCCCCCGGGTGCCTGCCTCCAAATCCCGCCCACCGGAATACACACACATACTAACAGACACAAATTCTGAAACAGACATACACACATATAGACCCATACAGATACACACACATACACTGACGTACATACATACAGGCATACAAACTGACTTACAGACATACAAACTGACATACAGACACATAAATACATAATGGCATACATACACATACATAATGATATACACACAGATATATACATAGACATACTGACACACACAGACATAATACATACTGACATATATACACACAGATATATACATACACAGATACATACTGACATTCACACACAGACATACATGCATATTGACATACATACACAGACATAAACACACAGACCTATACAAACACACAGACCTATAGATACACACACACATAAACAGGACATACACACACACACACACACACATATATATAATAGAGACACATAAATACATACTGACATACATATACATACACACACACACACACACACACACACAGATATATACATACACAGATACATACAGACATATATACACACACACACACACATACATGCATACTGACATACTAATATATACATACTGACATACACACATTCACACAGACATACATGCATATTGACATACAAACACACATAGACATACACACACATATAATACAGACACATAAATACATACTGACATACATATATACACACACACATACACAGATACATACAGACATACATATATACACACACACACACACAGATACATACACAGATACATACAGACATATGATATATATATATATATATATATATATACACGACCGAACACATACATGCATACTGACATACACATACAGAGATATATAGACATACATACATACATACATACACACACACACACACACACACACACACACACACACAGACACACTGACATAGAAACACACACACAGACATACTGACATACATGCATACTGACAGACATGCACGCAGACACATACACACTGACATACTGATTTATACTGATACACAGACATACACACACCTCATTTATTAGCCACCCTCCTCTTACCTTTAAGTTGCAGGACGGTGGCTGGGGATAATGGGAGTGGATGCCTCTGGTGTCCTCTCCTGTCCTCTGCTCTCCCTCTCCTCCGCTCTCCCTCTCCCCCCGCGCGGAGTAAGCTGGCAGGAAGTGACTGGCTGTCACTTCCTCCCAACAGCACTTGCGGTGTAGCCGCAATTTTTTTTTTTTAAAGGGGCCCTAAATGCTTGGGCCACCTGATTAGCCAGGTGTAGACGCACCTGCGGGAGTTTTGCCACTCCTCGTGGGGCCCAGGTGGCCGGGCCCCCGACAACCGTCATGGTTGTCACCCCCTGATGGCGGCCCTGCCTTACTGTGCCCCCACAGGGAAAGGGACCTGCAGACCTCACACTGTCTTACTATTACATTCCCTCAGACGACAACCCAACTAGGAAAGGGCATGTCGCACTATAGCTCACCAAACACACGGGATGATAGACAAGGACCGCCTGACAGACACAACCGCACCAAACGACCGGCAGCTACTTGAGGGACCTCCCCACGGGCTAGACCTCTGTGATACTCTCGTTAGCGCTATTAACACCCATGCCTCCTGCCGTTAATAACCATGAGACGGTTTGCACTATGCCAGCACAGAGGCATGCACCCTACCAAATATGACCGATAAGCATACAAGAGACACCAAGTGCTTAGTTGGGTATTATTTCCAAGAGCCTCTCAAGCTTGATTGTAACAATACTATAAAAATGTGCAAAGATAGCAGATACCACATGTTACTCTACTACCCATAAATGTTATACAGCTATGTGTCACAATATTTTAAACGTTACTCCACCAACACTGGTTTTACTGTGTTTTACTGTGCACAGAAAAATAAAGAATTACGTTTTTATTTTTTTTAAATATGAATATAAAATATTTTGTGTGGCCACCATTATGTTCCAGCACTGCCTTAACCCTCATGGGCATGGAGTTCACCAGAGCTTCACAGGTTGCCATTGGAGTCCTCGATCACTCCTTCATGACAACATCACTTTGCTGGTGGATGTTGGAGACCTTACCCCTCCCCCCCCCCCACCCTTCCGTTTGAGGATGCCCCACAGATGCTCAATAGGGTTTTGGTCTGGAGACATGCTGGGCCAGTCCATCACCTTTACCTTCGGTGGTGATCATCTTGGAGGTGTGTTTGGGGTCGTTATCATGTTGGAATACTGCCCTGCGGCCCAGTCTCCGAAGGGAGAAACTGCAGCTCAGTTTCAGTGTCTTGGCAATCTTTTTTTTTTAGATCCTCAGAGTTCTTTGCCATGAGGTGCCATGTTGAACTTCCAGTGACCAGTATGAGAAAGTGAGAGAGGCATAACACCAAATTTAACACACCTACTCCCCATTCACACTTGAGAACTTGTAACACTAACGAGTCATATGACACCGGGGAGGGAAAATGGCTAATTGCCAACGGTTTAGACATTAATGGCTGTGTGTTATTTTGAGGGGACCGCAAATTTACACTGTTATACAGGCTGTACACTTACTACTTTACATTGTAGCAGAGTGTCATTTCTTCAGTGTTGTCGCATGAAAAGATATAATAAAATATTTTACAAAAATATGAGGGGTGTACTCACTTGTGAGATACTGTATCTTTATGTTGCTTTGAAGGATAACCAAACCGCTTATCCTATAAACTGTGGGTTGAGCCATTATAGCCTGATGCTCTGAGTGAGATTACTTTATACTTGAACACCCTTGAGAACAACTATCTTGTTTAGAAAGACAAGATTGTGGAGACAGGCTAAGGCAGATGCAAGAGCACACGCCTTGGAAGGTAGACTTTAAAAGACAGAAATTGTTTAAAGCATTTAAAAGCTGTTAACAGCTGTTCTACAAAATCCTGATTGCCAGTAACCACATCACACCGAAAAAAACTCTTTCCAGAGGTTACACCAAAAAGTGCATTAACAGATCGGTCTCAGTACCTAACAACATCAAAACTACTGCAATTCTCCAAAATAAACTGGATGGGCGAAATAACTGATGATCGATATATTATGAAGGAGAATAAGGTGTATCAAGAAGTAGATCCCTTTTTTTTATTTTATTTTTTTCTGATCTTCAGAACTTGCAATAAAGGGGCAATATGGTTTATCCCTAGTGATATGTGAAGACATCTAAACTTACTGCTATTTGTATAGCTACTCTTTAAGTGTGTATGTTCTCACATAACACAACAAGGCAGTGATGGACTCTAAAAGCTAGCTGAGCATCATGGGAAATGTAGTCCAGAAACCACTTATGGTGTCAAGGTTAGCCATCACTGCATAAGGTATCACAATTTGTAACGTAGGGTGTACCTTGTCCAGTAAAATAGCCTCCATCGTTGCTTGGTTCTTATGTGGACATTCAGAGCAGTAATCACTCCAGATGGATGGATGGATGCTCATACCATATAAATATAGAGAAGGAATAAGATACCATGGGGCCCTGGGTAGGCTACCATCTAAGCCTCACCTTCATTCTTCACATATATGGCTAAAGGGATAAATGCTTGGTTCCAGGGCTCCTGTCTAACCACTGGGAGGCCACGTACGGTCGCTTTATGATCTTGCTCTGATTAAATATCCCATAAAATGTTTAACATTTGGCAGGAGACAATGCTGGGCGAAGGCATCTTTTAGTTTTCTCTAAACTCAAATCATTTGTGATGTATGAAGTAAGGTGACAAATGGCTCAGATTACTGTATTCCTTGTTTACAAGTTCCACACACTTTCCTGCTGGATTCCATATAAACTCTTCATGCCTTGCCATAACTTTCAATTTTGTGAAGGTTACAATAATATTTTTTGGTCCTGGGTTACGTAGATGCAGATTCAAATATTTATTTATTTATTTTTATCTTTATTGAAAATGTCATCCAACAGTTGACATACTGCAACAAAATGTGAGTGACACAAATGTGGTAAATCTGTTTTGGGGCTGCATGTTTGCAGTATTTATCATGTTTCATGTGACCTCTCTCTCTTTTTGGTGTGTTTGGGACTTGCTACCACTGTTCCTCTGCTTATGCTATCCATCCATTTGTGACATATGATACCTTTTTTATTTTTGAGCCTGTTCTCTTTGACCGGAATCTTTCAGGTTTTGTAACAAATGCACCTAAAACTCCATACAGCCACTTGTGTAATACAGCTATATATGATGATGGGCATAGAAGGTATGTAAAGCAAAATAAAGGGTTTTTGTCTGGAGATTTTTATCTTGTAGAAAGGAAATGTGTGGTGGATTTTAATGGGCAAGTAACAAAAAGAAAATAATGCATTTTTTTTAAGCTTTAAATTGCCATGTCTTGTTTTGGTTTGTGTCGTGTTACATGTAAATGCTGAAAAATCAATTTTCTGACTGAGCCTTGATAATCTCCACAATGACAGTCTATAAAATGAAAGTCTACATATTCACACGGCAATAATTTTGAAAATCGAAAATAAGTGGAAAAATAAATGATACAGACAGAGGAGTAACTAGAAACCACAGGCCCCGGTGCGAAACCTGCCCTAGGCACCTCAAAAAATGTCTACCCCCCGCCACATGCAGACAAACAGATACACATGCAGACACACAGTATACGGAGACACACACATATAGAGACACACATAGACCCATACATACACAGAAATACAAACATACAGAGGAACATTCATAGAGACACGCATACACAATCAAACACACACATATCAAAAATGTTTTAGTCCCCCTCCTGTTTCCTATCTTTTAGGTGCAAGATGGTAATTTTCTCTGGGGTCCAGTGGTGGCTCAGCCTGATGGGAGTCAGAGTTCCCACTCTGACTCCCTCCTCTTCCTCCTGTGCGGCGCGGTGTGTAAGCTGGGAGGAGTGACTGGGGCAGTCACTTCCTCCCAGCTGTGATGTCACCTCAGGTGGCCCGGTCACGCTGTTAAAGTGCCACAGCGCTGACCGTGCCCCCTGGAAATTCATTAATTTCCCTTCAGTGCGGCCCAGGTGGTTATACCGTGCGGCCAGGGCTGCAACACATGGCGGCAGGCGCAGGGGTCCGCAGGGCGGCCGGACCCCCTGAAGTGGCGGACCTGGTCGCAGCTGCGACCCCTGCGACTGCGGTAGTTCCACCACTGGATAAATATATGACCATTTTACTGTGCAACATTAAAAAAAAACCTTTCCTTTTAACCTGCCTTTTTCAAAGCTGTAATTGAAATTAAAAAGGTATATCTTTTTGGAAAGAAAATGATTTTTAATTTCATGAAAACTATTTAAAAAAAAAATAAATAAAAAAAAAAAAAAAATATTTTATATCCCTTCGTGACTTGATTTGCACATTGCATAATAAAGGGGCTAGCCCAAATCCATACCATGTAGAATTATTTTTGTGTCCTTTTGATTATTCCCTTTGTTTAAAATAGTGGCACCACACCGTTTTCTTCTAAACTGTCATCGAGACTAAAGGGAATAAACCTTTAAATCTTACTTATGCTCACCTGTTTCCTGTGCATTCATTTTATTACTTCTGCTATAATTAGGCGCTTAAAAAGAAAAAATATATATATTTTCTTCAGTAGTCTTTTTGTATTGCGATTGTTTTAGCAAAACAAAAGTGAAGGTATTGTATTTTAGTTTTGGTAATTTAGTCCTTGTTGTCTCTAAGCAAATATATACAGAAACACAAAAGCTTTGATTTATTTACATTACTGTAAAGGTAGATAATGGTTTTCATTTATTTATGTGTATTCTTGGGAACACCTCTTCCTTCTGTGAATAATAAATAAATCACTTTTAACTTTCATTTTTTTGTCCATTGGTTAATGTGTATCTTGATTTAATCCCTTGTGTATTCTAGATTATTCCTGCTGTGTTGTACAGATTCTAAAATCAGAATCCTGATATGTAAAGTGATCATGTGATTCATCTGTGCGGTTGCATGATTGTGATAGAGAATTGCTAACTAATATATTTTAAAAAAAATTGCTTTGTTTTCTAATTTTTTCATTGTAACCCGGTGACTGCATACACAAGCACTTGTTTATTAGAGAATGTGCTGAGCTTTTAAAGTGTGTTTTTATTTATTTTTAATTTTTTTTAAGTAACCAGATTCATTATTGCGATCTTATTTTGGTAATTCCTGAATAGCTAATGCTGTTCCTGCTTTTATTTGTGCTCCCCCTCCTTAATGCCATCATACTGTGGAATCATTTTGGTTTCTATTTGTTTGTTTATAGGAGACATCCAGTAAAGTGTAATGACTTTCTGATCTTGAATTGTTCTACAGATCAGAATGAAGGTTAAGGATTTGCTTAACTTTGTTTAAGAATCTCTTATTTAATCTGTACAGGCCTTACATTTTGCTTTGGCTCATAGCCCAAAATAATTGCACTCGCCAGATTGGGATAGATACGACTTGTTTTTTCTTTATTTTTTTTAAATCAAAAAGTACCATTAGGTAGTCCTGCATCATCTCCTTAGCGTTCCCTGCATTAAGAGTAGTGTGTGAATTTATCATCTGTCTTTCATGTTGTAAATACTAGGGATACTACTAGATCTACCATTTTAATCCTCTGGTGACATTCAAGGGCCTATCTCACTATTCTACGCTGTGTGCAGATCTATATCATAGACCAGGGGTAGGTGCAGATCTCGAGGTGTCTTTGCACGGCACTCGAGGTGTCTTTAGACCAGGTGGGGTAGGCAACCTACGGCACTCGAGGTGTCTTTGCACGGCACTCGAGGTGTCTTTGCACGGCACTCGAGGTGTCTTTGCACGGCACTCGAGGTGTCTTTGCACGGCACTCGAGGTGTCTTTGCACGGCACTCGAGGTGTCTTTGCACGGCACTCGAGGTGTCTTTGCACGGCACTCGAGGTGTCTTTGCACGGCACTCAAGGCTGCTAGAGCCAAACAGGCTCTGGCCTGTCAGGAGTCCCAGTAAAACTTCAAATATCTGCTAATACGAAAAGATGGTGAAGGACAATCCTCAATTTAAGCATTGCAGCACATAGAGGAAATGATCTCAGATCACTTCCTCCCAGCACTTGTGAATGGGAATCCACAACGCAGTAGAGCAGCCTGCAGCTGCTGTTGCAGCTCCTGTCTTTGACCTGTACCAGGCCAGCCTGGTCCCCACTGGAACCCAGGGAAGCCAACCATACTGCTAGATATACACAGATATTGTGGATCAAACCAAGTGTTTACCTGAGTATCTGCTCCTTTCCAAATTGTTAAAATAAATGCATGCACGCTCTGAAGTAAATTACACTGAGACACAGGTATCAGGTTAATGAAAAACTTTGGAATGTTTACTCAGGGGGCGGCAAGGCCCTTATAAAGGCAAAAATATATCATATGCAAAAAATGTAGATAACAGAGAGAATACATCTTTAATTGGTTAGGTGTCTTATCTAATGCACATCCTACGAGGCTTGATGTCACCATCATCCAGGGATTTTACTCCGGATGTAGGCGCCATCTTGTTACATGAGGTAGTTAGACGGTCGGAGAGGGTGCTCTAGTAGCCATTTTGAGTAGATATTGAATACAGGTATACACAGTAAATAGACATTTTACTATCACTAATTTACATTCATAACACAGAAATGAAGAATAACCCTCCCCTTATACAAATAATACGAACAGCCCACACTCAAACATACACACAATCCGCACAAACGTAACCCGCTAACAATCCGCATACATGCACACAACCCCACATGCAGCCTCTCCCATGCAATACCCCAAACTGCCCCCACACACTACCAACCACACAATGTGACATATCCAATCCATCCACACACAATACACAAATATGTCCGTACTAATGATGATCATGAATGAAAGGATGGATACAACAGTGCAAGTCTTCCCCTTTGTCTCTTTAATTATCACACTTCAGACCATAAAGTGTGCAGTAACGGATCACCTTAAAGGGGCACTATAGCGTCAGGAACACACATGTTTATTATTACTTTCACTATACTTTTAAAACCACCATTTAGATAGTAGACTCGCTTACCTCAGGTGAGATGATTTACTCACCTTTTTCCAGGGCCGCTCGGGACTCTTCGTGTATGGGCCTGACACTGAATCGCCTCCTTGGCTGACATCAGATCTCATTATTTCAGCCAAAATGCTGTGATGCGCCAATTGGCATCTCCTCAGAGAGATACATTGATTCAATGCATCTCTATGGGGAAAAGTTCAGCGTCTCGATGCAGAGAGTGGAGATGCTGACCGACCATGCAGCACTGCCCCAAGAAGCACCTCTAATGGCCTTCTGAGGAGTGGCCACTAAAGATGCTCCTAGGCTGTTTTCTATGAAAAGGCCGTGCTTACACTAAAAGCCTGCAGGGACAGGCTATACTCACCAGAACTTCAATAAGCTGTAGTTGTTCTGGTGATTATAGTGGCCCTTTTAAGCATTCTATGTGTTGTGGAATACATTTTCATTTTTCATTATGTCTAGCCAGTCATTTGTACAATAGATGAAGTGCCAAAGTTGGTTGTAAAAATGTTTTTCCTCATCTTTGTGACCTTTTTTAGGGTTACATTTCAAGTTGACAAAGACGTACTAAATCAGCAACAATGCAATAAATTCTATGCCTGCAACATAATAGTACACTGACGTTTATCAAAAATGATCCAGTAAATATCAGAATGCACATGGTGTATAAAATGTGTTTACCGCTATAAGACAAAATCAGAAAGAATGTAGATCCGTAAATATTGGTAGTTAGAAAGGATAAACTAGAAGGGTGTGTATTTGACTTGGGTGCATTATTACATTCAGGGTTATTCATTTTTCACCAACGTGAGTATTCAAAGTAAATTTCAAATTTTAGGCTAGAGTAGCCAAACAGGAAGCCTAGTTGACTTCGAATTTTTTCCCAGTTGTGTTATTTTGGCCTTATTTGCAATTCACTTTGAATTCTCAATTTAGTGAATTATCCTGTCCCTTGTAAAGAAAATTAATGTGTTAAGGGTTATTCCGTTCGAGACAATTGTTTAATTGGAAGTAAGAATTTGTCCTTCATATGGAATATGCCATATTAGCCTGTCCAACAGACTTAGAATTTATTTTCCAAGTTTGATGGGCCGGAGATGGATGTGAAAATAAACATGTGCATTATCTTGGTAGCAGAACAGGGTCTTTAAAAAGCAAAATGTATTGAAAGAAAATGTTGTAAATAACTGGCCAGGCTTCTATCACTGCCAGTTCATGTCTAGTTTGTTTGATATATCAAATAATGCATTTTGTATACCTCTCAAGGTTTGAGTGATGTCCAGGACTGATTTTGAGTGGTATCTAGTTTAAATAAACACTTTTTAAATTATAAATCTTTGTTTGTTTGTTTTCTACCTGTTTGTTGTCCAAAGGATGAAAACCTAATTGTAATGCATGACTCCCTTAACTTGGATCCTATTTTGCTCTGTTCCATTCCTGTATTATTTGAAAGATTGCTCAGTATTCATATTTTGAGTGTTTGATCAGTCTGGGTTGCAGCTGGGATGTTCCTGTACAACTAAAGAAATGGTATGCCATATGGTAATTGTACTTTTTAATTACCTTTTTTGACGATGAATTTGCACATGAGAATTTAGCAGGTGAGCAATAGTTTACCAAGATTAATGTGTTTTTCTCTGTTGGTCTTAATCATTTGTTTTGCATTTTACATCTAGATATCCCAGTCAGTCCTGTAGACCTTTTTTCCTAATAGACATTCTTTAGTCATGTGGTATATACAAGAACCATGGGTTCTAGGGCAGATTATGACTGACAAATCCTTAATCATATCCTATGTAATGCGATGTCATTAAAGTTATTCCAAGAGTAACACTGTTTGCCCTGTGTTCTGTAAATTGGTCTTATGAAGCAACCATCTGTTTATTTTTTAGTTTTTGCCAAGCTTGGTAAAAGGTTTAAGTAAATGTGAACTGTATATGAGTTCTGTCTGCCCAACCCAAGACAATTCTCCCACATTTTTAGTATTTGGAGATGGTGAGAAGATCCCAGTATCTGCTGTTGAGTATTTTGTATGTACAGTGGGCCCTTTATTGGATTTGTGTGTGGAGTCCTTTTAATTGTTCAGTGACAGAAGATAGAAGAAAAAATATTCCTTTTGTCAAAGCATTTTCGTATTTCTAATTGGTGTTCTAGTACCACCCATGTATAAATCAGTTAATCATTTGACACTTTGACATGTCATTTTATTTACTGCCTGCTCATTATTTCCTTCCTAACTCTTCTTCCACCACAATATCTAAAACCAGAATGCAAGAATGCAATCCACTTTGCTAGGTTTAGTTTATTGTTGAGGTTCTTTGCTTACTAACTTCCCATTATATATTTTTTTATTTTTTATTAGATCTTTGTTTTCTACAAATTCTAACTAGATCAAAATAAAAATGATCATCCATACTTCGTCACCTAACATTTTGGCTTTTGTGTTCCATACTTCTATTAACATAATAGGTGCATTTTCATTTATTTAAACAATAAATGTAAAAAATTCAGACAACTCCAACCTGCAAAGAAATTGCTTAAAATGTTTTGACCGCGCAAGCTTAACACAACTTTAAATTTCATGGAGGAGCATTTCTAGAATTGTAGTCCTTATAATCCATGGTGACTTGACTGCATTTTATTAATTCTGCTCAGTAAATAGTCATCTGGTCACCCGCAGAACATCATTGATTGATTTTTAGATTACTTTAAATGAACAAGGAACTAGTGGAGCTGAAGAGCTTGTATCTAAGAGTTTGCTAAAACCATCTGGCCATGATAGTGAAAGTAGAACAAATGGTATAACTTTTGTAGGTGGTGGTCCTTTTTATGTTCAATTCAAAACACATTTGGGGAAAACATTCTCACAAGACAAACATAAAGGTGTGATGACCTTTTGAGACACTTGAGTCATTGTAGGTCAATAACCGGTCTGGAATTTAAAATATAATTGCAGGATTGCATGTAAATGAATTGTTTGTCATTAAATGTCACAGATGCTGTGGAATTTTTCCCTACAAGGTTTGGATTAATGGTGAAGAATTTAGACCATGTAAAAATAAAAATGTACTTAATAATATAGATGAATAAGGTTTTAAGACTCCATATAATTGAATCTCACATGTACTCTGCAATGATGCCCTTGAAGTCTTGCCAGTTCTGAGAAGTAACCGTGGTTGAATTATTGCAATCCAGGCTGGTTAATGTACATAACTGAGAGTCTTTTTGTAAAAACCTGTGGTTAAAGCTGGTTACTATTCATAGCTGTCTTTAACAGCATCTTTAAGAACCAGGGCAATTCATGAAAGTTCTGTTTTCTAGCCTAGACACATGATCGAGATACCACGAGAAATGAGTGGGCATACAATGCTGACTCTGTAATGAGTTTAGTGAGTAAAAAAAAAAAAAAAAAAAATGGTTTGTCTGGCCACCATATTTAATGCATAGATTGACTTCAGCATTTACTTGGGTCCTTGTCCATGTGTGGGTATTTGGCAAATAGGATTGTCTGGTCTAATATAACAGACCAGCATGTCAGTGTTATTTACCCTGATAAAATAGCCAAGCTGGGATCAGTGGAGCGTTTGTAGAGTTTTATCAGATATTTCTGTGTGTTAGTGAAAAAGCCTGTGTTTCCTACAAGGCAGATAATTTTTAATCTATAATGTACTCTGCATTAGCATTCTGCATTTAAGTTTTAGAACATGTCCAAGTAAATGTTGTTGTTCCAGAAGGCTGCATTTAGTTAAAAATTTAAATATTTCTTCTATATTTCTAAGACCAGGATTTGAATTCTAGCTTGATTTAAAAAAAACAAACAAAAAAAAACACCCCACACATAGTCTTATCTCCCAAGAACGTTAAAACTAAATCTGAAAGCAAGATGTGTGATCTTGTTTTTTTCCGTTTTATTACCTGCTTGGAAAAAGCATAGCAGACAAATTATTGCATACCTCCAGCCTATTTTGATGACACTGCATTTTATTCAAATAAACCCCCAGACTCTACTGATCAGAAAAAAAAAACCCTTTAGATTATTTATATTAACATCAAATTTGCCTATGGTAGCTGTAATGTAAGAGTCAACAACCCTTTAAAAAACTGATCCTTTTGTCACCTAACGGCAACAGTGCATTGTTTACTAAATGCTCTACTTTTGTTACATTTTTTTTTCTTCTTTCTTCATATATTTTTACAACTGTGTAATAATCTGTTCCAAACTTTAAAATTTCTACTCATTAATTATTAAAGAAACACTCCAAGCACCATAAATACTACACACCACTATAGTGGTTATGGTTGCAAGTGTTCCCTTGTGCCCTCCCAGTGTAATTTGACAGTCTGTTTTAGAAGGGTTTGACCCATTACCTAGGTTCTGCAAGTTTGCCTGCACCTCCACCCCTTGGTTTCAGATTCTCCATGCAGGAAAATACAGTGTGCTACACTAAACTAAGCTGAGCTGTGCTCATTGGTTGTGAGCAGCAGCTGAGCGCTCTTAACCAATGCGCGTGGACCTATATTGGATGTGTTTTAATGCAAGTAAGACATCTGACTTCTCTTGTAGGAGAAGAACGCATGCAATGCTAGTACCTGGTGGACCTAGGTTAGTTGTCAAACTTTTCTAAAATGGTTTGACAAATTACACTGGGAAGGCACCAGGCATTTATGGCACAATTACAACTACAGAGGGATGTAGTGGTTATGTTGCTTGAAATATTCAAAACTTTTTTACTTTTACATTTCCTCCACTGCTTATGGTCACCACTTTATTTGGCAGGGGCTACAATATATGGGTAGAAGTAGAGATATGCCCTCTTCTTGTCTGTAGAGCTTGGTTGAACAAAATGAGTATATGTAAAAGCTCAGTTATATCCTGCTCATGAATAATATGAAAGAACCCCTCTGGCATTTTTGGGAGTGCAGCTTCTCAAAAGGTTTATGTAAAAATTTCAGTTCATGCAATGCCCACAAACGGAATGTATAGTAGCCCGATTAAAGTCTAGCACTTTTGCTTTACAGGACAACAAAACCCTCCTGCAGTCTTTATTATTCTTATTATTTATAAAGCGCCACCAAATTCAGCAATGCAATGAGCAGACTAACAAACAAGTATTTGCAATAAGACAAGTTGGATGCACAGGAACAGAGGGTGTAGAGGGCCCTGCTCAAACCAGCTTACATGCCAGAGGGGTACTATCACCTCTTGCCATCTACTAGGAAATATGTTACCCTGCTATGTGCATACCAAAACCTTAGCTGAGGGGATCCCAAGTTTGATTTAATGATCTAAATTTAGGTGTGTGTGTTTTTTTTTTTGTTTTGTTTTTTTTTAATGTAAAATTATATTTAGTTGGTTTATACATGGGGTTGGATGGAAGGGGTTAATTTTATGCTTTTGACTGCAGAACAGAATTTAAATTATTGTAAAGTGCAGCATGAAAACTGTGAATCGGCCCCTGTCTGGAGGCCATGGACCTAATACTGGCAATGATATCTTCCTGCTGCCAACCCAGGCTCAAGCTGGCACTACCAATTTTCACAAGTTTAATATTCTTAATTTAGTCTTGTTTTCCTGCAAACTCTAAAAATATAACATTGTAATACTTTTGCCAATTGTCACAAGACAGGCAGTTTAACTATTAATGTACCAGGCATTTTTCTAAATCAATCCGGTAGGATAATCCTACCTAGCCTGCCACCTTATACCATGTAATGAGATCATTCCTTGGAAGCTCTGCTCATCTATTTAGGTAGATAGACAAACTAACGAGATTGTAAGATAGCCTTTATTGATATGGATACATTGCTATTAATTGAAGGACCTGTATTTGGTACCATGTATCCGTTTACCAATATCCAAACACACTTGGTTGTAAATCTTACTAGAGACCGAGTTACAAATTAATCATTGCTGAACCTGCCTAACACATGAATCCTGCCAAACAGAATATGTCAAAGCACAATTGTTTTGAGGCTGGCAGACTTGGAGCGAATAAGATTAAAAGGATACTCTTTAAGCACTTACTAGGTCACATTTCTCCTTTATTTTCCCTCTGGCTGGAATTCCAGAAACTATGGCCTTCAGAAAGTTCAGTGTTGTCAAACCAGTTTGGTAAGCTTACAAAGCTTACATTTTCTGTGCTTTTGTCGTGTTTTCTTCTTTTTATTTTTTTCTTCTTTTAATCAAATGTTCATATCTTACAAAAAAAAAGTTAGAGCAGTTGTAATATCACTGTCTCAGAACCGTGAAGCCCAGGATTCACCCCCGGGCAGACCACCTAATATAGTAATAGTAAGTATCCTTGGGCAAGACGCCTAACTATATATGTCCACCTACCTCAAATCCTCAGATTGTAAGCATATTTTTTTCTTAATGTAAATACTTACACCTTCATATATAAATTATGCACACATGTTAGAATGAACATAGTACATTTTAAATTCTCATTGGCAGGCTGTGGAATATTCCTGATTTGCAAGACCTGTGTGTCCAGCTGTGGCTGGTTGCTTATTAATTTTTATTTTTACATCAGAGGAAAATCCGCAAAATGGACAGCATGAGCAAGACACCATCTCTGTGCATTTCTGCTAATGCAAGAAAATAACCTCCCAAGATCTCTATGCATTGTCAACACTTGCTGGATAGCTGAGCGGCAGACAAACCCTCTCTAGCATGAAGTGTGGCCACCTGTCCAACTTTATCCACTCCTGTTTCCTTCTGATATCGAATGATGCCTGTTTATGTTTGAAGGAACGTATAATTACAAAAATTAGTTGGCCATATTAGAGCGAAGTCAGGGGTATTTCAACAAAAAGGGCAATTATTTGTTTATATATTCAAAAACACATTGCTCCAGCACCTCATTGATATTGTGGAATTTTTACATAGCACACGGACACAGTCTGCAGGAAGCCAATTCACGTTATCTGCGTATACTATTTTGCGGGGAAAAAAACATTTTTTTGTCTTTTCTTTTTTTAAACTTTTTTTTATTTGTAAATGAACAGTCTGACGCCTCTAGATTGCACAAACCTGTTTTTAAAAAGTAGTTTGAGATCTGATCTTTGAACAGACCGTCTGAAAGGTAAACTTGAGTTTTATGCTCTTATGCATGTAATGTTTTGGGCTAAAAAAAAACCTAACTAACCTTGTTCATCAAGCTAAACTGGTTTACAAGGGCACAGCATACAGACCTCTGTCCTCCTCCCCTCCCCATTTATTGCAGGCCCAAAAGGGTTGCTTTGATTCTGGTTGAAAACTGTATTTATTATTTTCTTCTGGTTTTCAGTTCTTTACACTTTTTTTTTAAAACTGTTTTATTTTTGTTATAGTTATGTGCTCGTACCATGGGAGAGGGCAGGCTCTCTGTGACCTGATCTATTTTGTCCTGTTCCAACAGAGGTTTATAAATCACGAACTCGGATTATCCGCTTTCCATGAGTTTTCTCCTCCCTATCCTATAAATCCGATGAGATTATAAATTCCTGGTTGTTAACCAGTTAAGTTCTAGAAAAAAGGAAGAGAACTTTTAAGTGTGTTCAAAATCCCTCCGGTACTTCTGACTGAGCTTGAAATGTGTTGCAGTAGTGGTATATTTAATATAGCCCTATACACTCCTCCCATCACTTGACAAAGGGAATGAATATTGGTAAATAGGCCATGTGAAAAAGAAGCCTCTTTACATTGTGCCATGCTGCACAACAAACAAGTATATAAACCGTTACATGAAATAAAAGAAGAATGAAGATCCCACTTTTTGGGAACTTACATTACTGAGGGAGTTAGGCCCCAAGATGTATGATTGTGCAAAGTGTTGAATACTAGGTGTTTCTAGATGGATGAGCAGCCTTCTTAAACGGACACTATATTATCAGCAAAACATTAGCTTAATGAAGCAGCTTTGGTATATAAATCATGCTGCTGCTGCTGTCTCACTGCTCCATTATCTACCATTTAGGACTTCACTTTGTTTATGCAGCCCTAGCCACATCTATCTGCACATGACTTACAGTCTTCATAAACACTTCCTGTAAAGAGTCCTCTAATGTTTACACTTCCTTTATTGCAAATTCTGTTAAATTTCGATTATTAGAGATAACAAGTTTATAAAGTAAGTGAAGATATGATTATTATTTTTTCATGCAGACTGTGTCATTTACAGCAAGGGGAGGTGTGGCTAGAGCTGCATAAACAAACACACTGGAAGAGCATTGAGCAGGGAGACTGCAGGGGCATGATCTCTATACCAAAACTGCTTCATTAAGCAAAAGTTGTTTTGGTGACTATAGTGTCCCTTTAAATATGCAGGGTTTCACAATGCTTTTACATAATTAATTATAATGGCCACACCTGGAGACATGGCAGATGCCGTCTAGGGCTTGACACATCATCTTATGCTGAGGTACTGCCCTGCCACTTCCACTATAAACTGGGTAGGTATCTTTTGTTTTTGAGGTAGTTTCCCCTTTATGGTCCGATGTACCATCTGCCCACATAGGGTAAATCTCTGGGTAAAAAAAAGGTTTCATATGTGACTAATGGAGTAAAATGGGGACTACCAACACAGAATAGGATAATAATGCACCATATAAGAGAATACAGTTGTCTGCATTCTCAAATATCCATTTTACCTTGTGCAATGAGGCTCTCCATGATGGCCAATAAATTATGCACAAGTCTCTGACTCACTGTTATCAGAAGTGAGGGACCCTGTATGTGACATGTAATTGGTATAGAGGAAATGTAATCTCTTTGATACATTTCCTCCTTTAATGCCTTTCTCATCACTAACATCGCAGCAAGTGTTGTGAGCTGAAACATGGCACAAAGTATTAAATGTGAGGCAGTCACTATGGAAACCAGTATACACATTCCACTGGTGACTTCTTTCCTTTGCTCCACTTTTGAGAACATAAAATGGCCTCCTCCATTGTGCAACTGATGAGCTGTTGTTGTTTGGAACCGGATGGCAGTGCTCAGGGAGCAGCATTATTTTACTTGCTTTTTTTATGGACTGAAGATGGAGGCATAGCATAGAATCATTAGAATTGTATTCATTCAGAATACATCAAATTTCAAAATAGACTGTATATAGTGAATTAAAGATGTTGATGTATCTGATGTGTAGTGTAAGGTCATGTAAATTGAAGTAGTCAACTGGGGATAATCCACTGAATGGAGCACTAATTTGTCAGTATTGTAAAGCTTGGTATATGCTGTTAAGGACAGCTTGTGCCAGGAAAACATACTCGTTTTCCTGGCACTATAGTGCCCTGAGGGTGCCCCCACCCTCAGGGTCCCCCTCCCGCCCGGCTCTGGAAGGAGGAAAGGGGTAAAAACTTACCTTTTTCCAGCGCTGGGCGGAGAGCTCTCCTCCTCCGATCCTCCTCCTCCTCCGTCGCTGAATGCGCAACTGGCGCTTCACGCATAGGAAAGCATTTACAATGCTTTCCTATGGACGCTGCGTGCTCTCACTGTGAAAATCACAGTGAGAAGCACGCAAGCGCCTCTAGTGGCTGTCAATGAGACAGCCACTAGAGGATTAGGGGGAAGGCTTAACCCATTAATAAACATAGCAGTTTCTCTGAAACTGCTATGTTTATAAAAAAATGTGTTAACCCTAGCTGGACCTGGCACCCAGACCACTTCATTAAGCTAAAGTGGTCTGGGTGCCTAGAGTGGTCCTTTAAGGTGTATGTTTTACCAGTTGAGGAACTGGATGTATGTTGTGTTCTTATGTTTCCAACCATGTAATTATTTTGGCAATATCACTTTGACCATATTTTACCTTTGCAAAAGATAGCCCCACCAATACCCTCTGGTGTAATTTTGAAAATTCTGTAAAATTGCATTGAATTTAGTTCCTTTCCTCACTTCTCCTTTAAAATCTGCCAGAATGTGTTGGCTACACAATATGGTAAAAAATAGGTCACAGGATTGTGAAAGGGACTTGTGAACTTTAACCACGATTCAACGCTACAAAAGTATTTTTAAACACATGTAGCCAAGTGTAGGGCCTGCGGTATTCTGTGGGTAATTGTCAATGTCAAGTAGCCAGACCATGCAATGTAGACTACATGACTGCAAACACTTTTCCTAAAAGATGTATTCTTTTAATAAATAATTTGTCATATGCAAAACCATTAGACCAAAAGTGCCAGGCTCCTGTTTTCTGGATAATTTATTTTCCTAATCTGCCTTTAAATTAAGATGACCTTGTGTGTCGTTGGCTATGCTGTATTCACATGCTGAGTGCACACAGCAAAATACAGCCAGCTTCTTTTTGACTCAATGCTGTATTCAAAATTGAGCAGATAATACCAGTGTTCTTCGTATTGTAGGAAGCCATGTCTGCAGATTTTGGTCTGCATGTCTCTGTGCCACCGCTCTAACTCTCTCTCCTTCTCTTTCAGAGGTACCCGAGGAGCTGTGCTCTCCCTGTTACACAGACCAGTATGAACAAGAACACATAAAGCCAGCCGTGATCAGCCTCTTATTGTCATCAGATGTGTACTGTAGAGCATATCGCAGGGCCCTTCCTCACGAGAGTAGTCCTCCTCGTGACAATGCTGCACTACTTCTCTTGTTGACACGGAAGGGGTTGACACCAATGAACCAGGGAGAGCCTGTGAAGACCATTGACCTGAGGGAAAAACCCATACGCATGGTAGGAAAATATGGGAAGTAGTATGTTCTTTGGTGGAAATTACCTATAGTTTTTACTATCTGTGAAATGTTGGGGGATGCAAAATAGTGTTACATCATTGATGTCACGTGTCCTGCATGTGCGGTTCATGTTGTCACTGTTTTAGATTTGGCACCTGTGCCCTTTTCTATATATTTTACGGCACACTTTTATACAGAGGTGTATAAACCCGTCAGCCCATTACTTGTGCAGCATTTCCTTTTACAGTTTGTGGTGATTCTGCAGGGCAAGGTCCTTTGTAAGCAATTTATTATCTTTTATTTCGCATAAAACTTCTGGCAATGCCCTACAGCATTACTCAATCAATTGAACAAAAATGTAAATACTTAAAGGGACACTATAAGCACCAAAACAACGTTGGCTTAACGTTGGCTTAGTTGTTTTGGTGTATAGATCATGCCTCCGTAGTCTCAATTAGCTTGCTGTTGAGGAGTTAAATTGTTTTGCTTATTCAGCCCTAATAAACCTACTGTGCTGTCACATCTTATCAGGGCCGGACTGGGACAAAAAGTTGGCCTTTGCATTTAAAATCAGAGCAGACCTACACGAGTGGGTGTCTGGGGAGGGAAGGGGTAGGAGTTGTCATCACTAATCACATGCACATCTCTCTAAAGTAGGCATGTCGATGTAATTCTCCCCCAGAGCGGATAGGATTCTTGTGGTGTTGTGTGTCTGCATAGGGCTGTTTGCATTATTTTGTGTGTGGAAAAGGTTGTTGGTATAGTTGACATATGGGAGTTTTGTTATGTTTGTGTGTGTGTGTGTGTGTGTGGGGATGTATGGGGTGTAGAGTATGTCTGGGGGGGCGGGGGGGCATGAAATGTAGAGGGTTTTTTTAACCACCCACGGGTTAGCCCCCCATATTGAGAATTTTAACAAAAGATTATTCCATTTGTTAGATCTTTGTTAGATCAGGTTTGATCAACAATTTTTTTTGTTAGATCTACTCTAAAATATGCGATATTAATAATCATTTTCAGGGGGGGCTAACCTGTAGCCAGCCCCACTCAACAAAAATTTGTGCAAAATGTTGTTGATTATGATAGCTCTACATTAGATCAGGTTTGATCAGGCTAAATTTTTGTTAGCTCTAGTCTAATTACTGAGATATTGCATATATAATTAGGGGGGCCGAAATTTCCCCCCCCCTCAACTGAAATTTGGACAAAATGTTACTGATTTTGGTATATATTCGTTAGATCAGGTTTGATCAACTGTTTTTGTCGTTATATCTATCACGCAAAAGGCGGTATTTACTACCTAACTTTGTGGACGTGACTACGGGTTAGCCCCCCTCAACTGAAATTTTTATTTTTTTTAATTGATTTTGGTAGAAATTTGTTAGATCGGGTTTGATCAACTGTTTTTTTTCGTTAGATCTATCACGCAAGAGGCGGTATTCACTACCTAACTTTGTGGGTGTGACTACGGGTTAGCCCCTCCCACAGTCCGAGGGGAAATATTTAAATGGATTCATCATGCTGGTTATTAGAGCTTGCTGTTATTAGAGCTTGCTGCGGCCCACCGGGAAATTTCACTGATTGTAAGATAATTCTCAGGGCTCCCTCTTCACTGTCCTCCAGCTCCACTGGACCATCATGGAATCATGTATCCCACCTCCCTGCCCACAGGTAAGAGGCAGGGAGAGAGGGAATAAGTTAAAATTTAAAAAAAAAAACTTCTCAGCCCCCCCAAATTTACTTACTACCACAAACACACAACACCACAGACACATGCTGCATGCACTTCATTAACACAATCATGCACCGCATTACTCTGGTTATACTTTCATATTCAAATATCGCTAATAACTTCAGGCTGGGAATATGCTGGACTTTATCACCTCAATACTGTGCATGTAGAGAATAAAAAAAATATGGAAAATGATCTACACATTGTGTTAGCAAAATCCATGCAAATTCCTAAGTTATTATGTCACCTGTGGCTTGATTTGAAAATTTACTGGTATTTATGTGCAAAATTAAAATAAGATTGTGAATACCACAACTTGAATGATAGATCTTATGAAGAAAACAGTTGATCATACCTGGTTTAAAGTATATCCACCCCCTCCTCCTCACACTTTACACCCTTCTCCACTTTCTTCACCCTTTCTACCTTTGAATTCATAAAATGTAACTGGATGTAAAGCGTTACAAGTTAGTAAGCTATGGGCATCACGATTTTGCAATTGCGCTTGTACATTCTATTGTTATCCTGGATGCTAATGCTGCCTTGACTTTGTTACTGCACATAAATGTAAACCAAAAATTAATTTAAAAAAAATAAAGTATATCTAGAAAAAAATTAATTTAAAATTCCAGTTGAGGGAGGGCTAACGTACTCACCTCTCCCCTGTATACAAAATAGGATTGTGAATACCGCCTCTTGCGTGATAGATCTAATGAAAAAAACAGTTGATCTTACCTGATCTAATGAATATCTACTAAAATCAATAAAAAAAAAAAAAAAATTTTTTAGATGAAGTGGGGCAAAACTGTAGACACGCCCACAAAGTTAAGTAGTGAATACCGCCTTTTGTGTGATAGATCTAAAAAAAAAAACCAGTTGATCTTACCTGATCTAACGAATATCTACCAAAATCAACTTTAAAAAAACAAAAATTTCAGGCTATAGCGTCACTTAAGGGTAACAGGGCACCAGGGCCGGACGGCTATGACATAAGCTATTACAAACAATTTAGGGACGTCCTGGCTCCCCACCTCACGATCCTTAGTAACCACTTTATGCAGGGTGGGGTGCCTGACATGGACATGGCGACAGCGAATGTAGTACTCCTGCCAAAACCGGATAGTGACGACACGCTAGCTCCGAATTACAGACCGATATCACTCATCAATATCGACCTCAAAATCTTTGCTAAAATATTAGCATCCAGACTGACGCCCCTTCTTCCGCGCCTGATCCATCCTGATCAGGTCGGTTTTATACCCGGACGTCAATTATACAAAAATACTAGACGGGTAGTGGACATGTTGTGGTATATGATGGAGTCCAGAGCGCCTTCTCTAGCACTCTCTCTGGATGCGGAGAAGGCGTTTGACAGAGTGTTGTGGCCTTACCTGTTCGAGCTGCTCCGCTTCCAGGGATTCCCAGAACCATTTATAACGGCCATACAGGCACTATACACGGACATGAGGGCACAAATACTCATAACAGGGGCGCGCAGAACACCGTTCACCCTGGGGAATGGCACCAGACAGGGGTGACCACTGTCCCCCTTACTGTGGCTCTTGCCCTAGAGCCGCTCCTGCAGGCCATCCAGCAGCACCCGCACATTGCGGGAATTGACGTCAAAGGCATGACATTTACAGTGTCCGCATATGCTGACGATGTCCTGCTGACCCTCAGCGATCCGTTAAACTCGCTTCACCACTTAACACTGCTGCTGGAACGATTCGGGAGTCTAGCAAGCTACAAGATAAACTACACCAAATCGGTGGCGATGCCTTTTCATTTAGCAACCCCAGACATGGAGCTCATACGCAGGCAACACCGATTAAAGATAAACACGGAAGAGTTTATGTACTTGGGGATATGCTTAACAGCAAATCCATCATCCCTTTACGCCCGCAACTATACACCCCTGCTGCAGACCATCACCAAAGAGCTGGAACAGTGGACAGACAGGCCTATATCCTGGCTGGGCCGTGTACATTCTATAAAAATGAATGTGCTGCCGAGACTTCTGTTCCTCTTTCAGGCACTCCCGGTGAAAGTATCCCGAGGGGATCTGACAGGCCTACAGCGGGCAATAGACTCCTTCATTTGGCACACTAAGCGCCCGAGACTAGCGCGGACTCTCATGTATAGACCGAAACCTAGAGGGGGACTGGGACTACCTAATATATATACTACTTAGCGGCGCAGTTGACCCAAGTTATACATTGGCACACACCCCCAGATAGGAGACGCTGGGTAGAAATAGAATCGTTGATGACGGGATGGGACCTCCCACAGTTCTTCATCTGGGTACCTAGACCACAAAGAGCCATTCTCAGAACCACAAACGCAAAGCATGTGCCAACATGATTTATCTTGCGGCCCGCAAGGCCCTAGCCCAAAAATGGTCTTGCCCGTTTCTCCCACAAACATCCCTGGTTAGGGCAAAATTGCGAGATAACTACTTAATGGATAAACTTACTGCTCAAGTGAGGAACACGCTGACAGCTTTCCACAAGGTATGGGATCTGTGGGAGCAGTACGACACATAGAACCCGGGGCCGGGGCGTGGAGCGGCATCCAAAAATACTCATAGACGGAGATAGCTGAGACCCACTCTACTGCCATAGACATACCAGATCCCCGACGGGTGGCAGAGACACCACCAACGAAAGGGTACCTAGTTACCAGAGCCTTTATGCAAAGAGCATCTACGAGACTGCTTTTGTCAAGACTTTGACCTATTACAAAAATAAATAGATAAATATAAAGAAAGAAAAGGAAAAAAAAAAAAATTTACACAGGGCTCAGGTCCTTAAAGATTTCGACCACTTTATTTTTCTTATACTATCTTCTCTTTAACTCTCTTACTTTTTTCTTCTTTTCCTCTATCCCACACAAGTTTCTTGTTATGTACAACTGGCAGAAGGCAAAAGGGGCACTGATGAAGCTTAACACAACTCTTTACCACTACAGTGGTCCTTCGAAGCCAAAGGCACACCCCGTGACTGATAGTTCGCACTCTGTAACTCCACTATATATCGTTCTGTCGGGGTCTAATGTACTCATTAAGGAACGGTCATTGTTTGTAAGGCCATTGTTGCGCCAGAATGCCAGTGTATGTTGTTTTAAAAAAAACAAAAAAAAAAACCTTGACTGACTGTGAACAAACCACCCAGTATTGAATGACATGCTGCATTTATTAACCACTGCATGTATTAACCACTCCATTTTCCTTTCTGTACCATGTATACAATGTTATCTTTACTGCAACAAGGCTTTTGCACAAGCCATACAGTGTTACATTGACACAGTCTATTTCATTGACAAAAATAAAGAATTTAAAAAAAAAAACAAAAAAACCCCCTAAAATTTCAGTTGAGGGGGGGCTAACCCGTAGTCACGCCCACAAAGTTAAGTAGTGAATATCGCCTCTTGCGTGATAGATCTAATGAAAAAAACAGTTGATCAAACCTGATCTAACGAATATATACCAAAATCAGTAACATTTTGCCCAAATTTCAGTTGAGGGGGGGCAGCCCCCCTTAATTATATATGCAATATCTCAGTAATTAGACTAGATCTAACGTATAGCTATCATAATCAACAACATTTTGTAAAAAATTTTGTTGAGTGGGGGCTGGCTACGGGTTAGCCCCCCCTGAAAATGATTGTTAATATCGTATATTTTAGAGTAGATCTAATGAAAAAAATTGTTGATCAAACCCGATCTAACAAATGGAATAATCTTTTGTTGAAATTCTCAATATGCGTGGGCTAACCCGGGGGTGGTGGTTTTTTTATTGAATTTTTTAAGTTTTGACTTGGGTGGACATATTGGCAATGGCCAATAGAGGGCATTTGTAAACCAAACAAACTAAACTGTCAAAAAGGGGTGGAGTCACCCTTTAAAAAGACACTACTGAATGTTTGTTTTCTTTATTACACACTTTGCTGTCTACCAGACAGCTACTAGAGGCGATTTCTGCTCCGTGAAACAATGCTGGATGTCCTCACACTGTGCATGCCCCATTGGAAAGTATTGAAAGGCCTAATGCATATGCATTAGGTTCCTCCTTGGCACATATGTTGAAGGAGGTGGAGGCAAAGTGAATGCAAGGGATATTTATAACGTGTGTGTGTGTGTGTGTGTGTGTGTGTGGTGGTGGGGGGGGGAGATTATTTTTATTTATATGGCTGGTTTAGTTTGCAAATAGGGTTTGTAGTGTGTGTGGGGGAGGGAGGGTTGGGGAGATTATATATATATATATATATATATATATATATATATATATATATATATATATATATATATATATATATATATATATATATATTTAAAAAAAAAACATTTTTAATAAAAATAAAAAGCTGTTTTAATTTTGTGTTTAGTTCTTTTGCACATTTGTGACAACTTGGCTGCCAAACCACATGATGAACCAACAGCAACAGAGCTGGCCAAGCATAACAATGTGGATGCATCACATGGATATATATTGCATATAAAGAAGGGGGAGATTTTCCAATCTCCAGTAGATCCACACAATATGCCTGTGAGATATAGAATTCAAGCTTCAGTGTTTTCAGCAACTGTGAAGGGTTCTGTCACCACACAGTATAAGACCTGGAGGCAAACAGCATTAAATTCTAGAAACTTGAGTAATTTGACCGTGTGTATAGTAAGAATTATGAGGATTTTTTTTTTTGATTTTTTTTTATATAAATTTGAAAAAAAAGAACACCAGTGTGATCCTTTATGTGGCTTGACATGCTGATAAGATCTGAAATTGAACCAGCTCTACCAGGAGAATGATGATAGTAGGTTGTGTAGGAATAATTAAAAAACAAAAACCAAAAAAAATAAATAAAACATTTTTAAACTCTTCATGACCATGAAGTTAGTGGTGGTGACGGCTTTTAAATCCTGTTTTTTTGCCAACCACTTAATTAGTGGACTTGGCAATAACTAAAGGGACTGCACTTACACGTGCTCAAGGAGAGATATGATAGGCAGACAGATTTACTTTCATTTTTTTTTAATGTCTGAATTTAAGTCTGTATAGAAACAGAACAAAGGAGAATGTAGAACAGATTTAAAACCTTTTTTTCCTGTTAATCCATAGTTTTGCTAGCAAATTTGTCGGCATAATCTACAATTTGTTTTTCATGCATTGTCTGCATTGTAAAAACCATTTAGATGACGGATATTAAATACACATCTCTCACTTTAAAAGGAAATACATGTGTTGCTAATTATTGCATTTTATCAAGAACTGCAATAATTACAATTGAATGATTAAACGGACAGGGGAACTGGACCCAGACCACTTTAATGAGATGAAGAACAGATAATTTAATGACTTCTCTTTCAGCTGAAGAAAAATTGATTGAGAATTGAACATGCATAGAACACAATTTTGTTTCCATATAGTATTACATAAGAGCCATTCTTACACTTTTGGATTGATCCCATATATTCGATTAACGAGCGGACCTATTGACATTGGATAATCTGCTTGGACACTAGCTTTATCCATGTCTGTTCAACGATGAACAAACTGCCAGCACTGGGCAGGCATTTATGGCATATGCTCAGCACTCACATTGGCAAGTCTTATTCCAGTTCCTGGCAGAGTTTGCTGGGGATTGTGGGAACTTTTTAAAAATATAATGTATGCATATTTTATAAGAATTATCTATATAATGCATTAATAAATAGGCCTTGAACTTCAGCTGATCTACCTGGCGAATAGCACATGGCTCTCGCAGCCTTTTTGCAATCTGCCTGCTGAGCACTTTACCCTGAGAAAGCCATAGTTGCTTCCTGTTTTGTTATTGATTTGTTTTTATTCTGTATCTGTAAAAGACTGTATCCTTTTAATTTGGGGTTCTCTGAATCTGAGCATTCTGGGATCCGTGCTGCTAGCACAGTATGTAGATTATTTCTGTTCCCGAATGCATTTCAACTAGAATCTCCATTTCATGACCTCGGCTGTAGGAATTTCAAATCTTCAGTTACTGTAACTTTGGATACTTTGTAATCTCATAATCAAGGTAAAGTGGACTGATTTGGAGAACAGTTTCAGCATTGAGATCCAAAGTAACTCCATACCTCTTTATTTAAACAAAGGCTCAATTCAGGCTGTTCTTCAAACCAATAAAGAAAAGTTATTTCTGCAAGGGACAGCCTTGGGAGCAGAATTTCAGTTGTTATAATGCATATCATGCTCAGAAAGACATGCATTTTTATTTTTGCATTGGGTTAAAGGAACACTATAGGGTCAGGAACACAAACATGTTAAACCAAGTTTAGGTGGTTTCTCCTCCCCCTCCCCCCCCCCCACCTTAGCCCCCTTAAAAGTTAATAAAACTAACCTTATTTTTAGCGCAGGTCTGCCGGCATAGGCCACGTCCCTTGGTGACATCAGAATTGCTGATTTTTATCGGCAAGATGGCAGGGCCAAACAGTTTTGGCCCATCAGCACCTCCTCATAGAAATGCATTGATACAATACATCTCTATGAGGAAAATTCAGCGTCCCCATGCAGAGTGTGAAGACGCTGAACGGCACTGCTGCCTACTGTGCAGCACTGAGCCAGGAAGCACCACCAGTGGCTATCTGAGGAGTGGCCACTTGGAGGTGTCCCTAGGGGCAATGTAAACACTGCTTTTTCTCTGAAAAGACCGTGTTTGCATGAAAACGCCTGAAAGCAATGACTATGCTCACCAGAACAATTACATTAAGCTGTAGTTGTTCGGGTGACACTAGTATCCCTTTAAAGTAGCTGCTGCACAAATGTCCTTATTTGCTATTAAAAAGAATGGAGAAAAATGTGCCATTATCGCACAATATCACATTTCAGTTCAGGGACTAATAAAGACCCTGCAATCTGTTTTATTTCTTACTAACTGAAGTATTGGCATTCTAATTTCGGATTAATTACCCAGGAATTCTAGGGTTGCCTTTGATATTTCTACTTAGCCCCTGGCTCTGACAATTCATTGGTTGGTTGTTTATGGGGATGTGGGCAAGGTGCAGGGCTGTTTTGGGGATTTGTAATTGTGACTGAATGATTTATAGAACGGTAAGAAATTTAGTAAAACCTGTTTTTGCATCGATGCTTACTGTAGTTTTCGGTACATTAATTATGAAAGAACACTTCACACCAGATATTTTGAGCTACTAGTAAAGAGGGACACCAGGTTAGCCAAAGTAGATGTATTTGGATACCAAATGGAGACTGTTGCTTCGAAAACTTTCAAGGGGCTGTCTTGTCCTTTTTTTTTTTTTTTTTTAAACCTTACTATAACAAGCAAGGTAATAAGAAGTATCATTTGCGTAAGTAACAAACTCTTGGATATTTTTGGAACATGCCCTTGGGTGTAACGGTTGAATTGCAGTAATATATGTATATTTCTGTTTGCATTTATAGATTCTGTTATCGAAGTTAGATTTTGTTTGGTTGAAATAATGTTGGCATAAAGTAACCAAATCCACCCCCAAACCCCCCTCTACCCCAAATCCAATCTCATTTTCTATAGCAAGTCGAAGAAAGAAGATTTCTATAGCAAGAAGAAGAAACTAAGTGAAAAGTTTAGGACTGGGTGTCAGAGATCATAAATACAGATCTAAAGCTCTCGGTTTGCTTTACAATCGTAATAACCAGAGCACAGTACAATATATTATAGAAAGAAGTGTGTTGTCAAATATATCCAGGAATTTAACATATGCTATTATTTTGTATGTAGTTAAAGTATGATCATGTTTAAACAAGAGATTAGATTGTGTACGTGGAGGTTAGTAAATGTATGATCTACTACAGCATAAGTAGTAGTGGATCCATTAAACAATGTTCATATGAAACTGGCAAAACTTGAGTAGGTGACCTATGTAAACCAGTTGTCAAACTGACAAAGAGGATCAATTTAAAGGTTTTAAATGAGGGTGGGGCCAGGGGTGGGGCTGTTCTGATAGATTTTCGGTGACCAACTAATAATTTTATGCAACTGAAAAGTAATTTCGAAAAAGAACAATTTATCTTATTTACACAGATGGATTTATTAAACTTATGTATTGTAATTTAAAGACACATTACTGTGAGTATTATTGCTGTTGAGCTTTGTTATACACTCAGACTCACAAACAATAGGGAGTTCCTAAAAAAAAGAGGGACATTAAGAGAGAAAGAGGCATAGTGGGATCTGGGCCTCGAATCGGGACTGTCCCTCCTAAATAAAGACGTTTGGGAGGTATTTATCTCACTACTCAATTATGACCTAGCAAAATGAGTTATTATAAACATTAACACCTTAAGGACACGACACAACTTATACTGACGGAATATTCCCGTCATGTGTCCTTAAGGGGTTAAAGGGATTCTAAAGCATAAAGAATACAAAGTTGAACACTATAGTTCCTTCTGGAGCCTCCTGCTCAGCACATAAAGGGTTAAAATACTCTTTTAAAACTTACTCTATTACAGCACTGACCTCCCTCACCGTTGGGTTGTCGCTCAGCCTCCCTCAGACGTCATCCAATGAGGGTGGCTAATGTACATACGCGGTGAGCACATTAAGCAATCCCTGTAGGAAAGAATTGCTTCATTGCTATGGGGTTTTCACACTAGATTGTGAGGACGTCCAGTGTCAGGCGACAAAACGTCGCTTAACCATCAGGATGTACATCTAGTGGCTGCCTGACAGCCACTAGAGGCAGTCTTAGTCCTTCAATGTAATAACTGCAGTGACTTAATATGCAGGACTAAGAGGGACAGTGCAGTGGTCTGGGTGCCTATAGTGTCCCTCTAATGGACATACAAGCCATTCCTTGTCAAAAACGAAGGAATCAAAGAATGCTCTGAATATGATAACCGTCTAAGAGAGTGTGTTTTACATAGGGAATCTACAAAGTAAACATGTATGTTTAGGCCAATCTGGCACATACAATTAAATATGTTGATACACTGGAATATTACCTGAAACCCCATTTCCTTCCCCCACAGGCTGCCCACCAAGCTGTGATTGAAGGTCTAATGACGGTGTACTGTCTCCATTGTGTCAAGCCCCTCTCTTCAGGAGCAGAGCCTGTTCTAGCTACCATGGAGATCAAGCTTCTTGCGTGGATTGATAAGGTAAATTATTTTTCACCCTTGTCTCCAAAGCTGTTATTCCCCTCCTCAAGTAGCCACATCTCAGAATACATCTAGCTCCGTTTAAACATATTGCTGAATCTTCACGTTTGTTGTTTTGTTTTCTCTGTCTTTAGGTAAATCGGCAGCTCCTGGAAGAGGCTGAGCAGGAGCAGGGACGAAAACAGTTACCTGTCTCCGATGGGCAGAACCAGGCTGGGGTAAGTTTGCAGTGACCACAATGACCACAATGGTTTGCTTTATTCAACTGTAGAGAGGGGAGCAATATGATGATGGTTTATAACAAATAATATTTTGCTGAATGAGGATTGATAGTTTCACTATGGGTTCCTTCTTATGGGAGATTCTTTAACAGAGATAAGCAGTCAGCACCTCTCCGACCATTGCATTATAATCTCCACTGTCCTCTGTACGGTTAACTCTCTATCAGCTGGTGGGTAGCTCTTTTCCAAGCTTGACTGTCTGTTTTAAAAGAGATGACATCAGCAAAATTAATTGTAACACCAAGTTCATTCTCAGATGGCTTTCCTGCCAAAAATTTACAGGATGAGGTGTGCTCCTCTGTGGGTTGATATTAAGGATGTTAGATTTTATTTCCCAAATCCTCCTGCTAGTCTTCATAGATACTGTTAATGGTTATAAAATTTTTGGAAAAGTGTTTATTAACTCCAGCTAGATGACTTATGTCTAATGAGAAATTGGGTCCTGCTTGCCAGGCTCTGTCATGTGCTGTATCTTTAAATGTGTATCAAGCTTCTTTTATCCAGTGCTAATTAACCAATTGTATTTCTATTAATGTAACTCGATTATTGTGTGATAGCACCTGTATTTCATTCAATCTGCCTATTCTCTCCCTTGCCTATTCTCTCCCCATTCATTATCCCTCTGATCTACACCCTTTCTCTACTATACGTCTCATTCTACAATTATATTCTTCTACTTCTTATCATTCTCCCTACTGGTCTTTCTTCTTCCTGCACTTTTTGCTTGGTCATGGTTTTTCTCTCTGCCTGTCTCATTCTTTGTCTTTCACTCCAACCCCCCCCTTCCCCTTCCCAATCCCCCTTTTTTTCTCTCTCCAGTGCCCCTCCCGCTGGTACTGGAAACTAGTCCCTGTAAGTGGCTTTTTCTATTTTTCTGTTTCATTAGCCCCCTCTATTTCCAGCCTGCCAGTTTCGCGCCCTTCTTTGTCGCATCATTAAAGCTGCTGCCTGTTCAGCAACTGTTCTAAGTTTTGCATGCAAACAACGTGAAGATGTGGCCTGTATCCTTGGCAAAGGATTGTGGGATAGTAGAAAGTTTTTTGTTTTTTTTTTGTATTGGTTTGCTTTACTTTTTCCTGTATTGTTTTGAGGGGGCACTTTGTGTGAATCCAAGTTTTGTCTCCATTAATCTTAAATATTATTGTCTTTTCCTTTTATGATTTTCTTTATAGTTAATGTCCATTATTCTTTGTCATTTTTTTCTTGCATGGTGCTTTCATAATTCCCCTCCATTTACCACTTTTTTCCCCATTATTTTTCATTTGTTTTGTCTTTGTTTCCGTATATCCCAGAATCCTTTGCAAATTACTAGTGTTCTGCCTCGCCTCTTACTTACTATAAGTATAAAATATGGCCATTTTCATTCTAATTAGTCAAATTCATTTACCATGAAAGGCAATATAAATAAAGTATATTATTTACCTCGATTGTTTTGTAAAACTATGTGGTGCCACTCTGACAAAAATGCCTTATGGTTTCATGATTTAAAAAATTTACTGCGTAGCATTTAGCTCTTGAAGAAAACCAGTTACTCTAAAACAGGAAGTAACATTTCTGACATTCATGGGGAGTTCAAAATGATTTTTCCAGGACTGTCTCATTCACTCTCAGGCACTTGACGTTTATTCTTCGCTGTTTTTACTGGTGCATAGTGATTCAGTGATTTTCTACATTACACAAAATTTTATTAAATTAATGTCCCTGCCACTGGATGTTATATCTCTGGAATTGAATTACTTCCTACTGCTGTAGTTTTCAACCCAACCTCAAAGCATAGAGAAAATACACAGTTCATGATTAAAGAATTAATAAATTCTGTGCCAATGGAGATACTGACAAAACCTGGACCACTGGTGTGTCTTGAGGAATGAGTTGAAAACTGGTGGCCTCTAAACATAATGGGCTTCTTAAATCATTTATATATAGCTTTACTTGTTGTAGTGATATAGTTTATAATTCTGCTAATGCAAGGGAAACCGGTTAAATGCTTTACAGGCCAAACTTGCAATGTAGTAAATGTCTCATATTAATAACACCGTTTAATTTAGCCATTCAAATATGCAGTAATATCAAATGTTGCTACCCCTTTAACTGTTTTAGCACAGTGCAAATTCTCTCTTTAAAAAAAAAAAAAAAAAATCTGAAGAGTTTGCTGTTCAATATGAGCCTTATATACAGACTGCTATACGAAAATAGTGTCCAGAAGCTCTAATGGCACAGATGCCAACTCTGTAATTAAGAACATGGCTGGTCTGATCGCATGGCCTATGCCGTCAATTTGTAGTTATGCATAACCACAATTTAAAATGTGCAAGTGCTTTTTTTTTCCCAGCCTCCCCAGATATTTTGTTATTGTTGATCACAGTGCATTGATTGTTCCATAAAAGGGGATTTGGTCCACTTAACCAAAAGGCAACAATATTTTTAATACATTTTTCCTTGTATCTTTTAGTGGTAAGAGGCGATGCTTTAGAAGATATTGTATCCCTTGAGCCCTCAACAGCTCAATTGCTGCATGTCTCTAGTTGTTGTTTTATGTTCATTAATACATGTTTTTGTGTATATCTATAATTCCCCTGACCATTTTTTTTGCCAGAGCGAGGTAAAGTGTTGAAGGGGTTTAAGCAGTTTATTTTTCTTTTTCAAATTTACATTCCAAGGTGTTAATTTTTCAGAAACCATCCTTTTAAAGTACAGATGGTGTCATTTAGTGTGCAGGCTGCCAAAGCCTCATTTTCATTGCTATGGAAACTAAATATCTCTAGTCTTCATTTTCCTCTTTTTCCTGAGCACCCTGAAGTTTTCACTCCCCCTCAATTTAAATTTGGGAGATTTTTAGGAAATTAAATTAAAGGTAATGTGGAGTATTGGAACCTTGTTATTCTAAACGTAGGTGGCAACACTGAGATGCCAGGAAGGGAAGTAAAAATATTCATGTGTCCGAACTACCCTTGCCCCTTATAAGCACGCAAGAACTGAGGGCATACAGCTTGGTAAATGTTATTTCCTAATGCAGGCTGATACCAAACCAGAGTTCTTCTTTATACTCACTTTTAACACTGTTAGCGGTCGAAACGTTGATTTTATATGCGTTTGATTTAATATATTTTTTTGTTTACTAAATCCAATGAGTGCTCTCAATTTGTTCCATTTGTGTGTGTGTGTGTGTGTGTATGTATGTGTGTATATGTATATGTATGTGTATATAATATATATATATATATATATATATATATATATATATATATATATATATATATATATATATATATATATATATATAGTCAAGTACCAACATGCATATAGTATCGATCAGACCAATTATGGACTTTGGTCTAAGTGAAAACTTAGTGTCTGGAGTGCCAATCCCATAAACCTGTATCAGTAGTTTTATGAAAGTGCCAACATATTCCTCATTGTCTGCAGCACTGACAATGGGAAAGGTGAAAAAACTTACAATATACACAGACCAACACAAAAGGGAAAGTGTGCCCTGCCCATGAGCTGTGGTCTAGTCATAGAAGCTCTTTGAAACCAAAATGGAATGTCACACTCATTTAAAGGAGGAAGGTATGTGTCCAGGTGCTAATTAAGTAAATAAATTCCCCCAAATCTAAATTACTAACCAATTTGAGCACACTATCTAAAACACAGAATGTTCCCACTATCCTGGCTCTGCCACTAAAAGTTACGCCATTTGAATAGTACACTACTGCTTTAACCCCTTCCCCTCTGTATCTCTGTCTCTCATTCTGTCATTCCTTCTATACTGAATCCCCTGACTCTCTCCGTTGCTCTTTTCTGTTGCATTTAGCATGCCATCGCTTTTTGTTTAAAGGAGTCTGGGAATAAGCCTCCCGTGGTAAAGTATTGTGCACGCCTGCATTTCGGAAAGCCTTTATTGGTTTATTTTAAACTTTTATTTTATTATATTTTTATTCTATCAAACCTGTATTTCTTCCATTTATTTAAACTAAGAAATTTAAAAATGTAAACAAAATGTATTGTGGACGGTCTGATATTTCTCAAAATCTTAAGCTTTCTTGGATATTCCTTATGACCCACACCCCTGATACAGTTGCCTATACGGCTTAGTTAATCATATCAAATATATTTAACTTCATGTGTCCCATTAGCTTACATTACATCCTTTGTACTGGTATCAGGGATGACTGGACATTGGCTTGGAATTGGTGACTTCAACTTTTTGAGTGCTTCCACAGACCTATAGGTATCAATGACCCTTTTCCTCAGGACTGTTTGGCTAGTCACTAGAAACAATAACAAAGGTCTGTAATGAACCAGCTCCTTCTGTCCCATACAAATGCTAAATAAGGCCTGGTGCAGTAAGAACTAAAACACATTAATGGCAGAAACGTTGTGCTTGTGAATATTAAAATGTAATGTTTAAATCCCAGATGAAGAACATGGGATTACACAATGTTGTCTCCACTCCCCCTGATGTTCTGACCCCACCATACGATATGTTTTTCACAATTACATGCCACGCACGTTCCTTGTATGTTTGGTAAACTTGAATGGCCAAGTGCCCAGTACACAGAGAAACTGCTTACAACTACCTAATGGTATTCCCAAAATGGCTCTCCTCTAGGGTTGCATTGTATCCAAATTTCCTGGCAGCAAAAAAAAAAGTTTAGCTGGATTCACAGCAATTCTTGCCAAAATCTGTGGGCAGGGCTCTGATCTTTCAGAATAGGATCTGTAATTTGGAATTGCTGACAAGGGAAAGGGTGATTTTGTGAGAGAACTTGTACTAGGACATATATGCATTACATTCTGAAGGTTATGAAACCTGTTCAATTAGATGTTACCGCTATCAGACCTGTGATGCACAGATTCCCAAAACTCCCCTTGCTATGCACTGCACACAGTTAACTTTGGTTCCAAATTCTGTGTATGATGTAAATGGTCAATATATAATTAAACAGATAACTTGTTTTTAAGTTTTCTATTGAACAGTAGCTTGAATATAGGTCATGTTTTCTTTTGATCTGTATGTTCAAGGCAGCACTACATTTCCCTAGATGTTGGAGATATTCATCATGTAATATGGACACCTTGTGGTGGATGTTGTTGTTGCAGCTACTGTGTGATCCAAAAACAGACTGGGGTTCTATGGTATCCATGCAGTGTCACAAATCTTGCTTTCAAAGCCTTTTCTTTTTCTTCTAGCTTTCTTAGCCTTCCTCTTGGTCTGTCTTTGCTGCCAGGATCCCCTCTCTACACACTTTGCCTTCCTTTTAATTTAGCTTCCTGATCTACCAAAATATCTTATGCATGTTTTAATTTATTGTTTTATTCTGCCTTTCCCTTTCTTTTTTTTTGTCTGCCAGTTCTCTTTAGCCCTCCCATCTGTCTCTGGTTTGCTAAACTTTGATTAGAATGATCATGGATAACCAATAATTCAGGGTTCTATAATCTTGGCTCCTTTTCTCTTTTAACCACTTTATTAATGATCCTGCAAGGAGCAATGATAGCCACTTGTCTTTGTGGGTGGCACGAAATTAGATGATGCTCTTTAGTCTTAACAGAATGTACAGCAAAGAGATTCGAATAGTTTAAGGGATTGATAGGCAAGTGCCAGATTAGTTTCAGTGTAGACAGCAGACTAACAGAAAAAAATGAGAAGAAAATCGGATTTAAAATCCACCTCCAATATGAAGTACATTTTTTAGCTTTTTAGAACATTATGGAGGAATTAATAAAGGAAAGTAGTAGACCATTTTAATTCTAAAGAAAGTTAATAAAATCAGATAATAATGCATTCACATAAAAAATTGTGCAGATAAGGTTTACAAGCAGAGAAATCCATGAAAGCATCTTAAGATGGCACATTTTTGTATGTTTACAAATAGTTGCAAACCTGACCAGCTAAAAGAATGTCAATAGCCGCAGCCCAAAAGTATGACCGTTCTAAAATCAACTGGCAGAAGTTGTAGCTATAGCATTAGAAAAGACAGAGGGTAAACCAAGCTGCTAGGTAAGTTGTGAATGTAACCACATAACATTGAAAGGAATTTTACCTTAAACAATGTACAACAAGATTTCATATAATTACTAACAAATAGTTTATTCACCATAATCAGGTAATTGTAGGCTACCATTTTGTTTGTGTCCCTGCAAACTGGGGATCTGTTGTAACAAATTACATATAAGCTAGCACTTTATAGATATCACATACATGCCTTCTGACACGAAACCTAATGTTATCAAAATAATTCCTTTATTTTCAATATTTGTATTGGATTCTGCTTTCCTTCATCTTTTTATATAATTGGTACTTCCAGCCTGAAATGTAGTCTCCTAGATAGATAAAATGGCTGCTACTGGCCTTACCAACCTTGTATTGCTATTTTGCCATAACTAATTACTATTCTATAGTTGTATCAAATTTAGTTAAGGGAAACACACAATAGTCTGGTGGCAGGTTAATGATCCTATTTTTTATTTCACCTTTGGCTAATTTCTGTAACTATTGAAATATTACCCAAACCGCAGATGGCTTGTGATATAATAAACGTGAAAATGGATCCCAGTATGGTTCCTCTCTCCATAGACCAGGATACTAGTCCAGTAGAGATTTATTCACGTGGAAACAGTCTAATTAATTGCTGAGTGCACCGCTAATGCATGACATTAAGTGCCTTCACAGCATGATAAAGATGTGCACATATGTAGCAATCGCCTTAGTTAACACATTACAGTTGGAGATGTCTGTATTAGAGGAGATTGAAAACTACACTGATTTGAATGTATGTAGACAGACCAAACTCAATTGGGGTTATTGTTGGGAATTCAAAAGGAATTTCAAATTTAAGACCAAACTAGCCAAACTGAAAACTGAATTGACTTTGGCCTGAAATTCACTGTGAATTGTCTTTAATTCTCCATTTAGAAAATAACCCTGCATTTGTAGTAGTCATGTTCTTGATCATACCCAGTGTCTTTCTGCTTCACCCACATATTTACTAATAAGATGAAAGTGATGAGATCCAAAAGTTGAGGAAATTGATTTATGGAAAGTGAACTAAGTGATATTTAGGATCCAAACATATATAGTTAATGGCTAATTGGGTAAACTGATAGCCCAGGTTCTACTATTCCATGGTGATTAAAAATAAATAAATAAAAATTCTGTTTAATATTACCCAAACTCAGTGCACAAGTAGAAAAGATACTAATTTCTAGTATTACTACAATGTGTGCCTATCACAGAATTTTTTTTTATTGCTTTAGCCGTCATTAAGCTGATGGCAACCACAATGTGGCTGATATCGGCTTAGGCAAACGTTTCCTTAATACTGTCTAAAAGGATCTGCTGCTATATTGGGGATATCCTCCACTTGCAATAAAAATAATCAGAGTGTATAAACCGGAAAGGAACATTGATATTTTTGATAGTTTTTCAGTACATCATTAATATCCAACTTAAAGGAGATCGGTCATCCCCCGCACCAATCCACTGACATTATATCTATAAATCGTGCTAGTAGTTTCTCTAGCAAACCTTTATATTGTTCTCCAACCTGTCCACCATTTCAGACTCTCTATGCCAAAGAATTGGCATGGAGAGCAGAACAGGGACCTCCAGCAAGTGGTCCTTTTACTCTCCACGCATAGTAACCACTGCACATGCACTGTGGTTGCTATGGTAACTCCCAACCTAGCTCTGCTAGCGCTGGCTAGAAAGTAAAGGAAGAGAGTGACTGACACCACTCTGTTCAGACGTTGGTAACTAAGCCTGTATGTTGGCATCATGGAGGTTTGCCCTGCTTGGTGTAGCGTCACCAAGCAAGGAAAATAGGTGAAGACCATGGGAGGATCCTGGGCAGACTGGAGGTGGGTGTTACACAAGTGTAACCCATCTCGGTAAAGAGATTATGGTAGCCGAGGGTCAGGTAAGTGGCCGGGCAGCCGAGGGTCTGGTAAGTACCCTCCAGACACCTAAAGCACTTCAGCTTGCTAAAGAACATTTTGTGAACAGCTTTTTTCATTTTATTAAATGTGCAGATTCCACTAGAAATTAGCACTTTTATAAATTACCCTTGTTACATCTCCCTGGCTGTCAATAGGACAACTGGTCTTGTTACTTCCTGGTATTTTTAACTAAGTGGAACTAAACTCGACATACAGAAATGGCCCAGATCACCTGCCTTGCAAAGACTTCTCATTGAGCTGCATTGGAAAGTCTGAGATTGGACTGTAACAAAAAAATACATAATTAAATGCACAATTTCATTTAGTATGTCTTCTAAACACTGATATTTAATTATTTTTGTATTTGGACAGTGGAGTGCCACTTTAATGGTGGTTTTATAAATCTTGAAAGGATGGAAATGACTATTCTATTCCCTAGAAAACATGCTTATTTATATTATAAAAGACTGAATAATCTGTTTTGCATTTCCCATTGGTATGAGAGATGTACCCTTTTGATCCTATGTTTATAAAAGGAAGAAAACCCGGTTTGTTAAATGCACTTCTATATTATTATTTTTTTTCCCTCTGGATGTTCCATTAATTTCTCAGTTGACACAATTATACCAATTTTGTGTGCCATTCATCTATATTTTCATTTTATTTGTATTATTTTGCAGCTTGCTGAATGCACCTAGAGAGCATTTATTTGTGTGTACACACCCTTGTAGTGGTTGCATGTCATGTTCAGACAGTGTCTTGTATTTTGTGTGAGGATTAACATCTGACAGACACAGTAGAGTATGGATAAAGCACACTGGAGTAATAAATCTAGATTTGAGTACTACACCCTGTATAAGTGATGGAGGTAAATGATAAAGGCTTCTCTATAATTAGAGGATTTATGAAACATTGGAGAAGGGGTGTGGGGGACAGCAGATGTCTCTGAACAATCTGATGTGTCAATGTAGTGCAATAGTTCCATGGGAGGCCCCTAGATCTTTATGGTTTATGTGCTGGTGGGTTGTGGGTGTAAACAATACAGTAATTATTGTAGATCTGAGCCAGGCTAAGGGTCATTAGATAGATTCTGAGGGTATTAATCACTTAAACCTCCAGTAATTTAGATCTGGCCCATGCACCTAGAATATAGAGGGTATTCAGATTGTGTTTTGTAGAAATAATAAGTGTCCGTTCACTCCTAATATCTTTGCAGATACGTTATCGGAAGGATAAAGCACTATCTAGACAGACACCATGCTTCACAGCAGTCTCATCCCTGAGGGACCTATCAAATGGGAGTGCCCTGGCAGCTACCATCCACTATTACTGCCCCTCAGAACTCAGACTGCAAGGTGAGTGAGTAGTACTGTGAATTTTTGTACTTTACTGAATTATACCTCAGGCCTTGTTGCAGAATGGTAGACTTGCATTGCATGTTTTGTCTAGGATTCTAGTATAAAATATGTTCCTTAGGATTAAGATTTAAAAAAACATCTAAATATAGATATCTATAGATGGATAGATATGCTTGTTACAGTATCCCATTAATGATACTCTTGTACTGTGTTTGGACACTTTAGGTGCCCCATAAGTAGGACAGCAAAAGACATAAGCCGTACAGGGAGGGGGTTTTGTGTGAGGAGGTTGCCAATGGTCTTGGAGGTGTGGTGGTGACTGCTTATGATGTGTGTGTGTGTGTGTGTGTGTGTGTGTGTGTGTAGTTGGCTTTTGGTGGTGGTGTGTGTGTTTGTAGAAGTCTGTCTGTGGTGTAGTGTGTAGAGGAGGCTGTTTGTAGTGCTGCTTGGTTTTGAAGGGAAGGGAGTTAGAACAACTTTATATTTATTATGGCATTCTATAAATTAACAGTAATCAGGCCCAATAGTTTAGAGTTTGTTATAAACACAAACAAAAAATAGTGTACAGTAGTTTGTTTCTTCTTTGTGGGGTTTGATGAAAGTTTCTAATGCATAGAACATCCCTAAATTTCCACCGTGTTTCTTTGTTTTCTTTCAGATGTCTGTTTGAAAGACACCATGTCAGTAGCAGATAGTCTCTATAACTTGCAGCTTGTGAGGGAATTCTATACTCAGCATCTACCCCCCTTTTGCCCTCTGTCCTTGGAAGATCTTCTGTACGTGCCCACTGCCCTGCGGGTGAGAAGTTTTTTTGTTTTTGTTTGTTTTTTTCTCCTTTATCTTTAGATTTATGTGAATAGAACCTTACCTTAATCTGTTTCTGTTCTCTCTCATTCTCTATTTCAGTTGAATCTTATATCTCTGTTGGCTGAATTGTATTTGTGTTTCGAAGTGACCAAACCGGAGTTTGTCCAACCCAAAGGTAAGTAAAGTTGGCTAGGAGACGTATGGAATATATTTTGATCCTGTAGTGTGTGGATTGGGGTACATAATGTGGACGATTAAAGGGTAATTCAGAGGTAAATTTATGTGCACATGGGAATTTATAACCAGGCCATGACCAATGTGGATTATACAAATATGTATTGTAAAATCTAATTTAATTCAATCTTTTGATTTCCAAAAAAAAACAAAAAACTGCATAGGTTATTACTACTAAAATAAACAGACTTGTTGGGCAGCCGTTTTTTAATATATATTTTTTTTATATGTGGGAATCTGAGCTTTACATTTACAAATGTATAGGAGCAGCCCACTTGCTTTATCAAGAATAGGGGAAACCTGGAATTGTAGCTTCTATTTGTGTAATGTAAAGCGAGCATGTGTGCTTGAGTTATAGATTTTGATGATGGGTGCAGGTTATGACATCAAGCAGGCCCTTGTGTAAATAGTCACTACAGCAGCTAAAAAAAACAACCCTCCTCAACCCCCCAAAAAAACTAAACAAACAAAAAAACAACCTATCACTTCTGTTTCAGACTTGAACACACCCAATGACAGTTCCACTCCAACGAGCGCAAACAGTGGAGGGTATGTATTAACTGCAAATACAGACTAATAACTAGTATTTCCATTCGGCGGCATTGAAAGAACAGTCTACAATAGATGTTTTACCATAGGTAGAACATAAAGACATCCTTAGCAACATACAGCCAGGACTTGCATATTGGGTTTTTATAGAGATCATTTTACAACTTTCAACAAATTCACACAGTCTCTTCGTTCTATTCTTTCTTGCCTAAAGTTTACTCAGTTTGTCTCCTGTCATCCATTCCTCCTTGTTGCATCACATTTTAAATATGATCTCCGTTTTACTAAACATGGTCTGTGACAGCAGTTAAGTAATATTTGACCCATCTAGTTTGGCAAAGTTATAAATATTTATTTAAGCAGGAGAGGGCATACAAGGGAAGATCAATCAGGACAGAATATTACATCCAACACAAAAGCTGCAAAAATATAAAATTCCTAAATCACACAGGCAACCAATTGAACATACGTGCATCAAAACCAACATACAAAAGAAAGCGAAAAAGGAGAAGACTTAAGCAAGGAAGAAATGCTAGAAATGAAAGGTTAAGGAGAATAAGGAAGGGGTAGGAGGGAAAGCGAGAGAGGAGGTGGATGATGTCTCTCCAAGAACCTCAAGCAGAGCATTTTGGGGAAGCTTGTGACTCAAAGATAAAAAGGATGCATAATGGGTGTCCCATTGCAGCAGCTCCTAGCTATTTGGCTTCACTTTCATTATTTGCCATCAACCAATCAACATTCATGAACATGCAATCAATGTGGGAAATAAAAGAAAAATAAATCTAAACAAATGTTATGTTGTTTACACATTACTGTTTTGCTTCTGCTCTTTCAGTTCATTTCAAGGACATCTTCATGCCCTTCAAATGTAATTTTCAGTGTTTCATTTTTGCTCCAATAAAATAACTGTAGTTTATATGTTATCATTCATGGTTATATTAACCTGAGAGGCTGCAGTGCAAAGCTTTCGGTGCAGCGTGATTCAGCTCTTACATCTCTGTTTTCCGAACCCTAAAGTGTCCCTCTGCCCTTGGGTCAAACTCTGTGAAACTACAGTAAGTACCTTTCGTAGTCGTCTGGTGGACAGCCTCTAGAGGTAGTCTTAGCATTGCAATGTAAACATTGCCGTTTCTCTAAAACTGCATTGTTTTACATTGCTGGATTAAGGGTGATAGGAACACTGTACCCAGAGCACTTCAACGAGATGAAGTGATCTGGGTGCCTTTAATGTCCCTTTAACTTTCTGCAACAGAAAGCTGAGAGAGCGGAACAACAACTCCCTATAGCATTGCTTTGCCGGAATTGGAGCAAACTACACATGGTTACAGTTTTAACAGAGCATTGTGATTGGCTGTGCCATTTCCTGGTCTGGGAAGTGCTTACTGATTAAACGTTAAAGCCTGTGTATTTACAATAAGTACAGGAATTACTTTGCATGTATTGTTTTTACATAAACATTTAATGCACTATCTGTATAATGCATTACAAAATTGGCCAAATCTAACCTTAAGAATCCCTTTTATTGAGCAATTAAATATCTTTACTCATCATTGAAAGTTTCCAACCATTCATTTGTTTAATATTTATCTATTACGTTCTGTATTGTCACAGGGGTTCTCCAGTCTTCAATTTCCGACCTGGAACCACAGGTAAGGAAACCATTGTGTGGATTGTAAGGTCTAACTTTTACTTGTAGAGGCATTAACTTAATCTACTGCAATCGCACATCCGTCCATGATAGCTGAGGTGGTTTCTTTGTCAGGCATTATGTTTGCCATAATACATTCTTGCTGCTTGTTTCATAGGACCCCTTTCCCATTCCTCCTCAATGTCCCACATGGAAGGATTTGGGAAGACCTGGGTGAAAAATCCACTGAGGTATGTTTTAGGTCAGGACACAACACTATCTTGTGTGTATAACGCAGTATATCTTGTAGCCGTAAGCTCTGCAAAAATGGCTAGTCTTGGCCCAGTGTAAATTATCTATCTTCAATATATGACACTTTAACAACTCTACTAAATACATCACTCAAATCACATCTACATACAGAAGCATGGGAATAGCAACAAACCTATACTACAGCTTGAAAATTACTCTGTTAATAGTTTTGACCAAATATATATGACTATTAAAATGTGTAGGAGGCATTGTGGTAAAAAGAAAAAAACAATATAGCTGTTGACAACCATTTTATGTTTTCAGTGTTTTTTTTTTCTTGTCTTACAGATACATATATATATATATATATATATATATATGTATGTATGTATGTATATATATCTATATATATATATCTATCTATCTCAAAAAGGTTATGGTGGGGGAAAAAAAATTATGATTGAAAACCCCTTCACCCTGAAATCTGTAGATAGTGAATAAAATTTTAAGCAAAAATCTGCACACCAGTCAAGCCATAAAACTTGAGTGGTTCACTGGCTTTGCATCTTTTCCCAAGTTGTGTTTCAAACTGTTGTATACAGCAAACACAGACTCAAAGGAATCCATGTTTAAAATGGAATGAGGCAAAAATGTGATTCTTTGTTAAAGTAATTTGCATATACCCACCCAGAATCCTTTGCGGTAGTAACATCACTGCATATTTGTGATTTCTGTGGGAAAAGCAAGTCTTATGGCTTGACTGGTGTGCAGATTTTTGTTTACCATTGTATTAAAAAAAAAAAAAATATATATATATATATATATAATTGAGCAATTTTAAATGCGGCTAAATTGATAGAAACTGCAATGATTATTAAATGTCAATCAAAATATAAACAAATCCTATCCCTGTGCAAAAATTGGCAAGTAAGCATCAGAAGGAAGGAGATGCGCTTAAAAAAAACCTTTTTACTCTTTCAGTCATGTATTTCCTGCTAAAAATCTGATACAAGATGAAGTGCATTTCATAATGCAAATTTATATATATTCTTTTTAAAAAAAAAAAAAAAAAATTGTATTGAGCTTTTAAAATTATAATTACATATAGTTGTCATTTTATAGTCAACAACTGTATACAAATACAGTATATTTTCCAATTTGATTAGAATGCAAATACAAGGAGATATAGACAACCAAACAAAAACTCTACCACAACTGTCCAAACTGAAAGAAGTAAAAAAAAAATCCTGTTCTCATAACCGCTAAATATTATGAGAGAGACATCTTATGGGGTATGTACTAATATCCACATGCATCGTACAAGTGCCACTTTCAAATTCCTTCCTCATAGGGTTATATAGATCCTATCCAGCCAACCCATTTATGACCACCTTAGTTATCTTATTGGTCATTTTTTCTATACTGATTTGATTTCAAAGAGTTGACCAAAGTGGTATTTCCTGTGATTTCCAGTTTCTATACATTAGATACATAGCCGCTATTAATATATGAAATTGCTTATTCAGATTGGATTGCAATAATCCCAAAACTAATGAGTTTAAAAAAAAAAAAAAAAATTATTTATTGCCTAAATCTGCTAGAATTGCAATTAAAAATTAATCCAAGATGGCACTTGGTTCCATCTAGGATATCTAAAATGCATTCTACAGCCTCACCGGATTGTCACAAGGGTATAGGCTCTTACATCCACATATGGTGGTACTGTGAAAATATTCAGATTTACTGGGACATGATATATATATATATAACAGAATTGGGTATTTAAATTATCCAGAAAACACCTTAAGCTGCTCCTCTTACTCTAAACTGGACAAGACTTGAACCGATGAATTGCTATTTAGAAGTACATATATTAATAGCTAATTTGTTATTTAAATAGTGTCAGATATGCAGTCGTGATGTTGATCTTGTCTGCTCTCTTTACAGCCATCCGCTTTCTCAAGCAGTGTCATTCAGCATTCCTTTTGGCTTGGATAGTGATGTAGACATTGTGATGGGAAATCCTGTGAACATGCTACGTTCTGTTAGTTCCGACAGCCTTACACCTCCTGCATATGCTCCACCCTCGCCCAAATGTATGACCCGAGCAACCTACACCACACGTGAGGATCCAGCAGAAAGTCCAGTGCAGCCACGTACATTTAAGAAAGTTCCTCTGACTGGGAAAGGGACTTCTGATGTTCAGGCTCAGGAGAAATCTGGGAGTGGCCCTGGAGTGCACTCAGACCTACCCACCATCGAAGAGGCCCTGCAAATCATCCACAGCTCAGAGACTCGACTCCTTCCAGAAGGTGCTCCTGATGGATTTTTTCTTCACTCCCCTGAGGAGTCTAAACCCCTAAAAGTGGAGGAGGAAGCGGTAATGCCAAATCTTGGCGTTTACAGAACACATGATACTTCTAGAAGGCTCTCAAGAGATGATGATTCTGTATTGAGGGACAACAGCTTAGACTCTGATGCTGAGGAAACAAGACCAACTCAAGAGTCTAGTCGAAGCTCTCTTAGCTCTCAAGCAGATTCCTCTGCTGGTTCGGGTTCAAAAATGACCAGTTTTGCAGAGATTAAAAAGAAGCTGGATGCCAAAACAACCTCAGAAGGTTCCCCGTCTTCATTATCAGTCAGCCCTTCAACCACCACTTGGGCCCAGAAGGCAGAGGAATCTCCTGTAAAAAGCCCAGCCTTAAACTCTGAGATGACCCAGCTGGGTGCCAGACTTGAAGAGAAGCGAAAAGCCATTGAGGCGCAAAAGAAGAGAATTGAAGCCATCTTTGCAAAGCACCGTCAGCAGCTTGGCAAGACTGCTTTCCTTCAACTGAAAAAAAAAGATGGACTAGAGGAGGATGAAGAGGATGGTCTAGGGAATGAGAGAATGTCTCCTGATGAAGGCCTCCCAAAAGAAATAGAAGAATTGGAGAGGGAGAAACCAAGTGGAGAAGAGGGTAAAACTGAGAATATGCAGGAAGGGCTGTTGAAATCCCGAGGAGACAAGCAAGTCAGCTTTTCACCAGACGTTACAAAGAATGAACTGGATAGCAATTTGGTAGATTATAACCGTGCTGTAGCTAAGCTAAATTCTGCACTGTCATCTCTTCAATCAGACATGAAAAAGCTGTCTGATCAGCAGGACAAACTTATGAAAAAGGAAAGCAAAGCTTGGGTCATACCAGCTCCAAAGCTGTCTCCTCAACATCGACCAAAGTCATCACCTCCCACAAGACTAACAAGGGAAATACAAGCACCCCGGTCATCTTCTGCATCTCCTTCTCAGTCACCTTCTCGCTTGGCTCCAAAGTCTCCTCAGCCCAATATTCGAAGATCTCTCCAAATATTGCCTGTCCCTCCTAAGAGTCCTAAGCATAATAGACCTGTTGAGCTTAAGATCCCACCTCTTAATAGAGTCCTTACCCCTCCACACAATGTGGATACTATACCTCACCTACGCAAATTCTCCCCAAGCAAAGTGCCAGTGCAAACAAGGTCTTCTATATACTTCTCTGATCAAGAGAAAAATGAGATCGAAGATGCAGACTCATTTACACATTTTGAAGGCAATGGGAATGTTCGTCCCATTGCCTCAGTGGTTCCACAGAGCAGTGGTATAGGAGCCCTAACTGGGGAGGATGAAGAGGAAAAGAGAAGTAGCTTAATTGAAATCCCACTTTCTAATCTAAGGGTTACAGAGGACTCTGAGGTGGAAGGAATTGATGCCTTAGAAGGAAGCCCAGGAGAAGAAGGCTCTTTACAGAGAGGCATTGGATTCTTCTTTAAGGTAATGGAGTGCAGGAAGGACAGTTCAAAATTCCTTTCTGCTTTTTATATTCAAACGTGTTATGTATTATCAACTGCTTTTAGTCTTTTTTTTTTTTTTTCTTTTCACAGCCCTTTAAAGACATCCTTGTATCTTAGATGAGCACAGGCATTATGCCCTTAGTCCACCGTGTTCAGTGCCTGGCCGTGGGGTTTCCTACTTGGTTGCTCTGTCATGGGACCCGCCACAGCCAGGCTGACATACTTTAAAAAATGTCTTTATAGCTTCACACGGTAGCCTGGCTGGGACTGCTGAGCCAAAGAGATCGGGAGGGAGCAAAGACTGAGAGTTGCTCGCTCACAATACCCAGCCAGCATTCTATTTAAGGCTGCTGGGATATTCAATGTGTCATCCAAGCAGCAGAAACACCTAAAATAAATTGGAGCAAGGAAGTGTAACAAAATGTGTTTGTATTTGTAGCAGTTTGTGCGTATCTGTTAGTGTATGAGTGTGTATGTGCAGGGCTCAATTTTTCAACTTGCTGCTCACAAAAGGCAATATTTGCACACAAAAATCTAGTACATAAATCAAGCACAAATTATTATGGAACAGGGAAGCAGGATCAACAAGTAGAATAGCATCCACATCAGCAACTATGCCTGAACCGATGAGCTGTGGGTTCTAACTTGAGACTCGCCTTCCATTTTACAATAAAGGAAAATGTCACTATTTTCCACATGTATGTGTATTGCTTCCCAAATATATTGCGTGTAAATTTCTAAATGTGTATCTGTGTACATGTCACTGAGTGTGCAATTTATGTTTTATGACTGTTTGTATGACTGTGAGAATGTATGTTTGTGTGACTTTGTGTCTGTTTGTAAGTATTTGAGAGTGCATCTACTGTTTAACTGTGTGTCACTATGTCTGCCATTGTGTAAGTGATTATTTTTGGGAGGAGCAATTCAATGACTGGTTAGGGTTGTTTAAAATTTTCCCTGGTGTGGTTATATGTGTAACGTTTTGTTTATTTCTGAGTGTATGATTGTGGAAATGTGTGTGATATTGTGTGTATCAGTGAATGTGTGTGCCAGTTGGTAATTTTACTTTTAAAAGGCAAAATCCATTCTCAAGTGATCAGCAATAGGAAATGAGATATATAGATCGATGTATAGATATAGTCCTATAATCAGCACAGTTCCATTACCAATGTTATGGTATCTAGAGGGGCATTGGGCAGTATTAAGGTGATATGTAGGAGGGGCTACCAAATTTATGTCTTGACTGAATCACCTGATACCTACCAACACCCCAGTATATAAGCTAGACATTTTGAACACTTTAGAATCCCACTCTTCTGTTTACTTTTTTCCCCCCAAACAAGTATCCATCCTATTGTATAAAGATGTTGGCATGCATGCCACTGAATTATAAACAAACAAATTAACAATTTAATATGGAAACCTGCAGAAAAAATATCATATTAAATACATTCATTTAATAAAGTTGTACAATCACAAATGAAAATCCAGATATATAATTTTATAGCAAAGCAGTACACAAACCTCATGGGATAGTAGTCTGTATAAATTGGAGCTCCATCGCTTAGATTATTATATGCCATTTTATGAAGTGGACAACTGTCTAATAACCTAATAAGGCGGAGGCAGTTTAAATCCGAACAATGAAGCTGACCATAATAATAAAATCTGCAAAGGCTTGGAAGTCTTTTGAACAGGGCTCAAAATGTCCCCTAGCTATTGTCTAGTAGAAATTCACCCCCGTTGAGTGTGCCATGGACTCTACAGGCTTGCAGTGGCTAGTCATTTTTAAGACCTGGGTAGTAGTGTAGACCTTGACATTTTAAGACCTTCTTTGAGTAAATCTTTTCTTGAGGGTCATGTCAGGTAATCCTGTCTGCTAACAAGAGGTTTGTGTCTCTGAGACAGGAAAAGATGCATAACTGGGAACGGTCTGATTCTAGTGCCAGGTAACCAGTCCTCCCATTAAGACATCTCATGGGAATTTTCATCAACAAAGAGAGCACGAAACTATTTGTTTTAAACATTTATTTAAAGAAATACTTGGGAAGGCATTAACCCCCACCCAGTCCATGCTTCATTTTAATGTAGAAGTGATGGGTCTAAAAAAATAAAGTGTGTGTGTGTGTGTGTGTGTGTATACATATATATATACACACACGTGTGTATGTGGGGGACAATGGGTTTAAACGCTGTTTATATGTCAGAGAATGTGCCTTAGGTTGGCTGCTATAAGTTACAAACATATTCTATTCTATTTTTTTAACTCCAGTTATTTTGCAATGCTATTGAAAACAAAAGTAATAACGGGAATGTGATTATACATATACATGTTGATAGTGAATGGGGGTAAAATGTAAGCATTAGCAGAGGGCATGTAGAATGGTTTAAGAGCGCTAAACAAGTGAACTTTCTCAGTGAAAGAATAACTACAGCAAGAAGGGATTATTTCAGACTGGAGTATTGAAGTAGACCTCATGTGGAAGTTCTAAATGCTGCCTTTGTGAAAAATTGCCACATGGATGATCATGCTATTGGTATTTGATTGGGCAAACTTATAATTTTTATTCTTTCTGAAGGGAGAGGCAAGGACAGAGGGAGAAATGGCACAGAGGCGGGCTGCCCTTTTGGAGAAGCAACAAAAGAGGGCTGAAGAAGCAAAGAAGAAAAAACAATCACAAGATGAAGAAAAAGAGAAGAACGAGCAGGCCAGGTCAGTGTCTCTATGGATAGTTTTTGTTTTTTTTCCTCTTCGGATGATCACTTTTCACATTGTCAGCATAACCTCTGCCAAAGACTATCTTAAGAGTGAAAGTTTTCATTCCTGTACAAGGTAATTTCCAAGACTTATTAGTCTAACTATAGCAAGCATCACAAACTCTGCCCCCCTCCAGCTGTTTTTGAACTACAACTGCTTTCATTCTATGACCATCTGTTGTCTTCAAAGAATTCTGGGAGTTGTAGTTCATCAACATCTGGGGGACAAAGTTTCAGATCCCTGGTTTATAGAGTCTACAGAATAAACTGGCAAAGTACCCCCAGTAGCATCATTGCACGATTACATCTTGATATATCTCAAACCCAAGAGTTTAAGAAATTTGTTTTCATCATCTCCTCTCCTTAGCCTTCAACCTGAGAAACCACCACCCAAAGAAGAGGTTGTAACACGTAGAGGAGATTTCACAAGAAAAGAGTATGAGCGCCGACATCAGCTGAAAATCATGGAAGACCTGGACAAGGTCCTGAAACAGAGACCCATGACCGTACGGGGCGTTAAAAAACCACGCCCCAAGACAGTCTTCCATGATGATTCTGTAATTTCCCGGAGTCCAGTTAGGGGATTACTGGGTAAGGTTAACAAATGTGTTTATGGGAGCTGCATGGGCTGTTGTGTGTCTATGATACTGAAACTATAAAAAAAATTAAATATGTATGTAGAAAGTAGAGACAGCTATACTCACAGTCTCCAGTTAAAATTTCAATGCTTTATTTACTATTCCTTAAAATAGATCGACGTTTTAGTCCTACATTCGGACTTTCCTCGGGATCAAAACAAATTTTTTTTTTAATTCCAAACATATATTTCGGGCTCCTGCTTTCTGAGTGCCAAAGGATAGGAGAGAGAAGGAGGGAGAGTAACCATTTTTATAGTAAAAGTATCCATGGTTGCCCCCCCAAAAAAGCATAATTTTTGTGACCCTACTAGACACAGTAGACCTTATGTTACAGGGAAGTGTGTCTTGGAGACAAAAATTCAACCATGTGGCAAAAAGGTAAATGTAGAACCCATCCAAAGATAGAGGGGACAACACTTTTTTTGTTTTAAATATTTTTATTGTTTTCACAATATAAGTGCATATTGCGAACTGGTTCGTTATAAAGCCAGAGGTTGCCCACGCAGGGGCTTAAGCAGTAAGTTATAGCATTCATTAAGGTGAACGGTCGCCTACGTAGAGGCTTAAATGTTAGCACATAGGAATAGATGCAGATTATCGCCTGCGCAGAGGCGTAATGATCAGAACATATAGGCGTACTTGAACTTTGCAGGAATACATTTCTAAGCATTACAGCATAAAAGGTAACAACATCCTATAATGTGTCAATCTGAGGTAAACTGTAGCTGATCATGCAATAAACAATTAAACATTAAGATGCGCGTAGCTGATGGCCTTATGTGTAGTTAATAAATCACGTCATGTTTCGTGCCATTAAATAAGCGGTACTAAGTAACGCGGTGTTAAGTAGTTGTTAGCATTGTGTCATTGCCCTATCAACTGCGCCACAGGCACGCTGTGAAATGAATGTGCAACTATTATATCCTATGTACAAGGGCTTATGCAAGGGGAAACATTAGCCTGGTTAGCCCTAGCTAAACACATTTGAACTTTTAACATATAAGTCACTTCGCTGGAGGGGGCGTAATGACGCCCGGTATGTTGAAGCCATCTGGTGTGAAATTGGCAGTCTTCTTCGCAGCTTTTATTCTGGTATGACCTTCCCATGGCTACCTCTGAATGATGCTGCACATGGTGGGTCAGCTGTACCCCCCCTGAGTCTCTCCGGGTCCCCCGGGTGTGACAGTGCCCTCCCTTTCCCACCCCAAGTCGTGTTTCCGCATCTTTAGGGGGCACAACCCCGCTGTGGGCACTCGGAGGCCGGAGCTGTCCGGCGGCCTCCCCACCTTAGAGTCCACTGGGCTCCCGCCTCCTGCACCTCCCCAGCTTCAGCATGGCCTCCTTGGGGCCCCAGCCCTGACTTGCCACCTCCTCCTCCGGCCACTTACATGTTGCCGGCGCGTGCCCTCCGGCCACCGGTCCGCCGGCTGGCCCGCGCTTCTCAGCTCCACCGGGCTCACAGAGTTGGGGGTTGTTTCTCCCGGACCCCCACCAAATCCGGGGTTCAGGACCGGCTTTCCAGCGACTCGTCCGCCGCCCGGGGTGGTCCAGTAGTGAGCTCCGCCGTCCCGGGGGTCCCGGTATCCCAGCGCGGGATTTCTGCTGTGTGCGAGTCGTCCCGTAATGCTGTGCGGGTACTGTGTATCCGTCGGCCATTTTAGCTCCGTGTACCGGAGCGTCGTGTACCGGGCGTGCCTTCTCCTCCAGCCTCCGATGTTCCGACTTTGGGCCGGGATCACCCCCCCGGCCGGGTGGGGGGGGGGAGCGGGGCCGGGCCAGGTCACCCTCGCCTTGCTTGCATGCCGTGGGTCCCGCTCTTGTAGCGTGGTTGAGGCCTCCGGGGTCACTGTGTGAGCCGGAGGTGCAATATGTGCCCTAGCGTTGCACTCCCCGGTTCCTCTCTGCCGGGTTACCTCTCTGGTGTCGGTTTTCGGCATGGATCGTGAGTATTTTGAAGGTTTCATGCTGTTTTAGGCTTTTCTACGCCGGAGCCGGCGTGAGTTGCAGCCGTTCGGCTCGGCGGCCCGGCCCCGCCCCGCCCCCCCACAACACTTTTTTTGAAGGCCCCTTGTCTTTGTATTTTTTGTATATTTGTTGCAATTCATGTAATGTCACTAGCCACTAAGGACTTCTCTCCTTCACTTGTTTACTGAGGAGGAGATAAGGTTCATTTTAAGCCTAGTCGATTAGAACTCCTGCTTTCAACGCAAAGTCCTGTACAAGCTCAATTGCCATGTGATTGTCATAGCCATGGTGAACTCTTGACAGGATTGGTATGCTATGAGGGTGTTAAAATGTATTTTAAAAAGGGTTGCCTCTGTTTTAAAGAACTACTTTGCAGCTTTTTATGAGCTAGACAGAACATTACAGCTGATCACTGATGGTGTAGGCACTATAAATGTTTCATCTTTTTGACATGGGTATAGTGTCTGGAGTCCCTGACGCTGTTTCTTCATTCAGTGTTAAACAGTTTTTTTATGGTTTAATGTCCTCAGCAGCCCATCTCCTCAATGCTGCTCGTGCTATTGAGTAAGCATTAGTGTGTGCAGCATTGGGTGACTGTGATTGGTTGAGAGTATTGGCTGACTGCTTTCAGTTTATCACTGCACCTTTGCTGGTATGAATTGGCATGGCTAGAAGGAAGTGTGTAATCTCTACCTTAGACAGACCTACAGACGGGGTCAGGTTGTTGGACCTTTTATGCAGGGAAGACCATAGAGACTGACTGTTTTCAAACACTGTCTGACCCAACAAATGTTGTTCAAATGTTTTTTTGTTGTTTTTTTTTTTTTTTGAATGACTTTTAAACCAATGACATTTGCAATAAGGCCACAAACAAATGGGCTTATTGACTTTAAATTTGGAGGTAAAATTAACCTATGCATCAAACCTCCATTTTAAATGTAATTGCCTGGCGTGTCCCACATTGTCAGCTGACCCTGAGGAATTTATTTATATGGGATACATTTCTAACTAATGGAGACCAAGTTATTTTCCATGTTTTGGTTTCAGGTTCCAAGCTAAGTAAAGTTTACTCTCAGTCTACGATGTCCCTATCCACAGTGGGGAATGAAAACGGTAGTGGAACAATGAGGAGGTCACCACGGTCTCCCAGGTAACCAAACAGTGCAGGCAAGATTAAGCTTTCTTTTATGTAATTGTTGCATGCAAAATGAAGATCCTCAATAAATATGGGTATTGCATATTTTGTATGGTTTATCTATTCATTTACTAAAGTAAGAAGAACATTTTGCTTGCAAGGCTCAAAATCTCAAAAATCTCTACTTGCTCTCTCCCAATGGGTAAGAGAAAATTGAACCAGTAGTAGTTGCCTTCAATGTGTGGTATATCACCTGTTGCTGAATACCAAAGTGTATAGCAGGACATTGTTCTGCCAAAGGACAAAATACATAAAAAATCAAGGTCAAGTAGATATACCTCACATTACAAGATGCATGCATTTAAATATGCATTTTTTCACAATTGGGTATATTTAAAATCTATATGCAAGCCCTGCAGTTCTCTTGTCTGCAGCCTTTACAAACCAACCCCTACTAACCCCACACAGACTTCTCAGTGCAGCTCAGTAAGAAGTCTTTGCAAGGCAGGTGTACTGAGCTATTGCTATCTCTTGAGTTTAGCTCAATTGAGCTAACCAAACCAGGAAGTAACAAGACCTGCTGTCTACTCGAAAGCCAAGGAGGTGTTACGAGGTTGATTTATAAAAGTGTAAATTTCGATTTGAAATCTACCCTTTTTGCAAAATGGGGAGGAGGGAAAGAACACACTGTGCACACACACAGTTTTAAGCAAGTGAAAGTGCTCTAGGGGTCTGGAGTGTCCCTTTAAGTGTAGCACAGTCACAAGGCGCTGTTTCAGCAATATCTAGACACAGCTTCTTGAGTCTCACTCTTTAGTCATGCATGACATTACTATAGAACAGATTGTAGGGGAGCTTTATTTAGGTCTAGCCCAATTACAGTTCCTTCGCACCAATGAACACCAGGAATGGTGGAAATAATAAAGTAAGGGATCAGCAGAGAAGGGGGCACTGATCACGAGAGAAGAGGAACCTCTCCCACCAAAAGGAATTCCCTTGCTCCAATATTTCAGACTTCCTAATTAATATATAAAATTCTCTGTTTTTGCTAGACTAAGAATACATTTTAAAGGAACAATTGTACTAGGCTTCAGACCCCTCTCTTTTTCTGACCTGAAGAGGAGAGGAAACTGTCGAGAGTTTATCTTTTAATGTGTATTAGACCAATAAAAAAAATAAAAAAATTCCCTTCATACTGCAATACTTCTAGAATTTTTTTTCATCTTTAAAATGCTGACTAAATAAGGTTTGCCAATATTTGTTTATTGCATTTTTTTTCCTGGTTATATTATGGTTGGCATTTAGAAATGATTAATTTCTACCAAAACATTTATAATTCAAAATTGAGTAGCTCTCAAATACATGAATAGTGTTCGTGAGATATTCATTTTTTCATTACCTACTCCAAATACTTGATTTTTGATACTGTGACATGTCTGTTTTGTACACTTTTTTTATTATTGCTGCTGTTTTTATGACATATTTTCTGTCCCTCAATTATTGTCTTGTTATTCACAGAGCGGTCTCTCCATCTGGTCTGATGTCTCCCAACCGTGGTCTGTTTACCCAAAATGGGGATAAAGATTGGGACACAGGGTCTACAGCATCTTCCCCAGCATCAATCCCAGAATACACGGGTAATTTTCCTTTTGATGATCCCATCTAAAATAATTCTCTTGGCTGACTTTCTAATTCAGGACAAAGCAAAATAAAACCCACTGGTGGTGGTTTGATTATAGATACCAGCCAAAACCTTGTCAAGCAACATTCTTATGTTCTTCTATGGATCATACCTGGGTTTCCTTGTAGTGGATTGCTTATATTTTGCAATTGTTTTGTATAGTTTCCCTGGTGGACAGCCACTTGATTTGGTTAGACTTAATGAGAGGATTAGTGCACAGCAGATAGAATCTTAAAGAGTAGCCGTTGCAGGTCAAGTATCATAGTGTTTCTTGCACATGTTCTGTACCGCTTTATGATTAATGGCTTGTATGAATGTTTTTTCATGTGAGATTTCATTAGATAATTGACTTTGCGCAATCATGTGTTTTTACAAACATTTAAGTCATTCTTATACTTGTGTATTTGTCTGTATTTCCTTAAATAGGTCCCCGACTGTATAAAGAGCCAAGTGCGAAATCAAACAAATTTATTATACACAATGCTCTATCTCACTGCTGCCTTGCTGGCAAAGTGAATGAAACCCAGAAGAACAAAGTGCTAGAGGTAAGTTATGTAGATCCTAAACAATAAGAGGTACACAGAAGATGTCTAATGAATGACACTGTAAAGTAAGAGTTTTCAAATCCATCATCATAATATGGGTGTCCTCAAAATTTCATATAAAAATGGATGCCCTTTAAAACTTGGTGTAAAAGCGGGCATGCCCTTCAGATGAGTTAAAAAGTTAACGTGAAAAAAGTTTAAGTGATGTGAAGGTTACAACTTCTGGTAGCCTTTCATTATCTCCATCTACACTCTCTTTACATGTAAATAGTCTTATTTGTCTGGTGGTTTAAATGTGTATTGTAATAATGGTCTCTATCTTAATGAGACACTCTAACCACAAATACAACTTTAGCCTAATGAAGTAGTAATGGAGTGTAGATTTATTTTTTCTTCATGGAGGCTGATTGTTTATGTAGCCCACACAGCCTCTCTACACACTTCCTGAAAAGAGGTCTAATTTGTAAACTTCCCTTATTGCAGTGTGTTTAATTTTTTAATATGAATGCCTAACATAAACCTACTGTGCTGTTAGGTCAGTTTGAAAATTAAAGGTGTTTTTTTTTCTCTTTTCTTTTCTTGGATGCTTTGTGATTCACAGGCAATGGAAATATGAGTAGGGCTATATAAACAGCGATTTTAACCTCTAAATGGCAGAGAATTTAGCATTGAGACTGCCGGGGCATGATCTACAAGCATAAAAAAACATTTTAACTTAATGGAGCAATTTGGGTGTAGAGCAAGCATGTCAAACTCAATCTAACACGGGCCACATAAACAAGGTTTACGTTTATGTGGGCCGCAAAAAAAAAAACTTACATTTTCATAGAAACATAGGTGTATTTTGGAAAGTACAGTATAAAAAAAAAAAAAAAACACAGCACCCCCTCTACTAAATCCCAGTACCCTCCTCTAACCAACAAGCAGACTCCACTCACATTGCAGCTGTCAGTATGCGACTCTGGAGTCCGGCCTCTGGTATACCCCAAATGGTGTCGTCTGATCCTCCCGCTACTTCTTAAAAACCCTGTGAAGGTGGCACACGTCTATGTCATGACGTGACGTGGTGTTGCGTGCCTCCATGCACCTCCAGGTACTCCACTGTCCAGTCGCAGCCAATGCAACACTGATCATCACACACACACACACAGACTGACAGACACGCACTCACTGACACACAGACAGACAGAGATACACACATTTACACATCCTTGCACACACATAATTTTCTTTATTGTTTCCTACCTTTGGGAGCCGATGGGGGGCCTCTCACTGGGGTCCAGTAGGGATCTTCTATCTGCTCCTCCCTCACGTGGTTTAGTGATACCAGGTGCCGGAATATGACGTAATGTTCTGGCACCTGGCTTCACTACAGACGACGCCTGCGAGGGAGCAGTGAGGAGCAGGAACACGGAGTCCCCTCGCTGGCCCTCTTCCCCAGCCGGGTAAGTTTTTAGCAGAGTAGGCACCTGCAATGTGGGGAAAGCAGGTGCCTACTAAGCTGTAACATCAAGCATGTACTCGCGGCTCACCGGGCCGCAAAGATGTTCATTGTGGGCCGCAGGTTTGACATGCTTGGTGTAGAGTGTCCTTTGAATTATCACAGCATCTATTTTTTTTCTCAGTTTGCATGATTTATTGATTAAACACAGAATGGTTATGAATTTGAAAACCATGTTACAAAGTTTACGTTAAAATAGCCAAAATGCTACTGTAGTGGCGTTTGTAAACTTTAGGCAAAAATAGGGAAAATTATTAAATTGGGCTCCAATTCAGTACAATTCTGTGTCTAATGAATAACCCATTGGTGGTGGTCACATATTTCCCCATAACCTGATGCAGGAGTAGAAGTGTCAGAGGAATATTGTCTTGTCTGAGAGGTTTGCATTATTAAGTAAGTTATGACTTGTACCTTCTTTACCTCCGCAGGACATTGAGAAGAGTGCATCCAACCACTTCTTGATTTTGTTCCGTGACAGTAGTTGTCAGTTCAGAGCAGTTTACACCTTCATGCCTGAGACGGAAGAACTGACCAGGCTGGCAGGCTATGGCCCTCGTACTATTAGTCTAGCCATGGTTGAAGAGATCTACAAGTACAGCTCAGACCGAAAGAGATTTACCCAGATACCCAGCAAGACCATGTCTATGAGTGTTGATGCCTTCACCATTCAGGGTCATTTCTGGCAGAGCAAAAGGCCTACTACTCCGAAGAAAGCTGGCACCCCCAAATAAATATTCCTTCTTATTGTGTACGGACAGATGCCTGAATTATGTGGTCCAAGATGCGACCAGGTTTCAGTTGGAAGTCATTTAGCTATCTTCTGTTCTGTCTTAGCCCATGTGCTGTCCATTTTTTGTCTTTTTGGTCAGATGGGTGGCGCTTTTTTTTTTTTTGCTTCCAGTGCAATCCTATTAACATTTTATCACTGCAGCTGAGATCAAATGAATTTCTATTTAATCACGTGGCCTTGGTTTCATCAAAGCATGAACCAAGCTGGTGCCTACTCAACAGCCTAGCCTTTTACCATTTTGCTGTTTTTGTGACTCACACACAACTCTTATTACCTTTTTGATTGGTCCTGAGTAATGTGTGTTAAACTGTACCCATGACTTATACTAAGATGGTGCCACTTTTTTTTTTTTTTTGTGCTTGGGGAGAATTGGCTATTCTTGTTTTATAACCCACTGCCCTTCATGTGTGCCAATATAGTAACCACTGCCCTTTTAATTTTAAGGCAAAGCTGGTGCCTTAACTTCACACCACTTGCTCACACCTTTTTAGCTATTTACAGCACTTCTTGGCAATGTTTGATAAAAGGTGCCTTCTATAATTTCTGTTTTCGATCATGCTGCCATGCTTTTCTGTTTGCATTGCTCACATTTATCTTGTGTTCTGATCCTATTGACTCCCCCTACCCCCTCACAAGTAGTCAACATATCTGTTAAAGGCCATACAGGTTTATGGCATAAATGAAAAGTATTTCCCCAACTTTACTCTGCACACTGCCTTTTGGTAACCTGTGTATGTGTGATCCATTGCCGCACTATGCTCATTCTGCACAGATCACCATCCATAAACTGCCCTGTGCCGGATTTCAACAAAGTACCCTGTACATTCCCCTAGACATGCTTTAAAAGTCATTTTTGGTAGTGCTTCAGTCACAACAGAAGACGAATAGGGAAGCCACTGCTGGTTATTCCCACCCTCTTCATTGTAAAGCATTATTACATTTTTTTTTATTTATTTTTTTGTAAGTTGCAACATGTGCTCAGTGCTGGTCCCATCCTTGTTTAGACAAAGAGTAAATAATGCTTCCAAAGGTGGCTGAACTAGGTTTTGCTTTTCCTACTCATTCTGCTTCCTTTTGAAATAAGGAATGTTTGGTACCTTGCTTTTGTAAATCGCAAAGGCCACAAGATTGGCTTAGAGGGCTATTTTATATGTGGATGCTACATACGCCAGGACAGTAGGCAGGTCTCTAACCCTGCACCTATTGTGAGGCTGGGTCTCCCATATTTCTCTGTAAGCATTTTGGGGGTAGAAGCCCAAAGGCACCTGGATTCTTGCCATTAGTGATCAAGGAGCAAGATAGTTTTAAGAAAGTAGAATCAAAGACATTTCCTACACTCATGCCATGTATTTGCCACTCTCAATCTGCTCTTCTCTTTCTTTCCAGTTACATGTTTAATTTGGTACAAATAAGGATAACTGTGGCTATAGTGTTGATGCAATATGGATGTAAATAAGGTTTGCATCTACTGTGTGGCTTCATTGGTAGTGTGAAAGCTAGTGTTCTACAAAAATCGTTTTTTCTTGATATCAAATGCTTCAGAATTAGTGATAATCACAGTGGGTGTATTTGGGTTTTTTTAAGCTGTAGGGTAATATAAAGTTGAGAACGGAGTTTAGTGTTGACGATCTATTCATGTAGCACCCTAGAACAGACTGGAAAAGTGCATGCAAGAAGCAGCAGAGTACGCTGTATATCGTGAGAAGGTTTTGTGTAAAGTATTCTTCTCCACATTTGCTTAACAGGATACTCTAGGCACAAATACAAATTTAATGCATTTAGTAGATTTTGGCTTCATTAATATGCTGGTTTTTTTTTTTTGCAATCAAAGTAAATGTATTGCAGAATTCTGCACTATAACCCTGCCTTAGTAACCACACCCCCCTAATGTCTAAAAGATTTCCTTACCAAATGTATGCATACTGTCTCAGCCCCAACAGCATTGAGTGGACTGCTTTTAATTCGCAGCTGGGCTGCAAACATAGTAAAGCTATCACTACCTGTTTTATAGTTTCTCTATGTATCCCAGGGTGTACTCTTTATAATACAGGGTACTTTGTAACTCAGATCACTCCGTACTGTCAGTGGCTGGGCTGTGTGAATACACTTAATAAGGAAGTCTTACTCTAGAGTGAAGAGGCAGGCTTATGGTGCAGCAATCTGCAAAACATTTTTAATGAAAAAGCTATAAAGACTTGAGAATGCAAAAATAAATAAATTAATGAAGCCAAAGCCTCAAGTGCATTCAGTTGTATTGGTGCCTCTAGTCTACCTTATAAGAGTGAGTTATACAAGACAGGTAAAGGGGATTATTGATAAAGGACCAGCAAAGTTTAATCTACACTGAACTCCTGGGCATTTATCATTGATAATCATAAGATCTCCTCCATTCAGGACAGTGGCTCATAATTTGTCCTGAGCATTAGAAATGCTACACCATGTCTTCAAGAAGCAGTTTTTTTGTTTTTAATGCAAGATGACCCAACTGTATATCAGACAATACCCATTATTTTCTCAAAGATCCCGAAACTATATAGGAAGAGCTACTATTTGACACTCTAGCTAGAGAACGGGCAAGATAGACAAGCTATCTTTCTATCTATGACACTGATAATTTAAACGTGCCTGGTGCACATGAAATGTCTCTCACATGCTAAATGACTTTGCTTACACTGACTTGGGAACCATTTAACCAGCAGTGGTACTATGGAATAGTAATTCCATTTTGTTTTCTCTGTAACCTGTTACATTACACTGAGATTTGCTACATTTTGAATATCTTGTTTAAAACTATTAGGAATACATGGTTGCACTGTGTGTAAACTAATTCCAAACTGCATTTATTCCCCCCCCTTTCTTGTGGCATTTGATGTCCAGAACTATGTTGAGTTTGTTTAATAACAATGAGTCCTAAAAGGTATGATATTAAAGGAACACTATAGGGTCCGTAACACAAACGTTTATTCCCGACCCTATATTGTTAAACACTGTTTAGGTTTCTGGCCCCCCTTAAATACAGCAAAACTCACCTTTATTATGGCGCCACGCAGGTCGTCTGAGTGGAAGTATTCCTAGGCAGCAATGTAAACGCTGCCTTTTCTCTGAAAAGACGGTGTTTACATGAAAATGCCTGCAGGGATTGACTATGATCACCAGAACAACTACATTAAGTTGAAGTAGTTCTGGTGACTATAGTGTCCCTTTTAATGTGTTGCAGGAACTTATAGGACCCTCCCATACAAACTCAGGTGTGAATTGCAGAAACCTGAAAGCCAAAATAGAGTTGGGAACATAATTTGGGAGGAAAAGGAAAGTTTCCAGACTTGTCATACTGTTTTAAAACTTAGCTTACTCAATAAATGGTTCTGAAAAACAATGTGCTAACGATTTTTCTAGGCCTGCTAAATCAATAAATGCTCAAACCTAGAACCCTTGCCATTTTAAATCCTTCTTTAACACCGCAGTATGAATTTTGGTCAAATGTGCTGGTTGCTAGCCATGACTTTTTGGATGTTAACTTCCACTGACAAGTGTATGGAATGCCAAGGTTAGCAACCAGTTTTAAATGAATTTAACAATTCGGCAGTAATCCCAAATTAACTTATTTGAAAGGAATAAGATTCAAATTCTCCTTTCACCTTTTCTTGTCCCATACTATTTTGACACTTTCTTTTTGCCTAGTTTATTAAAATAAGGTTGAGCGTTTATTAAAACAACTTTAAAGTTGACTGAAGATGTTTTCCATTTATGGTGTAATAATTGTACTTAACCAGCTCTTAATTTTACATGGTTTATACATATCTTTATTTTAAAATAACTGCTTCAGTGACCTCACTAAAGATAAATCATAGCACAGTGTACAAAATTTCTGCATGGGAGGTTTGCGTTTGCCTTGGGGGGGAAAAATGTAGTAAGAACAGTACCCTTACATTATCAGGCTTCAACATCCAAGAAAAATTACATTCTGAATAGGCATTCCTGACCATTGAAAACATTTTTCCTGTATTTATTTCTCAATGGAATGCGTAGTAAACAAATGAGAGTGGCTCTGTACAAAGATGTATTGTGACTAACAAGCTTGATTTTGTTTTCCGAAAATAATTTTAAGATGCCTAAAGAGAAACTGTTCATGTACTTGAACTTTCCCCTCTCCTCTGTAATATACCCAGTTGTAAGAAAGCTTTGTTTTTCACTGGCCGCAGCACGCTACTACAAGGAGCAGCCATGCCCTTCCAGTAACTGAGTCTGTAGAGCACAATTTGTCTAAAATATTACATCATACACTCTACCCTTTTTCAGATTCCATAAAATGTCTACCAACCTCTGTAGTATATATGCACACCAATCAGGGCTAAATCCTTGGATACCAGTAAATGTTCACACCCCCTGATGTGTCATGACAGGAATGCTCAGTTCTAATGTGTACAGCGTTTGGCTACAAGATGCAGGGGTGATGTGTCCTTGGGGAAATATGATTTCCCTTTGTGAGATACTTAAATCTTTGGGAGGGGTATTGTAATGCAAAAATACAAGTTATGTGTTTTGTTCTGTCACTTAAAAGGTTAATGTGAAAATATAGGTGTTGGCGCTGCCACTGTGTAGCAAGGCAACACCCCTGACATCTGCTGTACCCATACACTATTTATATTACTGCTCCAGAATAATGGTAAGTGGGTGAAGGGTAGATGGAATCATTTCAGCGAGTCTGGACTCCACAGCTGATAAGTGTTTCCACCACCCCCACCTTGTATTTATAATATACATACAGATTTATTATAAATATCTATATTAAATGATTTTGCAATTATTTGTATATAAAATGAATCCATGAGAATGAATTCTGGCCTCTGTGTGTCTTTATTAATAACCGCATCTAACTCTGCAAGCGAGTGACATCATAACTCAGTCTTCTGATATCCCAGCGAAGACGGATGAAGGAACAGATTTTTGCTCCAGCTGAACCTCTGTGGGAAGAAAAGACTATTAGCATTACAATATCTAAAACAGAATAAATAGGTACTCTGTGCTATTCATTCTTCACCACTGGTGCACAAGCAAGGCCCTCTGGATGTATGGTCAATGTTGTTCCAAACAACAAAATTTATGTAAATCTGGGCCAGATACCTTAACCTCTAATCTTTGGCTCCATTTAGCTGTTTAGCATCTACCTTTACACTTTTCACTAAGTTTCTATTTGCGTATAGAGAACATTTCAAGGTGAGAAATTCAAAGTATACACAAACTATTTGTTTGGTTTGTGACAATTTAAGATCTATACCTAGTTTACATTAATGAAAGTGCCAGCAGACACAATAAGCCTAGCATACATAGGCAGAGTTGTTCTCACTCACCATCCGGTTCTAACTCCTCTTCAGACTCATCATCGCCGATATTGATCTCATCTGGATTTGTCTGAAGGGTGAGCTCTGCCAGCTCAGTACGAGATGCATCAGAACTATGGTTTGGGAACAAAAGGAGTGAGAAGATGCATGCCCTCTTATGAGTCTACAAGCACAGGGGGGAGGGAGGAATTGATAGGATCGTTTACGAATAAAATGATGCACATCATGAGTAGCAGAGTTAAACACTGTGGGGGTGAATTAGAGAATGCCATTCAACTTAACAGGTTATATAAAAAGTGTAAATATATAAATTTTCAGTCAACAGTAATATCACTAAAAAACAAACAACAAAACCATAGGAAAGGGGCTGAAATGACTAAAGTATGGAGTAACTGGTTTTATACATAAAAGTGGTGCAATCGCACTAAATCAAGTCGAACACGAAGGTAAACGCAATACAATTTATAGATAACCGCCATCATGTCACCTACCGGACAAAGAGGATCCGCTCCTTGATCTGTGGTTTATCTTTCTCAGCCTCAGCCGCTACAGCTGCTGCCCTTTGTTCTAATGCTTGCATTTCATCTGCAGGCTCTGATAAAAGAGAGATGGAGTAGACATGAAATACTATAGGTTAACTCATGTGATTATTGGAAGGCTTACAGAGAAGTATCACCATTACCTCTAGGGTAGTAAAATAAAGCACAAATACAAAAACTGGTGGTGTAGGGTTTGAAAAAGAAAATTTATGACACAGACCTATAGGATATTTTTAAATGGCTACATGCCACCGTGAGCTGAGAGAGCATAAACCCTGATGCTAAAACAAAGCCCTGATGGAGTCTTTGTAATGTCACCTGTGGTCAAAGAAACAGAGATTGGCTAAGAACTATGTATACTGCAGACTGGACTGTGGTATGAATTTATTTTAATATGTAGATCAATCTTATTTGTAGAAGGTTTAGCAATTTAATAGACTCTAGCTAGTGTTTGGCTGAAACTTTCCTAAAGCAAAAAGTGGGGGGGAAAATGCACGTGTTAAAAATAGAGATACACATTATCTGGCTGTCAGCAGATTCATTACTCGCTGCCTGTTACTTGACAAAACTACATAAATCAGCATTATGATGAATATTCTATACAACAGAAGAGAAAACTGATGCTATAAAGGTGTTATTCTTAGCTTAGAAAAGTGTCTTGTGTGTGTAGAGGGTTTCTTTTTTTACCCCATCTGTATAGATGCAGTGTTATTTACTAAAGTGAGAATTTAAGCCCCCCCAGTATGACTGTTATGACCTTACATTTGATTTTAACTTTGAATTCTCAAGTTAGTGGTTAACCCTGAAAGGCAATTGTCCAGAGCCTTCCAAATACTTCTGAATGGGACTTTTATTATGTAGCAAAATAGTTTGTTTTGTGGTCAGTGGAAGCAGTCTACACGTACCTCTAGACTCTTCACTGGCTGCTCCTTCCACTCTCAGCCTCTGCGATACAAGAAACGTTCCTTGAGTGTTGTACTTGGCCTGCACACTTCGTTTCACACGCAACATCTCTCGAAGTGTGTCTTCATTTCCGTGACGCACTTCAAAGTCTCTCCAGGTTTGCCAGAATCCAGCTGTTAGCTACAGGAATAATGACAGGCAAAACAGTGATAGTCATATTAATTAAGGCAAAAGCAACTTACCCCATAAAGTGGCTATTTCCCCCTTTTGGGGGTCACAAGCACTGACACAGTCTAACCCATGTTGTAAATCTCTGATAACTTAATTCTTTAATCTAATGAGAATTGTAAATCTAAACAGTGATACAAATGGCCCAAAAATAAGTAAAAAAAAAAAAATATATATGTTTTGCGTGTGCTGGTTGTAATATAATATGTGTGCCTGGTGTATGCTGGCTGTTTGTAATGTGTAAATTATTAGTGTGTTCTTGCTGTGTTTGTTCGCAAAAGATGGGACAACATGATCATACACACATGGCATTCTCCAGCTAGAGAAGCAATAATCCCTGATGTTCTGAAGTCCTGGGTCCCTTGTAGTCAAGTGAGAGAGCAAGTGTTCTGCACCTCCGATAGAGACAGACCACAATAATTACTCCTTTCATCACTGGGGCTCTGGCTTAATATTGACCACAAGTGAGCGATTACTGTAGTCTGCATCCATTGGAGGTGCAGACCACATGCTCTCTGCCCTAGCCGTGAACCAAAAACGTCCTGTAGCAACCCTGAGGCTAGTTTGTGTCAGGCAGGCAATAAAAATTCCATATCCACATAATTCAGGACTTCATAAAATATAGTTTGGAGACACTGTGTTGAAATGATGTCAGATAGGAAAGCAGCAACAGAGAAAGAGCGTTATAAGAATTTTTACGTAAAACTAAAAAGAATGGTACTAAAAAGGTCCTCACCCTTGGGTCACACATCTGGGAGCAATACGAATAGACAGCTCGGGCTCGATCAATCTCTCCCAGCTTACACTCCATGTCTGCAAAACGTAGACACATTTCCCTGGACTGTTCATCAGGTAATAGCTGAAAGGAGAGAAAAATATTTTCCTTATTAAATCATGTCTCACACATCATATATCTTATATCCGTTTTTCTACCAAGCAACATGCATAACCTGCCATTTTACATGTTACGATTAATGGCCAATTCCTACTCTATCTATAGCCAATGTTTTTACCAAAGGCTGGGCAAAAGGTAGATCCTCCAGATGCCATAGATCTAAAACTGCCATAATGCTTTGCATACATCTGCAGATATACCATTTGCTTACTTCCATACTAGAACACAGTTTATACTACTGGATTTTCAGCTTACAAATAAATCAGGAATTGTTCACAGCTCTAAACTCCTTCTTGGCCAATTACATCCCAAACAATTGCTGAAATTATAGGCACAGCCTTCAGTCACATACATCACAGGTGGATACTATTCAGCCCCTTGACAAAACATATGTACTTGGATGGATGGCCACAGGCTACACGAATCCTCAGTTTGAGAGGCTCTGTCATACTTGTGTTAGCTGATAGTAGCCAGCCAAAGCAGTGTTATTTTTTCCTAAATAAAATTGCTACCAGTAATATACTTTGTTCCCCACTGAGTGTTCTGATTAGATGAAAGATTCACAGTCACTTCCTACTCATTACGAAGTTCACAAATGCAGGAACTTAAAAAGGTTTCTCTTACACTTTTTTGTACTGAATAGAATAATGCACTATTGGCATTATTCTATATGTCCCCCATACAAAAATGCTCAAAGAGTGGTTTTAAACAAATTTTTATTCCAGTACCGGGCAATGCTACCAACGCTGCTCGGTGCACTCCGAATGACATCACAGGAGTTGTGTCAAGATACAATTAAAGGCTTCTCAGAGATTTCACAGGCTTGGAGAATAAAAGTGCGCTTTGAGCATGAAAATAAAGGGGGAAAGGTAGTAAAATAAAGGAGGAGGGCTGGGGGAGAAAAATATAGCAGTGGAGTGGACACGTAGGAAGGGATGCTAGCTTTTCCTACAAGGGAAAAGCAGTTAAGTCTGTTTGCAGCGTGCACGGACTACAGACGTAAATTATGCACAGAATGGACATTAGGCAGCCCAGAACAGAGAAAATATGTCATTGCAAAGGATATGACCCCGGGAATATAAGCCCAATATGTTAATTTTTTTGTCTTAAAAGGTGCTTTTGCTTACTCTTAATATTAATATTGATGATACAAGTAAATGCTAAATCACCCAGTGATTGCATAGTGCAACCAATTAGTTCTATATTAGGATAAACATAAAAGTGAAAAAGGCCTTCTAAACACTTGAGTTATGTTTATATTGGGAATAGTCTTTATTAAAAGCCTTAATGTGGAGAGCATATTTGCTAGGCTCTTCACATACAAGGGATCAATCATAAATTCAGTGAGGTATATATCCCAGTGGATATAACCATGTCAATCAGTGTTATTAGTTCTATATATTCTCATAGGGTTTTTAAAAATGAAATAAACATATTGGGCTAATATAGCCAGCGACGCTCTGGTGAGATCCTATTTAATGGGGATCATAATACATACCGTTTCATAAATATTTAGGGTCCTGTTCTTTTGGAGAAGTCTCTGTTATAGTGACTCCTCTCTTTATTATTTTTTTTCTTAGCCCAGAACAGAGTTCCATACTGCTTAAATTACGTGTGTTGGGTGTGCAACTAGTCCCCAGCGCACAATTGCCAATATCTCTGGATGTACAGTGTTTAAAAAAAAAAACAAACTAAAAAAACATTGCACATCCAGGCTCCTACCACCATGACCACTTAAGTGGTCATTGTGATCGGAGTAGCCCTTTAAAACAATCTTTATTTTTTACCTATTTTATTTTTGCATAATATAAATGCATTATCTAAATTACACTAGAATTGTGTAATGTTCTGCTCCTATGCCTTTTCATACATTATTAACACATGAGACTTTACGTGCACCTCGTATGATATTACTTGAAATTTTTTATTTCTAACTGCAAACAATGAGCAAAATGCTTGACAACCAAACTCTTGCATCTTAAAATGGCTTTGTTTTTAAAGTTCACATGCTCTTTAAAGGAGTATGTCACATTCACTCTTAATGTGGCAGCTGGCTCACAAGTGCTGACCAGTCCCCACATTGTTAACTCTTCCACTGCTGAGAATTCTTTTCTATATGCCAGCTGAATGCTACGAGAGAAATAGTAATCCAGATTATCGTTCACTTGTACAAACCTAAACAATAATTTGTGAATGTGCACCCCACAGACCTCTATTTAGTTTAAAATCAGTGCTTTGTAAAAATTCTGGATCCTATACTCTGTAAAGCTCTGATTTTGAACCAGACACCACATGCATCCGGCAGATTGGTACAGGTCCGGTCAGTTTTGGACCGGAATATAGCTTTCATAAATATAAGAATTGCCATGTCCATTTCTACAAAATACAGTGTTTAGTGAATTAGTGAATAATGCTTAAAAAAATTACATCATGGCAGCCATAAAAAAATAATACAAATATCTTAATGCATATAGTGCCTCTAGGCAGGATGCACATCTTGGAGACCCACAGTCCAAAAACCATCTCCAGCACTCAGATTCATTTACATAAATCCTGCCATTCATGAATCAGTGATGAAACATGTACATTAATTCAGTGTAAGAAAGATTTTGTCAATCACCTCAATAGCTCGCTCATAGATGCTTCGTGTGTGCGTGACCCCATAAATTTCAGCTGCTCTCTTGATGTATATGTTAAACATTTCATATTGCTCGACAGGCTCAACAGCCTGAGTGGCTCGCTCATACAAGGCCATAGCATGCCGAGCTAAACCATGTTCTTCTTCCAGCTTGGCATACAAGAGGAAAATATCTGATGGGGAAGAAAAAAATACCAAAAACACAAAAGCTTTATTTATGCTGCACGTTCAGTTAATAAATACATACTGACCAACTGATTCTTCAAAACACACTGATCTCAAGCCAGCCTCATACTTTTTGCAAACTTGCGTGGACATCCATCCAGTGCCTGTTCAAATAGATCTCTAGCCCTTTCTAGCTTTTTTCCACCATATCGAGCAATAAACTTGGAAAGATATGTGCTCCAGATGTCATAGACGTTGGGCCACCGGAACAGAGCAATTCCACGTTCATAGGCCTGGGACAAGGAAAGAACAGATAATCGACTTAAGCACATCCCTTGATCCCCTATACTAGAACAGAATTCCCGTTGCTCCACAGTTGTTCTGCTTAATATAGTAAAACGTCCACATACCTTGAAACTTTCCTCAAAGTAGTTATGTTCCTCAAGGAACAAGGCATAATTGATGATTATCTGTGGAGTTGCTATCCGTAGGTCAATAATCCGATCATATACAGCCTTAGTGGACTAAAGGGAAAAATTACAATGACAGGGCATTAGCAACTAATATCTATACCATGAGTTTATGCATAATGGGACCAAACATTGTTTCTTAAAAGACAAATATGTATTTCTGTGCTGTTTTAGTGTTATTACAGGTCAATGATCAGAGGAAGTGTGAACTCCACTGAGTGAACTAAACAGGAAACATACCTTGAAGGTGCCAAGACTTTCCTCTAGATCAGCCAACATGGACCAGACCCGTAGGGATTTATATAGCCTGTTTTGGACTGGCTCAGAAGCATCAAAATATTCTGCCTTCCGGGCAGGTACAGCAGTGGCTTTCTATAAAAAGGACATTAAAAATGTTACATGCAACATACACATTAGGAAACATTACAATACAGCAGGCCTACATTATTATTATTTTATTATTTATATATGCGCAGTGCTGTACAATGGGATCAAAATAAATGCAAATAAATGACTTGCATTAGTACTTTTCCTTGGCAAAAGAATACATAGAATCTATTCAGATGGGTCAGAACTCAATCTTCCCGTTAGACAGGTTTTGAATCCTTTTTGAAAATTTTCAACTGGAGAAGTCTTGAGACATTGTTCTAAATTAGCATAAACCATTATAAATTACATCACTCTGGGGGCAGGGCCTGGCCACTATGCTAGCAGGCTGCATGCAAGAGGAGCTCTTGCACAAGGAGGCCTATTTTGCTGATAACAGCCAAAATAGTAACCATACAGCGATAGATAACTGTGATATATTTGACAACAACTGCAGGAGCTGGGTAAAGACCCGAAAAAATAGTGATTTTGGAGTTCTTTAGAGGGAGAGCTACTGTGACTGAGGCCTACTTGGACAGTGAGCGGGGTGGACAGCCGCCGCCCTGCTCCTTTGCCCAGGGGAATCACACAGGCTCTACAAAACTTCATCTTGCTGGCCCCATTACCTCCTCCTTTGGACCGGTTGGGGTTATCCCGGTCCCCACTGCGGAAGCTGCTGCATTCACCTGTATCTGCAACAGAAAATATCTGTACACAGAGGCACTTAGGCCTTTACAAGATGACTGTGCGACAACATGTAGCTGACTCAACCCTGCAACTAGTCTCTGATTTCACTAAATATGACCGGCTGTTTGATCAATTCTGAGAGATGTTGCATCAGCGAGTGAAGGCACACTGACCTCTCCACCATCAACAAGCTGGAGAGCGGCACCCTCGGAACGCCAGGCTGGCAGAATTAAGTTTTACCCCAGTCACAGAGCGGCAGAAGCGCCTTCCCAGGCTGGGAACCAAATGTGGTGGATGCCCCTCTTAATGCCCACACCCACAGATGGTATTGCGGCAGCAACTTCTTAAACCGCGGCCACCCTGGAAAAAGGCCCGGACTTTGTTAATGTCTGGGACAGTGAAGCTGGAGTGTAAGTTCCTGTGAAGGCCAGTGGTTCCGGGGTTCTCATGGGGCTCCTGTGAACAGATCAACACCTATGTGCCATTGCTTAGCGAGGGGATAGGCTATTTTATAATTGCCATGTTGCTGCTAGTCTCACAGGCTCTCTATATATGCAGCTATTTATTATACCCACTTTATTTTTTTTTTTGTGCCTGTCTGTACATAATGCCACTTATTCTCAGTCAAATACTCAGTTGTGTTAATCTTTACACTAATATGCCTACATTTATCAATGTGTTTTCAAGCTGGATAGCACAATTGTCTTTTATAATCCCATCAGCTAATCAGCTACATATCTTACGGTTTATTTTTTCATAAGAATTCATATCTTGAGTTTAAATAGTAACTAGACATGTATGCCCAGCATGAATCCTCTTATTCTTACTTTAAAATTGTGCAATTTAGCATGACTTTAAGCTTTAGCTATATGCCTGTTTTTCTCTTGATCTGTTTTTACATCATATGTCATTGCCACTGTCTGTACCTATGCACTGCAAAACACTCTCTCCAAAAAAAAAAAAAAAAAAGTTCAAATCTCTTTACATGTCTGGTCTGATATATGTCCTTACACTGGCTCCCTGTATACTACAGGAGTCAATTCAAAGTGCTAACCCATACCTATAAAGCAGTGAATAATCTTAGCTCCTCTTAGATCTCCTCACAGATCCATAGGTATGCCCCTTCTCGGTCTCTCAGCTCTGCCCCTTCTCCTGTCCGCTGCTCGCACCTGTACGGCCAACTCGCGCTTGCGGGACTTCTCGCGGGCAGCTCCCTTCCTATGGAATAGCCTGCCTACGGCCATCAGACTCTCCCCTACTCTTCAATCGTTTAAGAAGTGCCTAAAAACTAATTTATTTAGGAAAGCCTATAGCTTCCCAGACTAACCTCTACGTCACATATCTGTCTCTTGCTCTCTCTTAAAGGGCAGCACTCTACTCTCTCCTCCAGCTCTGCTTCACTCCCACCTTATTGGACTGCTTTTTTCCTGTCCTAATGTGTTTTACACCCCAACTCCTATAGACTCTAAGTTTGTTTCAGCAGGGTCCTCTTCAACCTACCTTCCTCTAAGTTTTCTTGTAATTGTCCTACTTATAGTTAAATCCCCCCTCGAATAATATTGTAAAGCGCTACGGAATCTGTTGGCGCTATATAAATGGCAATAATAATAAAAATAATAATAATAATATATGCAATGACTGTCGCATTTACTCTTGATATGTCAATGTCTATCTATACACTTCAAAAATAAAGAATTATATAAATTACATCACTCTAAATCTAGTACTTTTCCCAGCATTACCTCCGTTATCTCCCCAATAAAAAAAAATGGTGATTTATAATGTAAACAACAATAAATCTCACTTTTCCAGCAATACGTAACACTTCTCTGAGACTCACCCTTAATATGCGGAGGGCTTGATCATAATTCTCATGTCTCAACTCCATTTCTCCAAACTGGCACCAGACTGAAGCCAGGTCATCTACATGTGTGTACTTTACCTGGGTGGCTCTCTGCAGGATTGCTCTTGCCTAATGAAGGAAGAGAGAGAGTGAGGAAAAAAATACCCAAAACAAATTTACTTTATTGAAATTTTATGGAAGGCCTTGAATGCATAAATCTAAAAGATAAGCAATCGAGTAAGGATTACATCAGGTTTTGAATGATAAAACATCTCCAGTCTGTCAATTCCCAAAATATTTCTATACAGCTCTGCAAACTTTAACAGTCAGTCAGTGTTTGTGCTGCAAAATCTTAAAACTAGTGTCGCAGTCTTTTAGGATTTATCTTATTGAGACTGATAATATAGCAGAGTAATTTAGCTTTACTTATTGTTTGTCTGACAGACGCAATGTGAGGTGCAGACATGGAGCGTGTTTTTGGGAAACTGTCAACCTCCACTTTGAGGTAAGTTACTCAATATTCCCTAACAGAGCAGCTTTGTGAGATGAAAACATATTTTCACGAATAAACCTATAGGCCATGTAATTATCAGCAACCAATCAGGACGTCTCCTTTCTGTTGGGTTGTGCGGATTGGCTGCATACATTTCAGTAAATACAAATTGGAATGTGGGGGGGGCGTGCCTAGCAGCCGAAGAAGATGGCCGCTTAACTCACCAGCTCCCCGTGGTCGCAACAATCAAACGCAACTACCGGCGCACCTCCCGCATCCATCACCGAGCATGGGGCGCACTAGGAAGCAGACAGACCCCCCCGGCACCCCCAGACCATCGGGGACCGGGGCGGAGCACTCCATCCGCTCCTATCTCACCACGCCGCGGGACCTCGATCTGACACCAGGCCCGACCGCGGACTCACCCCCGGGAACTCCCGCGCAATTCTCCCCGACACCATCAGACCCACCTGACACCCAGGGGGCGCTGGAGAGTGACTTCAGGGCCATCTTACCCACCCTACTCACGAAGGCAGACCTAGAGGCGCTGTCAGACCGCCTCAGCCAGGTGATCCGCAGTGAGCTGTCCCAGGTGAAGGCTGATATTGCCAACATGGACGCCAGGCTGACAGTAACAGAAGCAGACACACGGGCTCTCCGCGAAGACACTGATGCTGCGGTCTCCACGATCACAGGCTGCGAATCGAGCCTGACCCATATCACAACATGGGTCGACGACTTAGACAACAGGAGTCGCAGAATGAACCTCAGGTGCGTGGGGTCAGAGAAAGGGGTCCCAATGAAAACATCCCAGAGATCCTCCGCACAATCTTCAGCCTAGCCCTGGGGGGACAACAACCCAGAATAGGCCTTGTACGAGCCCACCGCGCACTCCGCGCACCACCAGCACCGGGGGAACAACCACGTGACATCATCTGCTGCCTGGATAATTTTATCCTCAAAGAGGATATTCTCCGCAACGCCCGCCGAATGGGCCGCATCAGGCTGGAAGATCAAGAAGTGACGATCTTCCAAGACCTCTCCCGCTACACACTGCAAGCCAGGAAGAACCTCAGACCAGTAACAGCAGCACTCCAGGCAGCGGGTATCCAGTACCGCTGGGGGTACCCCTTCTCCCTCTCCGCACGCAGGGGACAAGAGCTACACACCATCAAGGCACCGGCGGATGTCCAGGGATTTCAACGGGCACTGGGACTCCCGCCCACCAGAGTCCAGAATTGGCTGACCCACCACTTCATACAGCAAGCAGCGGGCCCTCCACCGCCACCGCCTGCCAGGCTAGCAAGTAGTGATCAGCGCAGACCCTCGGGACGCCCTGGCCCGGCCAGACCCGAAGAATAGCAGCCGCAATACGAACACAGCCAGGACGGAGGAACGGTGCAGACAACACACCGCACAACAGTGAGTAAGGGCACTATAGATGATCGGGGGACATTGGCTACTTCTCCACGGGGGGCGCAGAGGCGCAAGGGGGGCTACCCACACTGCGGGAGGGGAAAAGGCATGAACAGCATGGGCAAAAACCTGGCCGCCGCCCCAGCAGCGAGACGCTGCAACCGGGGGTCGATGGCCCCACGAACATCCCCCGGCCTGGTGGAGCGGGAGACGGGGGGGGGAGGACATTGTTTGGGTGGGGGAATGGGAACCGGGACCACACCAGGACACTCGTAAGTCGCACTACGAACTCCTCGATTGGATCCGGACACTTTCAGGGCACAGAGACTAGAGACACGAACTCCACTCCCACAAGGGAGAGCCACGCTCCACGGCAGTAAGGGAGAAGGGGATCAGACCAAGGGGAAGTAAGGGAACCACTGACAGGGGTATCCGGAGGGACACAGGGAGAGGGTCGAACTATGCACACGAATACAACGGATACACACACAGCAATAGCGGCCTTATTGACACTCTAGGACAACACGCAGTACACAAGAACAGCTGGGACACAACACTGCATACCTAGAACACAGGGTGAGGGGGGGAAAACTAGAGGGACGGGGGGAGGCATTGGCACACCACAGCGTAGGAGGGGAGATAGAGCAGGGGAGGAGATTCTAGACGAGAAGGCGAGAGAGCATGGGGAGACACGGGGTAGAGGAAGGGGCAGGACACAAGGAGAGACGGGGAACAAGAACCATCCGGGAGAGGGGGGGAAAGGGAGAAGGAACAAACACATGTGGAGAGGGAGGGTGGAGGGAATGAGGAGGAGCAAGACAGGAGGGGAGGGGGAGGAAAATCATAATGCTACCTTGTTTATATTAATCTATATAATTTAAATAATACAAAAAAAAAAAAAAGTCATGGGAACTACAACCCCACCTCGCAAAGCCAACCCTAAAGCAACAGGAGCAGGGAGGGGAGACGGGTAAAAGTGAGACCACCCCCCACACACCTCCAAACCGGACCCAACAACACCTAACTCCATTAACTCTAGACCCCAAGCAAAGCACGCATGCTGCAGTCCAGGGACTAGCCCTAATGAGGGGAATAGCCATAGGGGGGCACCCCACAGCGCTAGCCCACCACCCCCAGAAACCACACGTAGCCACCCGTCACGCGGACCACTAGGTACCCACGCACCGTTCCCGCCACACCTGGAACATATAAGTAGATGGTGAATCAGGCACCAAACCCATACAACTGCAGGAAGCCCACCAACCATGCCACCTTGCTGAAAAATACACTAACTGTAATAACAAACAAACAAAAAAAAAATGCACACAGAAGGGTGCAGCCACGAATCACTCATTGAGACCACCACGAGCCACAACCACTGTCTAGCCCACTACCCACGGCCACACCACTCAGACGGGGCATACAGACCCGACCCGTGCCGAGCGGGCACAGGAGACAATCCAGACAGCTAGGGCCGGAGGCGAAACGGCCTTCGACTCACCCCCAGAGGGCATAGGACAAAACTTACCCCTACGCTAGAGGGGTACCATACTTCGGAGGTAACCCCGGGCACCCAGAACACGGGAACCCAGGGACGCACCGTCCGGATACCTGTCCACACCCCCAACCTTAACGGAGAGCACACCAAGAGAGGCATAGGACAAACTCACAGACAAACCCACCAAGCACCCGCTACCCCTTACCCACACCTTTCCACTACCCACCACCCCCCGCCATATGGCAGCCGCCCCGGGTCGGCAGGCCCCGGGACGGGCCCACCACGTCAGACAGGACCTGAGCGTTGTTACGTATAACGTTCATGGACTCAACATCCGTGAAAAGCGTACCAAGCTTCTCAGGGACTTGAAACGGTACGGAGCGTCGGTAGCATACATCCAGGAGACCCACTTTCAAAGCCTCCGAGCACCATCACTCCAGGACCGCAACTTCCCAGTGGGATACTTCAGCAATAATCCACAGCGCCGCACGCTGGGAGTGGGCATCCTATTCTCCAGATGGACCCCATACATTGAACAAGACACGCTCCGATGCACATCCGGGAGGTACATCTTCACAAAAGGCACCATCCATGACCAGAAATACACCTTCGCGAACATATATTCCCCAAACACGAAACAATACCACTTTCTCCGCAGGGTCATGATAGCTCTGATGAGGTTCGCCGAGGGCACGCTGATTATAGGAGGAGACCTTAACCTCCCCCTACACGATCGAGACACCTCAGCGACACACGCATTGACACCACCCGGCAGGCACGCAAGAACGCTCCAACTACTCCAACACCATCAACTTACAGACTGCTGGAGGGCGCTGAATCCTGAACTACGAGACTACACATTCTATTCCACGACGCATGACACATACTCGAGACTGGACTACTTCCTCCTACCCTACCACAGCCTACCCCTCCTGGTAAAGGCAGAAATTCTACCGATGACCTGGTCGGACCATAACCCAGTCCGCATACGGCTCACGTCCCCACTATTCAGACCTCGTCAAGTTTCCTGGAGACTCAATGAGTCCATCTTAACGGACCCCACCCTGGTGACGAGGACCACGCAGGTCCTCCAGGACTACTTCAACACCAACGAAACCGAGGACACAACACCCCTAACATGCTGGGAGGCACACAAGGCGGTCATACGAGGTCACTTTATTGCACACTGCTCGGCACGGAAGAAGGCACACGCGAAAACAGTAACGGACCTCAGCACGGACATAGCCCTTCTGGAGAACCAACACAAACGGACATTGGACGCCACAACCTATAGGGATCTTCTCCATAAACGCTCCCAGCTAGCTGAGCATATGAACCGCACCATCCAACGGTCCTTTCAGCACTTCCGACATCTAGTACACGAACACGGGAATAAATGCAGCAGACTACTCGCAAATCTATTGAAGCGCCGTAGGACGCATCTCTACATTAGCAAAATTAAAGACTCGTCCCAGCGGATGCATCACCTCCCAGACCAGATCTCCACCACGTTCCTTAACTACTACCGAGACCTATACAACATACAGAAAGAGGCACGAGACGCCGCAGAAACCCGCGGCCTCAATACCATTCACACATACCTGGCATCAGCAGGACTACGCCAACTAACGGACCCTGACCGCGAACTATTGGACGCACCCATTGCCCCAGAGGAAATCTCGATTGCCATCAAAAAAGCGCAGACGGGCAAGTCGCCAGGACCAGACGGTCTGCCGTTACAATATTATAAGACCTTTCAGTCCGAACTCCTCCCGAAACTGCATAAGGCCCTGAACTCAATCCGCGACGGGGCGACGCCCTCGGCCCATTTCGCGGCAGCAAACATCACGCTCCTCCCAAAAGACGGCAAAGACCCAACTTCCTGCCAGAGCTATCGTCAGATCTCTGTCCTCGATGTCGATATCAAGCTAATCGCCAGTGTGCTGGCCAACCGCCTGGCACCTCTCCTACCAGACCTGATACATCCTGATCAGACGGGTTTCATCCCAGGCAGAGAGGTCAGGGACAGCACCATACGGGCGCTGAACCTGATCTCCGTAGCATCACAATCCGCACGGCCATCCCTACTCCTGTCGACAGATGCCGAAAAGGCCTTTGATCGGGTGGACTGGAACTTTATGTTCGAGACCCTCCGGACCATAGGCATTGGACCAGGATACATTCAATGGGTGGAAGCGCTATATACCACCCCGACGGCGCGGCTCAGAATCAACGGAGCACTCACAGACCCGTTCCAAATTGGGAACGGGATGCGCCAGGGCTGCCCCATGTCACCCATACTATTTGCACTCACCCTAGAACCCTTCCTCAACAAAATCCGCAGCAACGAGGAGATCCACGGATTGCAAATAGGCCAAACGCACCACAAAGTGTTGGCCTATGCGGACGATCTTCTTTTCCTAGTCCAAGAACCCACCAGATCACTACAGGAAATCAAACAGGAATTTGAGACCTATGGCAGGATATCCAACATGCGCATCAACGACACCAAATCGGAAATTCTAGGCCTAACAATCCGATACCCGCAACAACTCGAACTTCGGCAACGCTTTCCATACCGATGGTGCACGACCAAGATGAGATACCTGGGGATATGGCTCACGCAAGACACAACGGACCTCTACTCTCACAATTACCTACCGCTTCTGCGAACAGCACAGGCCGAACTCCAAGCATGGAGTACAACATACATCTCTTGGCTGGGACGTATAAACGCGGTAAAAATGACCCTGCTACCCAGGTTCCTATTTATCTTCCAAACGGTACCCATAGAGGCGCCAAAGTCATTCTTCACCACCGCCCAAGCCATAATCCGTAATTTCATTTGGAAAGGGAAGCCCCCCCGAATCGCCCACACTCAGCTAACCCTCCCCAAACTCAAAGGGGGCCTGGCTCTCCCAGACCTGCGGAAATACCACCTAGCGACACACCTCACTCGAATAATCAACTGGTCAGTAAAGACCAGGGACAAACCCTGGGTACACCTGGAGGCAGATGCCACCAAATGCGACCTCACGACCCTCCCATGGATCATGAAAGAAGCCACCAAACAACTACCGCACGCCAACCCATTCGTGAAAGCCACCCTACGCATCTGGCACCAGGCTGGCCCCAAACACTATCTTACGACCAACCCCGGCCCGCTACTTCCCTTAAAAGGCAACCCGGACTTCCCGGCGGGCGGCATGGGCCCAAATGCGCGCCCAGTAACCGGCAACACGACTCTCCGAATGGTGGATATCATTTCACCCCCATTCACAATCAGGCCGCTAGAGGCCATCTTCCCGGACCAGAGACACACATTCGCTCACAAGCTGGCGAGGGAACAAATGTCCCACTATGCACACTCCATCCCCCAGCGCCCATACTTGACAAGAGATTGCACAGAGTTTGAGACCCTGTGCAGACAGGACAAAGCCCCACCGAGAGCAATCTCCCTGATATACAAATTCCTAGTAACGAACAGATATCTCTTGGCCCCCCCATGCATCAGACGATGGGAAGAGGATCTAGAAGAAGAACTCAACGACGCGGACTGGGACAAAATCATCTGGCACGTTCAAAAGACCCCGAGCTCAGCTAGACATCAGGAAAACTCATACAAAATCCTCACCAGGTGGTATATCACCCCCACCACTCTCCATGCACGCCACAACTCAATACCGGCCACGTGCTGGCGATGCGGAGAGGAGGACGGAACATTCCTCCACATCTGGTGGGGCTGCACCCTCATCCAGCCGTTCTGGGAAGCGATACGACAAGTCATCCACACAGTGACGGATGACATCCCACCCATGTCACCAGCCTTCTTCCTACTACACCACACGACAATGCCCACTCCGACGTATAAAAAAAATCAGTGGTGCCACGCCTGCTCAATGCGGCGAAAACGACTATCCCCATATACTGGAAACAATCACGTGCCCCCCCACTCAGACACTGGGTGGAGGAGGTGGAAGACATAAGAAAATTCGAGGACCTGAAAGCTACCACGGCAGCGGCGAAAGAAAAGCAAATGACTAGATGGCTCCACTGGATAAGACACATTGCCACAGATGAATTACTACAATACCTGAACCCACCTTGAAACCTGGGATACGCAACCACGAGGCATCCGGGGGCCTGCACCTGGGGCGACATGAAGGCGGGTCACCCTCAACCACACCCCTCCCACCCCCCCCTAGCGGGTTCCGACCTCGCACCACTCACCCACTGACAGGAGGCAACTAGAACCATACTGCGGACCGGACCCCGTAGGGCCACAGCCCCCAGGGCAACAGGCAGTTACCCACGGACCTGCCTCATCCGAGACTCAGACCCACCCCCCACCACCGCATGAAGACATGACTCCACGACCACACACTACCACAGAGGAGGGGGCACCACTGCACCCTACGACCAGCCCACACGAGCCATATACCTCCACAGGCAACCCAAACGCAAATGCAGGCGACAATAAGCACCAGAAGGCAGCGATCCGAGACACAGCCCACAAGGAGCATAATCACACGTACACATACATACACGGGTTTCGCAGCCATCAGAGACATAGGTTAGACAACAACTGCCTCCCTAAACCACCAACACAAAACACAAACAACGCAGCCACAAAGGGCCTCGGGCACCATAACGACCACCCGGACAACCTAAAACAATGACGACAATCACCACCTAGGCGCACGGTTCACGCCCCATGCACAGAGACAAAACACAAACAACGCACCATCTACAGACACACAAGCTGAATTCCCACCAAAGCCCCTAAGGGAAATGGGAAATCACGCCCCAAGACTAGCCTTAGACCTTCACACCATCACCACCATACCTCTCTGGTAACGACTCCGTTTACCTGTCTACCCTTAGCAACACACAGCTAGATGACAAACAACAAGACAAATGTAAAAATAATCTAAGCCCACAACCTGAACGAAGTCATGTGGATTCCTAGAGCTAGTATCTGTTGCAAACCCTAGTTCCTAATGTACCTGCACGTTTTATCTGTAACGCCTCTGCGCAGGCAACCATGAGCTTCCCATGAAACATGAATGACTACCTGCTTGTATCTGCAATGCCAATTACAAAAGAAGCATTTAAAACAAACCCGCTTTGCGCAGGCAACCGAAGGAATACTGTGTTATATTAATGTTGCAGCCCCTGCGTGGGCAATCAATTGCCTTGTTATAAATCAGTTTGATGCCTAAATTCCTAATATGCTTAAAAATAAAAATATTCAAAACAAATTGGAATGTGCCTGATACAAAATAAACAATATGCCCCCCCCAAAAGTTCATAAGTTAAAGAAACACTCCAGACCCCCTTACAAAGGTCATCTCAGTCTATCAGCAGCACCCAATGGGAAGAGAAAACCTTCCATATCAGTCTCAGTGCTGGAGCAGACAAGTGGGTAGAGCAGACAGGCGCTGGTAGGATAATGGAGGGTATGGGTAATAAGTTAAGAAAGCAAAAGGACCACCAGCTCACATAATTATTTAATTGAGATGAAGATGTTATAGGGGTTGGAGTGTTCCTTTAATAAACATTTTTTTACTCCATATTTTTTTTTTTTTTTATAATATAATTAGAAAGAGTATAACATAATTCCAAACGTAGATGCCAATTTAAAAGTACCATAGGATGGTGGAATGATAATTTGTGGTGACATTATGTGTTTACATACGTAGGCTTTATTACAGGGACAAACTCTTGATAATCATAAATTATTGTTGCACGGTTATATTTCAACAACAGGATCATTTCTCTAGTTTTAAATGAAAGAGAAACCAAAAATATGTAACAGCCAAAACAAACTCACATCATCTATCTGTCCATTGTCCTCATAGAACTTTGCAAACGCCACCCACAGTGTATGGGGTTTTCCTGTTGCTTTTGCTGGATCCACAGTCTGAACAGCCTCAGTGTATGTGTTTATAATCTAACGGGAACACAAATTAACAACTCTTGACAGTGCTTAAAACTACAATGCTCCTTCTGTCACACAGTAAAAAAAACAAACAAAAAACCCTGACAAATTTGTTTTATATTCATAAATTACAACAAACAACAAATCTATGAGAAATTCTACATCATCTCAAGAGAAGTGAAGCAAACAGAAAATCTAAATATTACACAAAGTACAAAAAGTAATAGTAATGCCTAATAGTTATTCACACAGAAAATCTTACACTAGGAGGGCTGAAAATATTTTTTAGAGTTAAGTATGAGCATTTTAGTACTCAATGTAAATTATGAAAATAAATAAAACAATGCCTAAAATTGTTTATTTAAGGCCTTTAACAATAATACTAAAGGAAGTAGTCTATGACAAAGTAATAATTTAAGAACATATACCTCATGTGGTTTGCCTTGATACAGCTGTACCCTTTTGTGCCATTCATGGACATTGTGTGGATTCTGCCGCAGTAATACTCCATTTAGTAACAGAGGCCGACGCTCTATCAGCTGCTCAAACCGAGCCAATCGCAACTCTAGATCAAGGTCATCTGACCAGAGAAAAAAGGAAGAATGATTGACAAAGTACAACATAAAAGGTAGAGGAATAAATAACACTAGCAGAATGTTTCTCACCCTCTTCCTCTCGCCCCATCTCGCTATCTGTCTCCATTTTGGCTGCAATGACACTTTCCTCAAACTGAGCATAGCTGTCAAACACTTGCGTGAAATCTCGAACTGTAGTAACTGTTTGAATAGCTTCCTCGTAGACATCACGAGCCTACAGAAAATAATTTTCCATGAGTGCCATAATCTGTTATACTTTATTGTATAATAACAACTAAACCAAACAAACCCCCTCCTACCAGGTCACTGCAGAAGAATTAAGGCAAGGGGAAAAAAAAACAAAACCACTAAAATTAATGTGGAATTCAGTGATGGCGTAACCTATTTGGTATGGCCAATCTAGAGGAAAAGTTTAACCCCTTAAGGACTGGACTGTTTTTGCGATGTTGTACATTTGCGACCAGGCATATTTTTACACTTTTGTGGTGTTTGTGTTTGGCTGTAATTTTCTGCTTTCTCATTTACTGTTCCCATACAAATTATATATTGTTTTTTTCAGGACAAAAGGGGCTTTCTTTACATACCATTATTTATATAATCTCATGTATTTTAATTTAAAAAAAATACAAAAATCTGATGAAAAATTGAAAAAAATACATGTTTTTTGACTTTTACTTGAAAAATCTTTTACTCATCTACAAAAGCGAATGAAAAAAACTGCTAAATAGATTCAAAATTTTGTCCTGAGTTTAAAAATACCTAGTGTTTACGTGCTTTTTTGCTTTTTTTTGCATGTTATAGGGCTATAGGTACAAGTAGGATATTGCGGTTTCAAAACATACATTTTTAAAATTTATCAATAGTGACATTGTAACACTATTATCTGTCATAAATCTCTGAATAACACCCCACATGTACATATTTTTTTTAAAGTAGACAACCCAGGGTATTCAATATGGGGTATGTCCAGTCTTTTTTAGTAGCCACTTAGTCGAAAACACTGGCCAAAGTAAGCATTCATATTTGTTTGTGTGTGAAAAAAGTAAAAAAACTAAATTGAACGCTAATTTTGGCCAGTGTTTGTGACCAAGTGGTTACTAAAAAAGACTGGACATACCCCATTTGCAATACCTTGGGTTGTCTTCTTTTGCAAATGGTATGCCATCATGGGGGTAATTCTCATTCCTGGGCTACCATACGCTCTCAAAGGCAACGTAACCAACCTGGCCATTTTCAATGTAAAAATATTTGACCCATATATTTGACCTTGTAACTTTCAAAAATGCTATAAAACCTGTACATGGGGGGTACTGTTTTACTCGGGAGACATCGCTGAACACAAATAGTAGTGTTTAAAAACTGGAAAACGTATCACAACAATTATATCATCAGTAAAAGTGCTGTTTGTGTGTGAAAAATGCAAAAAAAGTAACTTTCACTGACAATATCATCGCTGTGATATGTTTTACTGTTTTGAATCACTAATATTTGTGTTCAGCGAAGTCTCCCGAGTAAAACAGTACCCCCCATGTACAGGTTTTAGGGTGTCGTAGAACATTACAGGGTAAAATACAATGCTAGCAAATTAAATTCTCTGGAATTTCGGCCTGGGTTGGCAAGCAGGTCCCTCAAATTGCAATCAATAAAATTACTGAATTATGTAAAAATATTACATAAATATGCACGTAGAATTTAAATATATATGCATATTTATATATTTGAAGTCTACATGTATATTTATATAATTATTTATGTAATTTTGTATATGGACGTATGTATATTTCTTATTTTTATTTATTTTTATATACATAGATATATATACAAATTCATTCTAAGTGTATTTTGATATAAATATATATATATTAATTTTAAAATACAGTTAGAATAAAATTTCATATAGCTATATAATTTTTTTTTAATTTTTTATTATTATTTAAAAAATTTTTATTTAATTTAAATTACTTATTATTTATATTTTATAATAATATATATATACACAATATATATAGTTATTATATATATTATATATATACGTGTGTAATTTAATTTTAAGTGTATTTTTATATTAATATAAGTACATATTAATATAAAAATACACTTAGTATGACATATATATATATATATATGATATATAGACATATATTATATAGATATAATATATGTCTATATATCATATATACACATATATAATTATTTATTTATTTTTTATTAACATTAACTTTATTTTTTTTTTTGATTTTACACATGCAGGGAGACTGCCTGTCAGCACAGACAGTCCCCCTGCAGGCAGACACATGGACACCTATTGTGACCATGTGATCGCTGTGTTAAGCGATCACATGGCCACAGGGGTCCTAATCTGCCGTGGGGAGACTATCTGGGCTGCAGGCAGTCTCCCCACAACCGGAGCCACGCTGCTCGCCGCCGGGGGAACGACGGCGATCAGGTAAGTAGCTCTGACCGTTAGGACGGTTCAGGACCGTCAGGACGGTTCAGGACCGTCATCGGTCGGCAATGCAAAAATGCCGATGACGGTCCTGAACCGTCCTCGGCCCTTAAGGGGTTAAGGGGTCAAAAATGCCTCATTATAAATGGAATTTACGTTACATATCACAAATACAAAATTCAAATGTTGGTGTAAAATTTATGGTATCTGACTGCTATAAGTTTTACTACTAAAACCCCTATATTGTGGAAAAAAGGTTCATGAAAATAGGGAGGGGGTGGGGACCAAAGACCTATCTTACATGAATTCGGTGTATTTCTGACACCCTGCTTGGTAATATAAGTCAATCATAAAAAACAGTCGGAATTTAAATCAGGACAGTGACCAGAAAGGCCGCAGAAGATTGAAACTTCCTGTCTGCTGTAAGGTGCAGAACTCCTAGGACAAATAAAAACACAAAAAAAATGTATGCCTTGCGCAATACACATTGCAGTTTAAGCCCTGAATGTTCTTTCATATAAACTGAAGCATTAATATTCCTTTACATTAAATTAACATACATTACCTTTTCAAAATGCCCACTTCGAGTGTGATATTCAGCAAGAGCACACCACAGCTTGCCCCTTTGGTCAGTAAAACGGGTGAGTCCACCTCGGATAATGGCTGCAGAGTCCAGGGAACGGATTGAACCCGGATTCTGAGAAAGCAGCGTGCACAGTTCTTGCCACAGCTACAAGGAACAAGAACAAGGAACACATTTATTTACCAATTATCTATTCTGCTCTAGATGCTGCAATATGTAAAGCAAAATATAAACCAATTTTAATTATTTTATACATATACATAATCCTTTTTATTAACATTTGGCAGATCTTGCTGTTCATTCGATGCATTAGTTTCACAAACACTTTTTGCATACTAGTTTACCAAGCCTTACTACATAAAGTTGTCTTCCTCTGCTGAGTCTGTCACCACTCCTCCCCAGTAGGTGCCCCATCCTTTCCCGTCACACTGTACCTGATAATTTGATTTGCCTTCCTTTGATACAAAGCCATCCTGGTTGACAATAGATGCCAACCTGGAGGCCGCCTCATCCAGCCTGTCAACCGACCGCAGGTATTCTATATACTCCTCCGCATTTTCTGGCGAGAGCTGTGACAAGGGAAAAATGTTACATATAAGTTAAAAGCTCACCCACAGACAAGGTTTTTACTCATTTCCTTTCATCGATATGAAATTAATTCACTAAGCTGGAAAATGTTGAGAATAGGCATGGACATTTTAGTTTAAAAATAGCCAATATAAAATAAGATAAAAATGAAGACTTTCAAATTTAGTTACAGTGACCCATAAATTAAATCTAAATTTGTCACTTGGGGTGCTCAGATATGTAACTTCGACACCCTTTCTATTGCTGCTAATTTGCTAACTTTCAAATAAAATGTTTGGGGGAATAATGCAATTTCATAGTTTGTTCTTCACAATTCCCTCAAATAATGTGCTTTTCAAACAACCATTTTCTAAATAAATAAAAACTGTATCTTTTGTTGAGCAACATTGACTGAAGTGGCTCAATTTATATCATGTATAAACTGAATGTTTTTAAAAATATTTGGGAATATGGGTTCATTTCTGATCCTACTAATACATCTAAAACACACCAAATTATAAGGACTAGGCATCTCACACATACAGGAGGAAAATACGGTCAAATGCATCCCTGTGAAAGAAGGCTAACAGGTGGACAAACTGGTCCTGCAAATATTTTTCACCTGTTCTGCAAATTAGCTTTCAACCAACCTCTATGTATAAATATAGGTGATATAGGCAATATAAAGAGATATTCTCAAAAACTAAATAGCAACACCTTGCATGTTTCTATTGTACCACTAATATTGCTAAAAACTAAAACAAGATTTTCTAACAATACCATACCACCACCAACTTCCCCATTGATCCCACTGTTTCAACACATGCTTACCTTCAGATATCGCCTGTATACCCTGACTGCAGTCTCAGGAAGTTGGTAGGCACGAACAAACCGTAAGTACAGTGGCCAGATGCGGTGATGTTGGGTGATCGGAAGAGCACGCAGGGCACGATCAAATGTTCTTCTAGTACGTGTGATTTTACACTGATCGACAAGGAACTGGCAATAGTCCAACCAGATTCGTGGCATCTAAGAGAAGTTATTAATACAGTTTTAAAGAGCAGACTCTAGCTCATGGAAACTAAGCAAGGTTGTACCACAATGGGAAGGGGGCAAAGTTAAGTATTAAAGCACAGATTCCCTTGAGATGTAAATACTTTAAATGCTTTTACCTTGTGCATGAAAACAAGGGCTCTCTCATGACAATTGTTTACTTCTTCGTAGGCTGGATCGGTGATACATTTCCTCTTCACTTGCTTTCTGCGCTGTCTTAAATAGGCATACCACAACTTGTAGCTAAATATGGAAATAAAATAGCAGGAGGAGGTTAAAACAAACAAACAAAAATAATTTGGGGGGTTAAAAAGCTATTTTAGTGTCTAGAGATCAGGCCCATGCAGTCTCACTGCTCAATGTTCTGCCATTTTGTGTTTATGGTAGTATAGAAGTATACAAGGATGATACATTAGTTGTCACTTGGGTAAATGAGTCTTCCCATTTTATATTACCTAAAAATCTTTATAATGTCTCTGGTATCTTTTATATATTATGGTAAAGCATTTACTATGTCTTTTAGATGAATATCCACTTATTTGAAGAAATCTGCAGAAATGGAACCTATGCTATCATTTTAACCAGGGTCTTAATAATAGATTATTTCTTTATCTGCATCACGGTCTCAAGCCTGCACATGCACTTAATGGAGCTACTACAGTTAGAGCAGACTTCACTGCTCTCCTCTTGTAAGTGTATTTCTTTTGGGATACCTCATTGGGACATCTTTGCAAGCATATATGGATTTTATTTATGTGAATTGAGTGCTATACTGAGTGGAGCACATACTGCGGTAGCACTTTTAAAAAAATATTTGCACAGAATTACATAAAATTGTCTGTCTTGGCACATTGCACTTTATTAAAGATTTCACTGTACATGTTATCAAGCATTATTTTAGAATACATACATTGTTTTTATATTCGCACTTTAAATATTAAGTATTGTCACACAGCGCACTTTATTGTTGAGGTATGTGATTTGAGCTTTTTTCACAGTATAAGGTGCAGCTTTTCTATTATAATAGAGTATATTTTAATTATTTGTAGCGCCATATTTTAAAGTTTTTTTTTTTTTTTTAAATATACAATGTATAGAACTTTGTCTTCTCTATAGTTACGTGAAAACATTGCTGACATAAAGGATTAAACACCTACAAATCCCAGAATTAGTATTTCATCTACACAAATTCTTTGCATCCTCAAGCGTGTTGCCTCTTATAGTTGCATGGTGACATCAGAATAAATGTAGCACAAAAGGTACCACGAACTGTTTATGATGAATCCATACAGTTCTCGTGTAAAGAATGGATGCAAGCATCTAACCAACTTGAGCACCGTGTAGCTACAAAAAGGAACATTCAAAAAAGTAGAGAAATTAACATTTCTCTAATTTTTTTGCATGTGATTGTAGGTGGGTTTGGGAGATACCCACTAGAGTGTGGTAGCGGCTGATATTCATTTAAAGAGTACTAAGTGCCATTTTAATACACAGATTCATGATTGGAAGTTTTTTTTTTGTTTTGTTTTTTTTTTTACAAAAGGAACATTAACTATGTAAAGAAGCACATACTTAAAAATACAGAGGATTTATCTATTATTTATTTATTTTTTAAAATAAATCGAACATGCCACTTGGGACAGCACAGCTCATGTTACTTCATTGTCCAGCCTGATGTTTCATGAAATCAATCTTTAGGAGAGAGCAAGAGACAGGTATGTGAGGCAGAGATTACTCTGGGAGGCCATAAGCTTTCCTAAAGAGATGGGTTTTAAAGCACTTCTTAAACTATTGAAGACTAGGGGAGAGTCTGATGGCAGTAGGCAGGCTATTCCATAGGAAGGGAGCCGCCCGCGACAAGTCCTGAAAGCGTAAGTTGGCCGTACGGGTGCGAGCAGCAGGCAGGAGGTGGTCACGGGCAGAGCGGAGAGACCGAGAAGGGGCATACCTATGGATCTGTGAAGAGATATAAGAGGGGCTAGAATTGTTCAATGCTTTATAGGTATGGATTAGCACTTTGAATTGACTCCTATAGGATACAGGAAGCCAATGTAAGGACTGACAAAGGGGTGAGGCGTGAAAGGACTGACTAGAGACGAAAATCAGTCTGGCGGCAGCATTCATTACAGACTGTAGCGGGCCAATATGGCTTTTGGGAAGACCAATTAGGAGAGGATTACAATAATCCATGCAGGAAATTACTAGAGCCTGGACAAGCTCCTTGGTAGCACCTTGCTTAAAAAATGGGAGGATGCGAGCTATGTTTTTAAGATGGCAACATACTGGATGTGAGGCCAGAATCAAGTATGACGCCAAGACAGCGCGCTTGCAATAATGGACTGATGTGGATACCACTAACTTGAGGGGAGAGCGAAAGAGGAGGATCAGTATTAGGAGAAGGAAAGACAAGGAGTTCAGTTTTAGAGAGACTGAGTTTCAGAAAGCAGGAGGTCATCCAGACAGAGATGGAAGAAAGGCAAACAGTGACATGTTGCAGGACGGTGGGAGAGAGGTCCGGGCGGGGAGAGATATATCTGGGCGTCATCAGCGTACAGGTGGTAGTCGAATCCAAATGAGGTAGTAAGTTTGCCAAGAGAGGCAGTATAAAAAGTGAAAATAGAAGGGGACCAAGGACAGAGCCTTGAGGGACTCCAACCGAGACAAGACGAGGGCAGGAGGTATCATTAGAAAAGGAGACACTGAATTAGCGTTAGGAGAAATAAGAAGAAAACCATGAGAGGACAGAGTCACAGAGACTGAGTGATTTTTTTTTAATTTTATTTAAGCTAACCTTCCTGGTAGCTCCTTCAGGGCTCTTTCATACACCAGATTGAGAGCATGAGCTGGCCCACTGAGTTTACACTCTATATAGCGTAGCCAGCACTTGACTGAATACGGATTGCGTAGGATTTCCTCCTCATATTGGAGGTCATCTTCCTCCTGCATAAAAAAAGTAAAAATGTAAGTCACGCATGGCTGCAAACAATGAAATACATTGATAGATTCCTACATAGGCAACAATTTTAAATCAGCATTTTAGATTTTTAACGCCTGTAAAAGGCATCAACAGTCATAATTCAACTAAACAAATAACAGTAGAAATATTTTAAATTTGGCATCCAATTGCCAAATAAAAAAAGATAAACATGAATTACCATAATCTTTTTCATCCATCAAAAAACATTTCAAACAGCAGCAATGCCACAAAGCTCCATCTCACATTTACATTAAAGTGATACTCCAAGCACCAATCAAAACAACAGTAACATAAAGCATATCTTTCACCGTCTGAGGACTCTGCATAATTTGCAAAGACCCTTGATAGAGACATCAGCACTAGGGTCCGGTGGCCAGAGGCAGGCCAAGGTGAGCTTTACTTACATGAATCTGTCCCTTGCGTACACCACCATCAAAAATAGCTCAGGATGTTCAGTGTTTCAAACTGAACACTGTACATCCTGCCTCCTATCACAATGACCACTTCTAAAGTCATGCAAAGCCACAAAGCCAAGCAGAATTGGTCATGGTGTTGGAGTAACACATTAAATCTATAGGGAATCTATAGTGTTAGGAATACAAAGTGTTATTCCTAACACTATAGTGTCCCCCCTCACTCCCACCCCTGGTGCATAAAGGGTTGAAATAGTACCACTATAGTGCCAGGAGAACAAACTCGTCTTCCTGGCACTATACGGTCTTTAGGTCCCCCCACCTTCAGGGTCCCACTCTCACCGGGCTGAAGGGGGAGGAAGGAGTTAAACTCTTATGTCAGGCTCCCTCGGCGGTGGGGAAATCTCCCTCTACCGACGTCATCCGCGGAATGCGCATTCAATCAGTTCACAGGAAAGCATTTCTCAATGCTTTCCTATAAACGTCAGCGTCTTCCAGTGAGAATTGCGGAAGCGCCTCTAGTGGCTGTCAGTGAGACAGCCACTAGAGGCTGGATTAACCCTCAGGGAAACATAGCAGTTTCTCTGAAATTGCTATGTTTACAGCTGCAGGGTTAACCCTAGATGACCTGGCACCCAGACCACTTCATTGCTGGGGGGGAGGGCGCATGGGGGGGGAATAATGCACATGCATGGAAAGTCATGCTCCCTGAAACTCCTGCCACTAGAGGCAATCTTACCCCTGCAATGTTTTACATTGCAGGACCAACAGGGACAGGGACACTGCACCCAGACCACTTTAATGAGATGAAGTGATCTGGGTGCCTACAGTGTCCCTTTAAATTGCTTGCAAGGAAGCAATACGCAATTACTTATTTGTGTACAGAAATACAACTATTTGCTGGGAAGAAATGTAATAGATAATGTTATCACTTTAACAGCCCAGACATACATCTCGTGTATATATAACTTCCTTAAACCTAATGTAGCTGGCTAGGTATGATAAGGAAAGCAGTCCCACTTAGTAGAGAGTTCAAGATTAGCCACCACTGGCACAAACCGTCTATTTATACGAATTGTATTAGTCCCCTCCTTTAATAGTTACACTTACTAATATGATCTGCTTTTCCGGCATGTTACTGCTGGGCTAAACCACACACAGTCACAACGTTCCACCGGCGCACGAATCGAACGTCACTGCCGGCGACTAGATCTGATGGAACCCTGCACCCGCCGCCCCTTCCACGTCACGTGATGCGTCCGTCTTTGAATGTCTGTGCTGCCTTGACCGCCATTTTAGGTTTGGGCATTGCCTTGAGTGTAATGTATTTTACTGATGTTTTAAACCTATGATCTTTTCATGTTTAGGTTATACTTTCAGGCCCTGTCTCTAATAATCTGTAAAATGGCAGGTTGTGCTAGTATTTTAACCTACACAGTCTCCATTAGCTATAGTCATGCCAGCCTCGATTTGTACCTTGTTTTAATCTAGTTTACTTGTCTGCCAGTATATGAAGTAAACTTGGTATTTGTCTGCCATGTTATAAGGGTCAGACACCCATTGTCAATGATGGGAGCACCTTGTATCCCATGCCTACAGTCATATATTTAATCAACGAGTCTCCGTTGTTTAAAAGTAAAGTAAATCCTGTGTACAGATCCGGAAACGAAATTCATATCTCAAGTGATATTTATTTATAAAATATTTTACCAGGATGGATACATTGAGATTTCTCTCGTTTTCAAGTATGTCCTGGGTCCACAAAACATTGCATTGTTACAATATTACAATATACAGGATACAATATTAAAAAAATTACAAACTCTCTCTCTCTATATATATATATATACACACACATATAAACATATTACAGATGATAAATACCAACCATGACAGGTGCATTCTGTGCTGAGGTATATTCAGTGGTGTATCCTGGTTTTGTGCTGCCCTAGGCAGGACAAAACTCAGGCACCCCCCTACCCCCACCCCACCCAACCCTTCCCCCCGCCCCGCCCCGCCCCACCTTCTAAATAGACACACACACACACAGTCAGACACACACATAAGCAGTCAGACACACACACACAGTCAGACACTCACTCAGACACAAACACTCACTCAGACACAAACACACAGTCAGACACACACACACACACAGTCAGACACAAACACACACACACACACACACACACAATCAGACACACACACACACAGTCAGACACAACACACAGTCAGACACAAACACAGTCAGACACACACACAGACACAAACAGCACACAGTCAGACACACACAAACACACACACACACACACACACACACACAGTCAGACACAAACACACACAGTCAGACACAAACACACACACACACAGTCACACACAAACACACACAGTCACACAAAAACACACAGTCAGACACAAACACACAGTCACACACAAACACACAGTCACACACAAACACACACACACACAGTCACACACACAATCATTCACATTAACACTTTTTTTTTAATTTAACCCCCCCCACTCGCCTCCTTACCTTTGGGAGTGCTGGGGGGGGAGGGTCCTCTTTCTCCCTGGTGGTCCAGTGGCTGCCAGTCGGGCTGATGGGTTGGCTACTGGGCGGGCGGCTGGCGAGGGAGCACTTCCTCTGAGCGGTCTGCTCAGCTCCCTCGCACGCCGCAGAGTGAGGCTGTGAGCCGGAATATGACGTCATCAACCCAGCTCCCAGCCTCACTCTGCGGGCGGCGCGCGAGGGAGCTGAGCAGACCGTTTAGAGGAAGTGCTCCCTCGCCGCCCGCCCGACCATCAGCCAGCGCCGCCCAGCAGGTCTGTTAGCCGGAAGGCATTTGGGGGCAGCGTTTTTTGCCGCCCCTGAAAAATGCCGCCCAAGGCAAATGCGTCCCTGGGTATATTGCCATAGATCTCTTTAGGTTGAATGAAGATTATTCCATAATTGTGGTGCTCTGTAGGAAAATGAGGATCGAGACACTTTATTTTTGTATTTCAGTATGCTAAATATCGTGCTAGTACTGGATCAGAGCTTATATAGGAGGCCAGAACAGCTGGGGAGAGCATTCTACTCAGGAAGGGTGGGAGCTTCCCAGAAATGTATCTTAAGTTGCTAATTCTTTTTCAGGGTTAATCATTATACTGAGAATTCATAGTGAATTCAAAGTGAATTTAAAATGTAAGGTCAAAATAGTTGAACTGGGAAAAAAGTCAGCTATGTTTTCAATTCAGCAAGTCTGGACGTAAATTTGAAATTCACTCAGAATTCAGATTTAAGTAAATAATCCTGTTACAGATTGTTTTCCAGTTCAGTTACACCTGACCATTACACCAAAAGAGTCTTTGTTGACATCTCTCTCTCTCCTCTGGTATATTTCCATTGCCCTTCAAACATGCATCTGTAACCCCAATTTTAAAGAAGCCCAATCTTGACCCTAACTCCCCATCCAACTATCGTCCTATCTCGCTACTGCCTTTTGCATCCAAGATCCTTGAAAAAATTGTGTATGCGAGATTGACAGACTTCCTCGAGTCCAACTCTCTGCTAGACCCGCTTCAGTCTGGTTTCCGCGCTAAGCACTCTGTGGAAACAGCACTGACCAAAGTATCCAATGATCTACTCGCTGCAAAATCTCGTGGTCACTACTCTATCCTAATTCTCCTTGACCTGTCTGCGGCTTTTGACACTTGATCATCAACAGCTTCTTCTCATCCTCCGCAATATCGGTCTACAAGATATTGCTCTCTCCTGGTGCTCCTCCTACCTCTCCCAGCGCTCTTTCAGTGTTTCTTTCTCTGGCTCTGCTTCTCCCCAACTCCTCTCTGTTGGTGTCTCCCAAGGTTCAGTCCTTGGTCCCCTACTGTTCTCCATCTATACTGCCTCCCTTGGTAAACTCATTAGCTCCTTTGGCTTCCAATATAATTTCTATGCAAATGACACGCAAATCTACCTGTCCTCTCCTGATCTCTCCCCGTCCCTCTTGACTAGTGTCTCTGATTGCCTCTCTGCTGTTTCTAACTGGATGGCTGCCCACTTCCTTAAACTAAACTTGACCAAAACTGAAATTCTGGTCTTTCCTCCCTCAAGTGTTGTTACTCCTGTGTCTGTCTCCCTCTAAGTCAACGGTGCTACCATCAGCTCCACCACGCAGGCTCGCTGCCAAGTTGTTCTCTTTGACTCCGACCTCTCCTTCAAGCCTCATGTTCAATCTATTGCCAAATCCTGTCATTTCCATCTCAAAAACATTGCGCGCATCCGCCCCTACTTAACGCCAGATGCGACAAAGGTGTTGGTCCATTCCACTGTCCTCTCTCGCCTTGACTACTGTAATCCGCTTCTCAGTGGTCTTACGTGCTCCCAACTTGCGCCGTTACAGTCCATAATGAATGCTGCGGCGAGGCTCATCTTCCTGTCCGCCCGCACCTCCCATGCCTCACCCTTCTGTCAGTCCCTACATTGGCTTCCTATAAAATATAGAGCTCAATTTAAAATTCTGGTTCTTGCTTTCAAATCTCTACATAATGCTGCTCCCAGATGGAGAACCTATGTACAAGGGTGAGAGTACCATGGTGGGACACTATTTCGGGAGCCCAGTTGACATCCAATGGTTCGGGTTGGGGTAATATTTGTACTGTGAGTTTCCGTGCGTTGGTATTTTGATCGCTATGTTGGAGTAGCGGACCTGGTGGGTGAGGTGGAGGCTGTCCGTGTGCCCTTATTGTAGGTGGGGATCGGATAACCAGGGGTCCCAGATTCTGTGGAAGTGTTTAGAGGTCTCATGAATTATGGCTGATAGCCTATCCATGTGTATTGCTTCCTTGGTTTTGCGTATGATCGTTTGCAGTGTGGGGGTGTTTGGCGAACCCCATACTTCGGCTATTGCCCGTCTAGTCGCTAAGGCTATCCGGTTTGTCATTTTGTTTTGGGCTCTGGTCAGGTCCTCTCGTGGTCTGGAGAGGAGCCAGGTCCAGGGGTCTAATGGTATGGTGGTCTGGAGGAGTGTTGAGACTAGGGTAGCTACTTCCGCCCACAATGGGACCAGTTTAGGGCAATGCCACCATGTGTGTATGTATGTGCCTCTCTGCCCGCAGTTTTTCCAGCATAGGTCCGCGTCTGCTTTGCCCATATGGTACAAACGTACCGGGGTTAGGTACCATCGGAGCAGTGTTTTATACGCTTGCTCCTTATGGTTAACGCATATGGATATTGAGGCCGTTGCCTCCCAGATATCTTGCCAGTCCGTGGGGTCGTCCGGTGGCCCTAAGTCCCTCTCCCAAGCCGCCACATATGCTGAGGCCCCCTTGGGTTGGTTGGTGATAAGAAGTGTGTAGTTTTCCGTGATTTGACCTTTGTGGAGTGGGTTATGTAGGCATGACCTCTCAAACCGTGTGAGCGTGGTGGTGGCTGCTTTGGCATTGTCGGGTTGCTCTAAGAAGCTTCGTAGTTGTATGTAACGAAAGAAATCGTGAGTGGTATATGTTGCCTGCGTGTTGGGAAGGTCGTTGTATGGGGTAATTTGCGTTCCCGTGTAGAAGTGGTGCAGTCTAGACAGGTCGTTTTGCTCGTAGTGTGCAAAGTCTTTGGGTGTTAACCCTGGGGGGAATGCTCTATTGCGTAGTATTGGCGTCAATGGTGTCGGGTTGTTTATGATGGGGAATTTCCGGGACGTTTTATCCCACAAGTCTATTGAGTTCGTGATTGCTGGGGGCAGTGGTGGTGGTAGGGGGCGTGATTTCTTTGGTACCCATATGTAGAGGGATGGGTGGTCACGTCCAAATAGGTCATGTTCCAGGTCCGCCCATCGTTTGATCCCCTGCGGGGTGTGCCAGTGTTGGATCTGTGTGAGCTGTGCGGCGTAATAGTAGTTTTGGAGATGGGGTAGTCCCAGTCCTCCCGTCCTATTGGGGATGTACATGGTGCTCCTTTTTATTCTGGGTCTTTTATTTGCCCAGATAAAGTTGTCTATTAGTTTTTGGACATATTTTGCGTCTGTTGTGGGGAGTGGGATGGGAGGGTTTGGAATAGGTAAAGGAAGCGGGGTAGGAGGTTCATCTTTACTGATGCAATGCGGCCTAACCATGAAAGTGATAGGTTTTGCCATCTTTTGAGATCGTCCGTTGCTTTCTGTATCATTGGAGTATAGTTCAGGGCGTACGTGCGGTGTAGTGCTGCTGGTAGCTGTATACCTAGGTAT